GGAAGTTTTGGAAGCCGACTGATGAGAGGTGAAGATTATACATGAGGCATAGTGCCCATGTTCGCCAATCAGAAGCAGATTCTTTGAGACCAATCCATACGCTCGTCTTTTCACGAGCGTCTGTTGTGTCGGTGTAGATGCGGTTGTATGCAAGCTGTCGCTGCTCTTCTGAGAGCCAGCGGGTGGTGAGGGGATGGTCTGGGAGGAAGATGAATGCTAGGATTGCGGTAAGGATTGATAAGGCGCCTTGAATGATGAAGAGCCTGGTTTATTATGGTGAGCGTTGTGAACGAATGTTGTATTCGCTACGTACCATTGCCAACCAGCCAGGCCATGCTTTTGGTCAAGACCGGCAAAGACTCCAGCGGCGATAAGTCCTGCAAAGGAACTGGCTATCATGTTACCCGTATAGAAGATGGCCAGTCTGACAGCGAGTTCTTTGCGGGTGTAGAACATGCTAAGAATGAACAAAGCTCCAGGATAAAACTGCGCAAGGTCAGGCGTAATTCTCAAGTTTGGATTGCGATACGTACTGGTGCCTCGGTCACTCCGAGGATGAAACGAAGCGCAACCATGCTGCCGTAGCTGTTCGCCAAGAAAGTCACCAGACTGACGACTGACCAAGCGAGGCAGAAGCCAGCCATGTACCAAGATGGCTTGACTCTATTGATGAGCATGTTGCTTGGAACTTGACCGGCACTGGATGCATTAGCTGCTAGTTCTATGGAATTGATGGCAATTGAACTTACATGTACCCGACAAACAGAATCGAAACGCAAGTATTATACTGCGTCCCAACAAGCCCGAGATCCTCCTCAAGACTATTAAGTCGAGCATTGACGAGGGCATTGCGATCGAGGTAGTTGAATAGGTACATAAACCATAGCATAGGCTACGTGACCAGTCAAAACCAACAAATAATCACTGGATTGGAATGCTTACAAGAATGTACTTATCCAATTTCTTAACAAGCGCAATCTCTCTCGGGTCCGTTTTCGCATGCGCTCCAAACTCATCTACCTTGTCCATCTTGGGAAACTTGGAAAATATGGCGTCATCGTTTGGTCTCGACTCAACGTTGTCAAGCGCACGTTCAATATGCTCGTTGCGCGCTGTGTCATCGGGTTTGTGGTCATGACCACCTGGACTTTGGGCAATTGAAGTCGCCATTTTCGGTGAAAACCTTTCAATTAATAATTGTAAAGAGTTTCTGTAAGATTCTGGAGTCAAGACAGAAGCAGATGCCAGTTTTTATGCAAATTGGCTCCCACGCCAAGACTCCCCCACGGGGTAACGAGATGCGGGGGATCAGCGTAGTTTAAAAACAAGGTTGGCAAATGACGATGGTAACGCTTGATACAACGCTTGTGATTGGTGCTCTTGGGATTAGAGTGGTAGGAGCTTGCACGGAAAAGTAGATAGAGTAGCAGATCTGCTGGTGGAATTGCCAAAAGCCGATATGGCGCCGTGGCGGAAAAGCACCAGCGTCTTGGGAGATGTTTGGCGAGCGAATCAGAGAATTCCGAGAGACTTTGGGAGGAGAAGTTCATCTGCCGTGGATGACGTGGATTGAGAGCGGTGTTCTGCCCGTATTGCTGGGCATGCTACTCATTGCCTGTTCGGGGTTCATGACCCTGTCCACGAATGTAGTCCCGTGAAACCTTCTAGATTAACCAAATTGTTCATGTACGCAACTTCCAAGTGTACTACTGTCTATCAACCGCTAAATACCAGAGTCACCCTCAAAGAAATCCTTCTCCCCATCCATCCACGCCTCCCAAACCTTACAAACCCTCTCCGCCTCAATCATATTCGGCGAGCCAGCAGGGAATAATTTATTCGCATCTCCCTGCCTTTCCAGAACCTGCATAGCCAAACCTTCAGAGGCGTGGCGCGCAATATGACAGTGCATCAGCCAGATACCGGGGTTATCTGCCTTGAACGCAATTACTACGAAGCCGTTGCGGGGTAGCAGGACGACATCACGCCTTGGTGGATTGTCAAGCTTCAGGTTGAGTCTACTGGGGTCGTAGGTTTGGTTCTCTTCTTGTTGCAGAAGAGCGAAGTCATGGCCGTGAAGATGAATCTGATATGGTTAGTTGGGGGTCATGTGGCTTGGGTTGGGTGCTTACTGGATGAGCGCCGGTACGAGCACTAATGCCTTCTATCGTGAGAACAAAGTAGACCTAAGATGGTTAATCATGTTACCTGAGAGTATTTGGAGGCGCTTGCTACATACCCATTCTTTCTCAGTATAATCCTCAGGAATCACCACCCACTTCGGAGGATAAGTGTCCCTCGGCTCATCCAGATGAAACATGACAGGGTCAGAGTAGTTAATCTGCAGTGGTCTAAAATTCTGACCAGGTCTTTGAAGACCAAATGTAGCGACTGGGTACTCTTCCTGGAACTCAGGCGTGTTCTTGGCGTTTGGATCAAAAGTAACATTGAACCGCTCACCATTCCCGTCCGCTGCTTGAGCATTGGCCGCTGGACCGATATACCACGGAATCTTGGGTCGAAGCGAAGTATACGTCTCATCTGAGCACGCTTTGCTAATGTTGACCCAAGGCTGAGATGAGGGAAGAGCTTTGTCAGAGTGGTTGTATCGCAGGATACCTGTCTTTTCATAGCCGTCGCCTCCTGGGGCTATACCGCATGCATCAGCGACCCAAGTCCTGATCCAGAAGTTTCCATCATCTGGGATTTGATTGACATCTCCAGCCAGGGGATTAGCTTCAACGATAACGTTGTACCTTTGACCGATACCTATCAACACCGAGGTGTTGAAGTATGGCTCAATGGGCACAAAATCCGAAGTGACGATCTGGAGCCAGTGGTTATCAATGGAGAAGACGAGCGTAGAGTCAAATGAAGTATTGATCAGACGGAGCAAGTATCTCTTTGGACGGCTTGGCTTATCTGTTGGAGTTTTGTTGAAGTATAACTCATAATTGTCGGGAATGGGTAGAGTTGGGGTGTAGCCGTAGTGAGAGACGTTGCCTGCGCCGTTGAGAAGGATGGTCTTGTTGGAGAATTGGGAGCCAGGGAAGAGCAGTCTGAATGCGCTCTCGTGAGCTGAATTCTTGGTCAGTATGAGTCATGGGACATAAGTTGGGAGTAACGTACACCAATCTGTCATGATCAGTGGCCTCTTGGTCGCATCATAAGGGGCAGATTGAGGGCCATGAATTGTCTGAGTCATTAGCGGATGCTGCATGGGACAGGCTGTGGATGACTTACGATCGGACCTTGAAGACCATCTGCATATTGTACAGAGTAGTGGCTATGATACCAAGATGTCCCGTATTGTGTCGTGTTGAAGATATAGCTGAAGCTATCCCCTGGGGCAATAGGACACTGAGTGATGCCGTTGACACCGTCCATATCCATGGTCTGGTTCTGACGAATACCATGCCAGTGAATACTTGTGCCATTCCTCTTCATACTGTTGATGACAGTAATATTGAACGTCTACACTATGGTTAGTCGCCGTAGGCGCCTCTGCAGTAGGGTGTAAACTCACATCACCCCAGCAAGCCTCAAGCCAAGGGCCAGGATACTCCCCATTGAATAACTTCGCCTCAGTAAAGTTCTGCCCATCAGCATTATACCAACTCTCCGTAATATTAAGTGTATAATGCCTCATAATTCCCTTGGGCGCAAAGTTCTCATAGTTCGTATGGATGTTGAACTCTCTCCCGTCAGGATGTCGAAGCCAGCACTCTCGATTCTCTGGGATCGAACATTGCACGAAGCCTGTCATTTCTGGGTACTCGCAGAGGAATTCATGGTCACCTGGCGGGGGATGAAAGATGGGGAAGCCAGGACTGGGGTCTTCAATGTGAGTGTGAGGATGATTGGGGCGCAGAGGATGTTGGTATGAGGTGGAAGGGGAGGTGGGCCACATGGTTAGCCATGCGACTATACTGACGCAGGCGTGCCATACTCGCTCGATGAGAGCCATTTTGAGAATGTTTTAGTGGTTTGGGGCCGATGGCTCTGTGCTTTGTGAGACGGGATTTAAATAAGAACGCCTCGCCCTAGTTCAAGCTCATCACGCGGTCATGACAATCTTGTTATCGAGAATATGCAGGCTTATGACGGCAATCACATACATAAGTTCCCGTCATAGTCATTGAATCCAATCATGTTCCCAATTTCAAGCAACTCTACGATACGAGTCCAGCTGGTCAAGGATCATGGTCTTGGCACTCAAATGTTTCAGCCCTAGGACCTATAATCTCACCCAACGACCCAATCCGAGTCATCTATACAGATGACTAACATGAATAGACTTCGTCATGTCTCACCGCAGCGCACAATCACAACGCCATCCTTGCAGAACTTCACCCCGTGATTACGCCAACGGTCGTACAAGTTGGTAATGAATTAGGTGAGACCAATCAACCTCCCAGAGGCGTTTTTTAGGCACAGTCAGGCTTGGAGTTGACCAATTGAATAAGGGCGGATGTTAGTCCAATCACTCCCTTGCTTACGGCTGAGAAACTGAGGCTGAGCATGACAAATACGAGGTGTCATGGGTTGAGATAGGGTATTCGAGAAAGCCGTGCCCGTTGAGTTCCCGTTAATACCGGCGTGAGGTATAGGCTTGATAACAATATTTCTCTGAGCGGTGAGTGTGGGGAACTTATGGTTCCGTGGTCGATATCGGAGTAGGCTTACTCAGGTTGGTGAGATGCTGCGATCCGGCGTCCGAGGCTCTTACGTGAGAATGGCGGTCTCACGTCTGTATCGCGATCGAACGGCTCAAGCCCAGTCAGCAGTGGCTAAGACAAGTGCGCAGAGGCTATCTTCCGAGCAGTCGCACGAACAGGTAGCAAGCGGGAAATGTCACGCGGTTATATCTCGGCTGTGTCAGAGGTCGCCGTCGTGATCAAGATGAATAGCATTTCAATTAATATACACAAACAAGATCTGTCTTGGGCTCTCGTATCAACTGGTTGCTACCTGGCGCTTGCACCTTCAAGAACGGATATTCAATACCACTTGAGCGCATTCGCCCATAGCAGGTTCCACATCCTCGGCACATCGCCACCAGCCTCCACAGCCTCAGCCCACTGGATGATATGCTTCAAAACGGCGACGTCGTCACAAAACTGCACTGCAAAGTCAAAGTCTCTCAGTAATTGTGTCTTCTTATGAATGTCCATCCAGCGCGGGTCAAGCCGCTCCATTTCTCCCAAGAAGACCTCTCGCAAGCGTGTGGTTTCGTACTGATGTAAATGCTTGTAGTATAGTTCGGACATATCGCCGTCCGCATTATGGCGGTATCGTCTGCGATCAGGTTCAGTCCATCGAGGTTGTTCAAAGAGGAATTGGGGGATGCCGCAGGCTTTCCACAGAGGGACGATGGACACACATTCCCAATCGACGATGCCTGTGATGTTGCCTGTATTGTCGACAAGAATGTTGTTCCCATGCAAGTCATCGTGGTAAAGAACTGTGGTTTCTGTTTCAGCATGAAAAGGAAAGATGCGCTGGACCAGATGCAGCAATCTCTCGGCCATGCCAAATGTCCGTGCAGCATCATCGATCTCCTTGACCGCATCACAGTTGAGGTTTTCCTTTCCACACCATTTTGCCATGGTCGCTGTTGCGTCTCTTTTGGTCGCCTCAAGCCGCGCTGCAAACCACTCGCTGCTGTTCCGAAAGGGCCCTCGGTTAATGTCGGATTTGTTGATGAGGCCGTAGAAGAAGCAAGTCGACACAATTGGGCCGGGCCTCGGCAGTTCGCTTGCGTATACGGGAGGGCAGATGTTGCCAATACTCGTGAATTTCTCGCGAAAGAGAGAGGATATGAAAGATGCGATCTGGCTAACTGTGTCTGTTTTCTGGGGGAGGGTAAGATGCCGCCATGTATCCTGCATCCGCGCGCCGGGAAGCTTGCTCATTAAGATCCATTCGTAAGTGACAGGAGAAGCGCGCGACGCATCGTAATGAATGACCTTCGGGATCGGAAGGTCCGTGATCGTGGAGACCCATTGGATCGTAGCAACTTCGCTCATGGTCTTGTTCTGCGGATCGACAGGGAGCGCAACGCGGAGCAACAGCGGTGCCTGATCGTTGACCTGAACTTCGTAGAGCTTGTTGAAGCAACCTTCGGCAAAATGCTTGATGTGGACGTTATCACTATTAAAAAGCGCTTGAATCGTCATTCTCATCTTGTCAAGATCAGGCTGGAACTCCCATCGCGGGGTGAAGCCAAGATTGCAGTCTTCCAAGTAAACGTCGGCGAGAAGGGAGGCGCCGGATCCTGAGGTCGGCATCGTCGCGCGCAAGAGGCAGAATCAAGAAGCAAATATCAATCGGGTTCAAGATCAAGTTTCGCTGGCGTGTTCAAAAAACGAGGCGGCGATGGAGGAGAGAAAAATGAAGAATGGAAGGAATCATGGTCGAGATAAGGCATTTGCGATGGGCAGCTGCTTTCGGCGGGTGACTCAGTCAACATGGACTGCATGTTTGCGACAGTGACAGTGACAGTGCATCATGTATGCATCTGCATCTGTTTGAACAAACAGATTCAATCATTGTCGGTTTGTCACGGCCGAAGCGAAAACTCTGATGTACTCAAGTTTGCTGCTGTTTGTGGTCGCGTGAGGTCGGTGAATGGAGGAACTCAGCCCCCATTGGATTTAATTGGGTGCAACTTTATTTGTCCCGACGGTGAGTGACTAAATGCCCGTATAATTGATTGCCTCACACTTCAGGTTACGATGCCTCCCTAATTCTCATCCTGCGGATACTTCAGCCCATTTGCAGCTCTAATCTCATCCATCAACTGCATCAAACGAATCGTCTCGTCCAACGGAATAACATCACTCTCCGTCTTTCCCGCCGCAATATCCTGTGCGACAGCATCAGCTTCCCAGTAGAAGCCCAACGTTCCCTCGTGGCGCTCCACGTTGAACACGCGCGTGGCTCTGGTATCGGCTGCAGGAGGTCCCGGGCGCTCTCCCTCAGTGACGCGGAATCCACCGGGGACGCTGACTGCGGGACCAAACAGCGTGATACTTCCGTTTGTACCTTGGATGTAGCCGAATTCATCGGGCCCTCTGTATCGGAAACTTGAGGTACAGACTCCTGTTTTGACGCCTCCGTTGGCCGAGGGGTATTCGAGAATGACCGTATTCGCTGCGTCGATGCCATCCACAATATCAAGACACGATAGAACCTTCGTCGGTTTCGGATGATCTTTTCCAGCCTTCCAGTCACCAAGAATGATCGAAGCAAACGTTAGTGTGTAGAAGCCGATATCAAGCAAAGCTCCGCCACCAAGGGCGGGGTCTTTGAGACGATGATTGTCAGGCAAGCTGCTAAGATCAAACTTGTTTCCAAAGTCAATGGAAAGTCGCTGCACTTCACCGATGGACTTCTTGACGATGATTTCTTCATGTAGCGCCTCAAAAAGTGAACAGAACCTCACCCAGGCAGCTAACAAACATTAGCATGCAGTCAAACAAGCGCGGGGCTGAACAAACCCTCCATGACAAAAACGCCCTTTTGCCTCGCCGCATCAACAATGTCCTTCGCTTCCTTCGCATTAATCGTAAAAGGCTTCTCGCATAGAATATGTTTGCCCGCTGCGATAGCATCAAGGCAATTCTTTCTATGCAGTGAGTGCGGCGTTCCGATGTACACAATATCCACGTTTGGATCGTCATAAACACCCTGATAATCTGCGTAGACTTGGGGCTTTGGCTTATCGGGTGCTTTCTCCCAGAGCTTCTCCACGAATAAAGTGCCTTTCTCGATAGAAGAGGATCCGATGGCTGTGATTGCGTGCGCTGCTTTGGCGTCGGGACGCGTGGTGAGGAGGTCGCGGAGAAACATTGAGGAGACCCATCCTGTGCCTGGATGGACGGTTAGCTCTGGAGGTGAAATAGACGCGAATCGTACCTAGGATGCCCCATCGCAGGTGTTGTAGAGAGCCTGCTGAGCTGGCCATTTCAAAAGATGATGTTAAAAATCCTTCAGGTATTCAGAGTCTCAGAAATGTGCGATATGGAAGTGTGCGGTCGATATAAGGTAGATTTGCGGGACCCGCAAATACTGGTTTACTCGGGATAGTGGTCCCCGAAGTACGGCAGTGGGTGTTCAAAGCCTTGAGATGTTCAGCATTTCAGACGATCTTATCCATTAACTCAGCCGATCTCGGAGTTTGATAGCTTGCTGACCGTTAAGACCGAATATTTGAGACCTTTCTTGGCATTTTAATGTCTCTCGCGGAGTAGCGGATCTATCACCGATACTCCCCGAAGAGCGGGGTTGTGTCATGATACCATCTCCGCTCCACCAAGGATAAAATCGATGCGGGGACAATCGATCAATGACGCTATAGTTAGCCGGGTGAATAACAAGATGCGGCAAAAAAGGGAAGTTGATTTGTAAGTCAACGTTAGATAAAACCACAGCGATCGATCAGATAAAAGAGGTCTCGTGTATTTCTCAAATTAAACTTATTATAAACAGCTTCTGGATCATGGCTCCTATCAAAGTTGGTGTCGTAGGCTACGGCAACTCAGCCAAGAGCTTTCACTTACCGTTTATCACTTCTATTCCAGACTACGAAGTTATCGCTATTCTTCAGAGAAAAGAAGCACCAGCCGATCCGTCGTCCGCAGAGAAGGGCTCTCACTGCACAGTTGACTTTCCTCACATCAGGCATTATCGCACAGCTGATGAGTTCTTCGCCGACAATAATATCCAGTTTGTAGTTGTCGCTACACAGCATGATACCCACGCATCTTTTGCAGAGCAAGCGCTTAACGCGGGCAAGCATGGTGAGCAGCCTTCTTCAGGGCTGGGATGAAACTAACGTGAGACCTAGTGATTGTGGATAAGCCTTTTGCTGTTTCGGCTGAAGAGGCGGACAGGGTGATCAAACTGGGTGAAGAGAAGGGTCTCATCCTTACTTGCTTTCAAAACCGGCGATGGGTAAGCGCTTCGAGCTTGGTTTCTTCTAAATCGAATTTTAATCATGTCACAGGATGCAGACTTTCAGACCCTTCACCACCTCATTAACAAAGGTGCACTAGGCGATATCAAAGAAGCAGAATTCCACTATGACTTTGAGTCACCACCATGGCTGTCCAAAATAGGAGCCAAGTACACTCCAGGCTCTGGCATGGCCTTTGGCCTAGGTACGCACAGCATCGACCAGGCGCTTGTTCTCTTTGGCCGCCCCAAGTCTGTGACTGGGTTCTTTCGCGTCCAACGGGACGCAGAGAGTGAAGTTGAAGACTCTTTTACCATTATTCTACAGTATGATGGTGCGCAGAAAGATCTACTGGTCACAGTCAAGACAGCTGTGACGACGCCAATGGCACAGCAATTGAAACAGCTCGTTCGCGGAACGAAGGGTTCTTTCATGAAGGTAAGAATCAGTTCAGATATTGCAGATGTTCGACTGACATCTCTTAGTTCCAAAAACATAGCTTTTGTGCAACAGAAGACGGCATCGCTGCTGGTCTCAAGCCGCTTGATGAAGGCTTTGGTGTGGAGTCTGATGAACTGCGGGGTATTCTCACGACTTACGAAGAGTTCGACGGCAAGGTGCAGAAGTACGACCCTGAGATCAAGAAGTATACTGGGCGATATCCAAGTTTTGCGGGCCGATGGATGGGATTGTATGAGAACGTCGCTGATGCAATTAATGGCAAGGCAGAATTGGAAGTGAAGCCAACGCAATCACGGGATGGTCTAAGGGTCATTGAGCTTGCGAGGGAATCGCACCAAAAAGGTGCCACGGTTTCTTGGTCATAAAATGAATGAAAAGTGCTTACCTAGTCAATAAAAAGAACACGGTCCACCAACATCACTGAATTAGCGATGCAAAAAGAGGGGACAATAGCGGGATTTAATCGCCTAAGTTGGACGAACAGGGAATCGAACCCTGGACCACTCCCAGATTTCTTCAGAAGACTGAATCATGCTAAGGGAGTATTATACCACTAAACCATTCGCCCGGAATGGGATTTGTTGAATAACGCCACGGTAATGCAACTGAGGTTCGCCTGACCAAGCTTGCACTTATTGACAACGCATTTCCTGTTCAAAATTGGGGCATTCTACAAAAAGCTGGCTTACGGTTGGTGTGCACCAGAAAGTCAACTCTGAGCATGCATTATTAAGTATCAGCCATCGGACAGCATGTCATTCACAGAACGAAAGAGACGTATCTGGTGACTTAGCTACATGAATCACTGCCGACAGTCAAAGCACACGAGTCTTCCAGCTTTTCTAACTATCCTAGGCACGAGCTGTGAGTGCTCCAGGTTAAAAATGCATGAGGTTTATGATAATCTGGCAAAATTGAGTACCAGGAATAGGTATTATTAATTATTAATTAGTGGTTTTATAATTTTCAAGATGCGCAATAAGACGGCCTGTGTAAAACCCAGGTGATGAAAGAGAGTTGAGTAAGACTAGGCGCCAGGCCTGCCTCGCAAGGGTAGCCCAGCCGAGGGCGAGCGATGACAAGCAGTTTTCATACTCCCGACAACAGCTGGGTCCCAAAAGTGTTGGGCTGTTTGTACCTCTTGCCTGGTAAGGGCCGCCATTATCTCGCGATATGCCCAAACCCGTTTGTCTCCTCTGCCTTGCGCGGTCGTGATTTTCTGGTGATATTCTGCGTCCATCTTGCAGCGGCCAAGCAACTTCAAAAGAAAATCGTTGCGTTCCAAACGTCCCATATCTTGCAGCATTCGAAAAACGCTTGGCCCGCTACAAACAAAGTGGTTGACAAGCTGGCCGATGTGTTCTTCTGACGGAAGACAAAAGGTATAATTTCGGCCCCTGAAGGAAAGGCCATGATATCGCTTTTCAATGCCGGCACTTATCCAACGATGATAGGAGTGGTTGAGGAAAAGTGCAATGCTATAGAATCGCGTAATGATTTCGCTTGGTATGCCATCTTCTTCAAGGAAGCTCTGCCGCAGGGTGTTGTCACCGTCAGATGAAATGGCATACTCAGAGAAGAAAGCCGTGCAGTAAGCATCGTACAGACAGATTGCGTCCATAAACCTTTTCCTTTCAGTTCTAGATAGAGCGAGACTTCTCGCATTAAGAGACGATCCGAGGTTATTTACCCATGCGTGATGCGCGTAGCTTATCATCACTTTTTCTGCCGTGCCAAGGGTGTCTGAAATGAACTTGAGGAGTCGAAGACTATATGACGAATGGAGTAAAGGCCCTCTAGGAGAGAATTTCAACATTTGCTTGATAGATATATTCATAATGGCCTTTAGATCTTCAGGACTCTCGACAACACTCTTAGATTCCATATTACGGAGCCGCGCTGCCATCAGACAGCTGTGGGGCATATCGCCACCGAAGCGAAACCTCATTCTCTTGGTGATATGGCTGACGATATAATGACGGTTCCAGGAAAAAGGCTGAAGAAACACTGGCGATGAACTGATCAGAGAGAGAAGGTCTTTCGGATCCCTGCAGAAGGTCATGATTGTGACCCGAATGCACTCTGGCAAGCTCGCGATACTCGGACTCCTGGGACCGAAGTCGCAAGGTTCAGTCTCCATAGCTGTGTACATGGCAGTTTGGTATTTCAGGGGTTTCAGGCCGACATCATGTTCAGGGGTACATGAGGACATGAGCCAACCCATTTTACGGTCCTGTGGGCTGGGAAGAGGAGTGGTCTTAATCGCACGGCACAGCTGTTTCCGGAGAACAGCGGAGTCTCCACGCTTGATATCAGACGACGCGCTATTGGACCAGGTGTCCATATCAAGGGGGGAAATGCTCTGTTGTCCAGAGACAAAGGAGGAATTGGGGCAAGAGGAGGCAGGAACCCGAGAGTTCTCTGATGAAAGGGAACTGACATCAGACTCTGAACAGTTTTGAACGGATACCGAGAGAGGGCTATGCGAGGAACACTCTGCATGGTGCCTTCGCTGTCTGATTGACAGAGGTTCCTCCTCGAAGCCTGTGGTGCTTGAAATAGGGCTCTGGGGCGGAGAGCCAAGATTGGAATCTGTGCTTGAGAAGACATGCTCGCTGCATGTGGATGAGGCATAGGTTATTTCAGGTGGAGACGGTAGAGGTTGGTATGGAAGGTCAGCGGCTTTCTTGGGCATCGGAACATCCACCCCATACAACGTGTAAGTTGGATAATCGGGGAAATCATCCTGTTGGAGAGGTGGAGTAGGAGGCCGAGGCCCAGGTCTGCAAGAAGACAGCTGATGTATCCCGATCTGATCTTGTTCCATGCTCGGTCGTTTCTCTGAATCATCCTTGTTGTCCTCAGGAGAGTTGTCATGGCGGCAAGCAGCTCGCTTCATGAGCTTGCAGTGCGTTGGGGGCGGTGGTGTTGTTGAATAGAGTCTGTAAATGGAAATGATTCTTCATCACTTAGATCAAATCCAATATTGTATGACAGTTCAGCCCATACCTGTCAGGGGTGTTGATGATATGATAAGTGATATCCTCAGTTGAAGGTTAAATATATTCGCTGTGTCATGAAAAAAGGTGAAAGATTATTTCTCCATAACAGAGGGCACAAGCAATTTTTATACGAAGTGCTGAAGCTTGATAACGGATATGCCTTTTTGTTAAGATTTGTGCGCGTATCGTGACTGATTTTATGTTTTTCTGCGCTTGTCATACACTTGTGCTGATCATCAAAGCTCTGCGCAACTCGCCCCGCATAAATATTTTTGGTGTCATTTCCGATCCAACCGAAGCTGAAGCGACTCAATTGAGATGTAATACATTTGTTTGAAACCGAACAATGAAACTCGCATCTTCAATCGGACAGGTTCTAGTGGAACATCAACACAGAGGATTCGAAATATTGGAGATGGCTTGTGTTGCTGCTGGTGGTGATATCATTCGGCAACAGGCTATTTTGAGTCAGAACAACATAAGTAATACCGTGCTGTGATAGACCACCTGCAGACCAACAAGACCAGCTTTGCTAGTGTGTGACTGAAAATTATCCAAGAGAGGAGGTACAGCAGCACAGAATCCTTTGCCGGACCCCTTAATACCTCAATCAGAGGCAGGTCAACGCCCTTTAAATATTGTATCACTTCAGTTTCACTGATCCCCAGGTTAGGGCTCCCACGAACTTTGATGAAGAGCGTCTTCAGAGAATCTGCTTACATGAGCTGAGAGGTTGGGAACGTATAATCCACAGCACGTCTTAAATCAAGGCATCAAGGTCAAAGATGTAGGCACCCACTGCAAATTTTCTCGTGGCGTTCTGAGTTTAAAACTGTAATGAAGACATGCACATCACATCTCGGTGGGGAGCCAATTATCTTTCGTAGTGTAATTTTAAAGTATCAGCCATAGGTCTCTCACTGCAACATGATTACATATTAAGTCCAGCTCGCTATCTTACTTTTTGACCGTGGAGGTTAAAAAAGACATCCGAGGAGAATGTAGAAATTGCAGTCTTTTCACGCGACCTGCGATACTTTCAGACATGAGATGAACGTGGAAGATGACCTGTTGCAGCTTTTGATGTGACAGATAGAATATGCGGCCGATTCTACTTCCGTTGTCGCCATTTCCATGGATCAAGGAGTAATAAGGCCCTCAAGGTTCGGGTCTCTGAGGTTCGCGAGGTGAGTCAGCACATCATTCGATAAATCGATACAAAAGGTTAAAGTGTAAGCATATTTAAGGTCTATGATGGCAATATAGTTATTTACGGCCCGGACGAGCCAATGAGAACTTTCACTCTAGTCTCCATGACCTTCTCAATTCCAGGGTCTTTTCCTTTGGAATGATCGAGTTGCTTTGTGAATCACGTAGAAAAGAAAAAGTACAATAGATATATAGCTGACGAGACGAATGAAGCGAAGAACTAACCAGGTTAGAAGGAAAGATGGTGACAATAACCATCCTCACGGCGGAATAATGTCTGGTGATTGAAACGGACATATGTGAGTTATATCAACAGGAACTAGGTGAATTAGTGAGAGATATGATTGTTCCCATTCTTAAGAGTTGAGCGTTAGCTTTGAGTTGTGTATACGACAGCTTACTGCGTACAAGGAGCAGGCTGGAATAGTGGACTGTCGGAGACGGCATCTGTGGAAGACATTATAGATTTGAGTTTCTCGGATCTCCTCTTGCTAGGACCTTCTGTGGACATGTAGGGCGAAGGGGTTATGTTTCAGTTGTATTTGTTTGTGCGGCCTCGTTAATCTTGGCTTACAGTCTTGATTTAATATCTCTAGGCTTTCTTAGGCATAGCGAAACATTTAGCGATATCTTTGGAGGGTTTTAGTATTGGTAAATATTTGTGCTCTAGTTTTCAATGAGATGAAGGCCATACTTTGTGGTTATGATGCGTGGCAATGTTTGATGTGGTTGTGATACACAAAGTTCTTTGCAGATTCTATGAGCATTTATCAAACTTAAATTTATATGGGCCTCCATGCAATATTTTATCCTTAGGTAAATAACTATCTTCGGGCATCTCTGAACCTTGACCAAAAAAGGCCAGAAAGTGGTGATTGATGTGGAGATGCCAATGAGGTTGCAAGTAAGCCCGGGTTTTCCGATGCCGTGTTCCGGAAAGTCCGAGGACAATTCGTGAGCTACGGCGGTTGTGGGCCCACTATGGAAAGGCCGGCTTGCAAGCACGTCGCTCAATGCCATATATCATCGCAAACAGGCAAATTGATTGAATATTCAAAATTCAACGCGATACTAAAGGGCAGGCCTTCCTCATATTATCATTGTATACTATTCAGAGAAACAGGTGAAGGAGTTGAAGCTCTTCGGGGTATTTGGCGACGACAGTAATCATGAGTCGATGACGGTGTATGTTTTCAGATCGACGGGTTATGTTACAGCGATGACAAACCCTGACCCGTCATGAGATGTCCATCTCAATTTCCCCGCGTTTTACCCCAGCCGTTTTAATCTAGTCTTCCCCGCAATGTAACACTTGGTCAAGATGATCGAAAAGTCTCGGGGTATCAATCAGCGAGAAGGCTAAGGATGGCATTTCCGGTGATGATCAATAGACCTCGGTACTTGTGAAGGACCGAATACTTTCCCATCGAAAGGGATTAGTGTATGCTCGTAAATGTTTATAAAATGAGGGACCAAGGGACTTAAATGTTGGCTTGATTGCCGAGCAAGCTCAGCAAAGATGGCTCTTTCAATCGCTCGGGTCTCTTTTGAGCACTATAGCTCACCCCTGGGAATCGCAGAGACAGCACCTAGAATCTCATGGAGATTTGAAGGTGATGCTCCTGATTGGGAACAGAGCTCTTATGACATCCAAGTCACTCGCAGCGTCAGCGACAAACCCAAATCTTTCTCCTCCAAATCCTCCGACTCTCTTTACCAGCCCTGGCCCGATACTCCACTCGAAGAAGCCCAACCTGTCTCCGTCAGGGTCCGTGCTCACGGCCGTTCAAAGCAGCCTTCGACGCCCTGGTCAGACTGGGTCTCTGTCGAGACAGGACTCTTTAAGAAGAGCTGGGAGAACGTGAAGCCCATCGCTTCGACGATCAAGGTCGATGTCAATGCGCCTAAACGCCCTGTCTACTTCCGCAGGGAGTTCAAACTTCCTGATGATATTGCCTCGGCTAGGCTTTACATCACTGCTCTAGGCATTTACGAAGTGGAGATCAATGGCAAGCGGGTTGGAGACAGTGTCTTAGCCCCTGGCTGGCAATCTTTCCACCATCGTCACGTCTATGACACTTATGATGTGACCAAACTCCTCACCCCAGGTTCCAACGGGATAGGCGCACTTGTCGGTGAAGGCTGGTATGCTGGACGACTGGGATTCGCAGGTGGCCAGCGAAACATCTACGGCAACTCTACTGGCCTACTAGCACAGCTCCACGTCAAGTCCAAGAGTGGAAAGACAGTCAAGGTCGTCACCGATACCACTTGGAAGTCAAGCTTTGGCCCTGCTACCGCCGGTGAGATCTACGATGGAGACAAGTACAATGCAACTCTTGAAGCCGATATCAAGGGATGGTCCAAGCCTGGCTTCAAGGGTTCTTCTTGGTCCGATACCCGTCTTCTGCCGTCTCTAGATGGCGAGCTTGTTCCTGCCGAGCAGCCGCCTGTCCGACGCGTTGAAGAAGTCAAGCCACAGCGCTTCTTCAAATCCCCTTCTGGCAAGCAGCTTGTCGATTTTGGACAGAACCTCGTTGGGTGGCTTCGATTGAACGTCGATGGCCCCAAGAGCACGACTATTCGACTAAGACACGCTGAGGTTCTGGAGGATGGCGAACTGGCCCTTCGCCCTCTCCGACTAGCCAAGGCTGAAGACTACCTTACTCTCAGTGGTAAAGGACCCATTGAGTGGGAGCCCAAGTTCACATTTCACGGGTTTCGCTACGCTGAACTTGATGGCTGGCCTAAAGAAACCCCCCTGGATGCGAACAGCGTCAGGGCTATTGTGGTTCATACAGATCTGCAAGAAACTGGTTACTTCAACTGCTCCAACCCTCTTCTCAACAAGTTCCACTCCAACGTTCGCTGGTCCATGAAGGGAAACTTCCTAAGCATTCCAACCGACTGCCCCCAGCGAGATGAGCGTCTTGGCTGGACTGGTGATGCCCACGCCTTCTGCCCTACATCGAACTACCTCTATGACACATCAGCTTTCTGGAAAGCCTGGCACAAGGATATCTGGTCCGAGATGTCCCAGAACCAAATGGTCCCGCCAATGTATGTCCCCTCAATTCCTTGGTTTCTGGACAAACCTCCCAAGCCGGCATCAGTATGGGGAGACGTTGTGGTTGGTAATCCATGGCACATCTATCAATCCTTCGGTGATAAGGCACTGCTCCAGGAACAGCTCCCTCAGGCTCAGAACTGGATCGATACTGGCATCTCTCGAAATGATGTCGGTCTTTGGAACCGCAGTTCCTTTCAGTTCGGTGATTGGCTCGACCCTCTTGCACCTCCAGACGACCCTGGTGCTGCGACGACAGACAAGCATTTGGTTTCGGATGCGTACTTGATCAAGATGACCGAGACCCTATCTCAGATCACCGGAGCTCTTGGTAATTCGAAACTCGCCAAGAAATACCAAACTCAACACTCTGATCTCAAACGCCAGTTCCAGAGTTCCTGGGCTCCCGGCGGCAAGTTGGTTAACCGAACTCAGACGGCGTACGCTCTATCTCTGGCTTTCGACCTTCTCAAGGATGACAAGCAGAAGCAGACAGCCGCCGACACCCTGCGAGACATCATCAAGAACAACGACTATCTTGTTGGTACAGGCTTTGCAGGAACATCTCAACTTGGGTTTGCACTCTCAGACATCAATTCGACAGACGTCTTCTACCACATGCTCCTCCAGGAGAAGGTTCCGTCTTGGCTATACCAAGTTGTCATGGGCGGCACAACCACCTGGGAGCGATGGGATAGTATGCTACCCAATGGCACCATTAATCCCGGTGAGATGACCAGCTTCAACCACTACTCTTTTGGGTCGGTTGCCAATTGGATGCATCAGTACATTGGAGGAATCGCACCTTTGGAGCCAGGGTACAAGACTGTTGCTATTGCACCTATTCCTGGCGGTAATCTTTCTCACGCAAGTGCAACTTATGTTAGTCAGTATGGAACCATCTCAACCGATTGGACTGTGACAAATGGGAAGTTTCATCTCAAGGTTAGAGTTCCGCCAAATACAAAGGCGAAGGTTACGTTGCCGGGTACACAGAAGGCGAAGACTGTTGGATCGGGGTACCATGAGTTTACTGTTTGAAAGAGTCTGAGTAGGAATTAGCATTTAGTGAATATCAATCGTGGTCCATCCAGCCGTTTCACATTACCATAGCGTATGGAAGATATTCCAAATTTCAACCTCTACTCTGGATGAAATACTCCTTTCTTTTTCTCAATGAGTCCACTGCCCCAAGGATCCGTGTCAATAGCTACCATTGGAGTAGTACATTTTGCCTTCAGTGCCACTTTGGCCTCATCACTATCAAACGGCACACAATCAACGCCGATATCACCGTGCATCCCATCACAAATAATTACGGGCTGTCCCCCACATGGCGTCTCGATATTGAAGTCTTTGACAGTGATGTTTGCACAAACAGCATCTTCAGCAGCTGAGCAGGAGAGCCTTGCAACAGCGTTGCCATAAACACCAGATGTGTACCCAGTAAAGTTCTCAAAGTGTATGTTGGTAATTTGCATACCCGATGGGTGAGCGTTACATTCTTCTGATGAGATGTTGAAGTAGCATGAGTCGAGAAAGATGCCGTAGTCCATTCGCGCGACCCAGAAGTTTCTGTTATCCGTTGAGCGAAAGCCGTTCGTGATATTCTTGGGGAGACTTACTTGAAGGTTACGTTGTTGACGAATCCTGTACCCGTTTCTTCACCAGCCCAAACCTTGATACGAGCTGCCGAGTACTACAAGAATCAGTTACAGTCGCTAAAGAAGAGCTTGACACTTACATCCCCGTTCATCATCCACACATTCTCAATGTGCACGTCGTAGACATTAGATACCTCGCCCTTGTACTGGCCAAGCGAGCCCATGGACTATTACGGTCAGCGTACTATCTTCAACACGTTCTAGTACTGACCTGTCCATGCGTGCCGTTACAATACATGGTATTAACATAAAGATCTGAACTGTTCGGCTTCGGAGAGAAACAGTCGTCGTCGATGTTCACCCAGGTTCTCTCTATCCGAACAGTCGAGGTATTCATGGTGTTCATGAAATCAGTATTCTTGGGGATGATACTTCCGTTGTTTGAAAGAGCAGTCGCTACGACGTCTGTGTACTTGATATTCTTGGAGCTGACTATGAAGTTATTCCAGCAAGGCGAGTCTTTGAGATGTATACCCGAGATATCGAGATTAGTCGTGTTCTCGGCGTAGAAGAGAATTGGGCGGTAATATTTGTTGTCGGGGTTCAAAATGCTGTGGATCGTAAGCTTGTATTAATAATTCGTTCGATATTGGAGATGCACATACGAGCCGGTTCCAGATTCGAATTCATTCCACCACCGTTGTCTAATGGCGTCAGTCTTCAATCATAAGTACGGACGAGGCTGGCGAACCCTTGACCTTCGATCACACCATTGCCGTAGATTTTAATGTCTTTTCCTCCCCACTTCCAGAACATGATCGATTTCTGAAATGGGTGGTACCAGGCATTTTCTTGCCAGTACTCAACGTCATCCGTAAACTAGGTCTGTCAGAGAAATCGCCGCTGCGGAACAAATCACAGATACTTACTCTAATCTCGCCCTCTAAGTGGATGTGTATATCCTCCAGGCCAGTCAAGTCTAGAGCTTTACCAATGACATATGTCTTGCCCTTGGCTAGATGCAAAGTACCTCCGCCATTTGCTTTGCGTACGCCCTTCTCAAACTCATCCGCCACATCGTCTGTGTCATTATTAGACGCACGAATTCGAAAGATTTTACGGTGTTCATGCTTAGGTGGAGCGTAGGGATGCTTGTCTCTGAACTCTGAGATATCGCGAGGTACTCCAGCCGGAAGAGACACGGCATTAGCAGTCGTGAGAAATAGCGCCCCAAGAACGAAGATATTCTGGAAACCCCGCATGGCTGAGTGATGGGAGACCTTCGATGGTATCCAAAATGTGTATTTGAGGGACTTCAGACCCTAGTTGTGATCATCATGGGTCTAACTATTTTTTATACCTTCGACATGTTTGCGGTCTACTTCACCCCAATGCTTCGGGTTATCATTACCAGTTCACCGACGGTCTCATGCTCATAGATCTTTTAACTAAATTCAACCTCGATTTTTCAACCCCCAAACCTTCGATCGTACCCAAGTTCTTCAATGCCAAGCCGGAAAAGCCATCACTCTAAGGCGGGGTTATTCAAGTCTCCAGAGAATCTGATTGGTGGAACCATGAACTCCGGCTGATCATCGTCCTTGCATTACAGGAAACTCATCATTTGCCGCTGGACGGACTTTCAACATATGTAGTAGTCTGTTCTGCTTCTTATGTTCTACGGTCGGAAAACCATGTTTCCTCCCCGAGAGCACGGTTTTCCGAGCCCTTGAGAATGCTTACCCTAAACTCTAAAATGCTAGCACAGGGCATAGAAAGACGTGCATATTACTTAAGCTCACTGTTCTCTTATCCTGTCATTGGTTTTTTAAGTTTTGTTTCTTTCTGGATTTTCAAGCCTCTAGCTGATGACAGCTGATTGAACTGCTGCTTCATTTATACTTCATTTGCTCCCTCATACACTTTGGAAATTTCAAGCTGGGTCACGAATGATTTATGCAAAAATAAAGAATCTCAGTTGACAAGTTACTACGAACCTATCTCAACACTAAATCTTCTGTTTAGCACGTGCAATGCCCGATTTTCCAGGCGACAAAATGTTTTTGGGATCCATAGTGGCCTTGAAGCTATCAACAAGCTTGGCAAGGGCATGCTCCTTGTACGAGAAGTGACTTCTGATTTGGTCCATGAACTCAACGTGAGTTCGATAGGTAGTCAGCCCTCGATGAAAAGCATCATCAATCAGCTTCTGGCAGAGTTCCTTCGCCCGTTCCTTCTCCTCAGGGGTGTATACTATCAAAATAATTGGAATGATGTATCGAGAGTAAGCATGGAAATCGGCAAAGAAGTCGAACTTGGCTTCGGAGACCATCTCCTTTGCTGCAAGGTACCATTCGAGCAATTCAGGGCCTGATGTAGGGAGGACTGGGGCGAAGTCTGTATGTCCGCTTCCGGCCGCAAGGCGATAGTCCATCAGTGACAGTGCCTCCAGCGTCGGAACACCATTATGGGGGATACCTCTGGTTTCGACTTTGTCTGCCCGAAGGAACTCTCCTGGGGTACCACCAAACTGCCGAGTTTCAAGCCGAGCTCCAGGAATCTTGGCCATGGCTCGACGCAGTGAACTCTCCAGGGCCGGCACCACGTCCGCGTCGCCTTGCAGACCGAACTCGGCTCTCCAGAATCCCCAGCATTGGTTAGACTTTAGCTCATCCAGAACGCTCTCCGGGACGGCCTTGCCAGGACCAAAATGCGTTGCCAGCTTTGCTTTAACAGCCTCGTTCGGGGACAGTATAGCCTGGCGGAAAACATTAGAAATGGAGGGGTGATTGGTGACTACGCCCCGTCGTTGAAGACTGGCAAGGAGCTCTACGAGTTGGGGGAGGTCTGTCTCGTTTGGTACGCTAAGCTCACAAGCGGTATACGCCTCGGGTGCCGGGGTGATATGGATGCCTAGTTTGGTAACCACGCCTGATGGATGATTTAGTATTCTCTCATTTAATGCCTCTTTGGAAAAGAAAAGCTGACCTAGGTTTGATTGGTAGAAAAGACCATCTACGCTTGGCCCAAATCCCCTAAAGAACGCTCAGCACTTTGTATGGATTAGGTGACATCAGCCGAGGACTAATAACTCACGCTTTGTAAAGAGGAAAGAGCCGACTGTCAGTCATAGCACCCATTCCAGTACGCAAAAGCTCGCCTGTAGGAAGTACAACCTCCATGCCGCACTGCGCCTCTGTGTGCACTCCGTCGGGTGTATAACCGAAGCCGTGGTCCAGCGTGTTACCTACGACAGATCCCCATCCGATGGCGGCACAAGACGGCCAGAGCGCGAGATCACGACGTTTGATCTCTTCATAGAGGTCAAAAAAAGACACTCCCGGCTCGACAATGGCATACGCATCCGCCTCGTTGACCTCCACTATGCGGTTCATTCGATGCAAGTCAAGAACCACACTCCCCGCCACAGCAGGTGCCGAACCACCATAGCCAAGATTTCTACCGCGGGACACCGTCCACAGAGGGACTGAGAGTTCGTTTGCCAGTCGTAGAACCTGCTGTAACTCCTGTACAGATGCCGGTCGAACGGCACCACTAGGCAAGTGCTGATCTTGATTGGCAATGGCGTATGGATCGCCGTAGCTTTGTTGCTGATGAGGACCAACTAAAGCGCCTGTTGATGCATCGCGTGAGATGTTTTCATCGCCCACGACCTTGGCAAGTTCATCGAAGAATTGGCGATGCTCCGAAGGTCCAATGCCCGGTGGAAGGACTTTCGGGGAGGATGACATTGCTTCGAGGTGGAATAAACTGTTAGTTGGCTGAGAATTAGTATGGATGTTTCACCTATAGCGAGGTAATGTAGAGAATGATGGGTTGATTCGACCCTTCTGCTCATAAAGATAAGGGTCTTTATGTAGTAGTAAGCGATTCGATTCAGGTCACCCTTATTTACCGTCAGAAGCTACCGACAAGTGTTCTCTGCCCCGCATTATCCTCCTGGTGATACTCTCGGGACTTGTCTGAGGCCAAAGTCATGGCATGGAGGGCGGGTTGTCCGCTCCACACTCCAGAGACTAAATGGCGATGTTGCGGGGGAGGGGCCGAGGGCATCGAGGGTCGATCGCGCTGCGGGGTAGCGCATCCATCACCGGCCGGCACCTCCGGCATTTCGGGGAAAGAGTGAGGGAGTACTCCGAGCCCGAACCAAGTGGCTAAATGTATGAGTAGTCACAAGTGAAGCCGCGTCTTCGCAGGAGTAAGAAACCGAGGAGGTTGCCGGAACAGACTGCCGGTACCGCAAGCAGACGACTTTAAGCGACCTGGATATGGCTCTTGGCCTATATTCGTATTGGGTTTGACATTGAATAGCTTCACATGAGCTTAACACAATACTCTCCAGTTCTCGGGCAGTACTCGATCATGGCGAGCGAAAACCTAGACCAAGACGAAGACTCTAATGCAGAATGACTAGCCGCATTAAATTTAGCTATGGCCAGTACTAAGTAGCAGTGTGGTGTTATTTCTCTCCCACACAACATACCTACATATTCCATACTGGAACGCACTTTTTAAGTCCATTTTGCACCTGGGATGACGCTTCTGGATGCTATCCCAATGTTGGCATTGACAATTTCAGGCTTTCGCTCAGATGAAGTATAGCCTGACGCTTCGAAACGATTTGCTACACACAACTCAAATAATTAGGCCCATGACATCCTATGCACATATACCACCTCGTGTGATTTTATACTATGATATTATGAACATCGCCCCACACCCTCGCAGCAACAGCAACATCTTGACTAGATTTCTAAGTCTTAAGTGAGGAGCTCCCACACCCAATAATCATGTTAAGCTGATTTGATTTCTAGGTATAGGCTTCCAGACCTCCTCTATCAGAGTCATGGCAGATACGCTGAGGTGAGCAGCAATATGATGAGCCTATTGGAACAACGTTGCGAGTAAAAGAGTGCCGGAGTGTGGAAAGATTACGTCACATACGGCCATGTCGCGAATAAATCCAAGGAATAAATTTAAAACATATAGTAAACTAGTAGTCATACTGAAGCTTAAGACGTTAATTGGGCCGAATATGCAAAACCTCTGAGAGAGTACTCAACTGCTCTAGAACCGCCTTAAGAGTGTTGTCGCAGCTTGAAGTCTACTAGTAACCCCGGCTCTGGCGCTTCGATGGTGAATTTATCTACTACACGTAACTCCTTCGTCTTCAGCTCCATCTTGAAATGGTAGAAGAATTGTGCCAGGGCGATCGTAGCCTCCGCGTATGCGACACTTTATAGTTAGCCTTTGATATACCTCCTTATTGTGATGTGACATACTTTATTCCAATGCACTGGCGAGCGCCTTTGCTGAAAGTACACATGTGTGTCTCAAGCTCCTTCGCGTTCGGACCGAGCCAACGGGCTGGGTTGAAGGAGTGGGCATCCTGGCCCCAAATCTGCGGATCTGTGTTCATCGTATACGCCGACATTCCTACAACCGTCTACTCGTGTCAATATGGGTTTGAAGGAGCAGGCTTGGGATAGAACATACACCTGGAGGTACCACTTTACCGTCTATAACAAACGGTTGCGATCGTTTGGGCACGACACGAGGGAGCACGCCAGGTACCGACATTGCGAGACGGAGAGCTTCGTTGACACATGCGCGCTAGAAGTGAGTCAGCGTTTGTTCCAGTGCAACCAATAGGATACCTATAGCGTTTACCAAGTATTTGGTCTGCTCAAGTTGAACAAGCGACGGGACGGATTGGGACCCTCCAAACACTTCATCCAATGATGCTGTCAGTGTTTTCTCGACCTCCGGTAAGCGCAGAATGTGGTACAGTGCTGTGACGAGGGTAAAGGCGGTCGTGTCGGACCCAGCGATAAAGGTATTTATGGCCTCAGCCTTCTGTGAATCGGCAGGTAATGCCTGCAAGTTATCAAAAAGAACCGGGAAGCGAGAATTGGTTGTTCGCTGAGCATAGTTATGATACGAGTCGACTATTATTCCAACCATTTTCTTAGTCTGCCTCAAAATTGGACTGAAGTTAACAGCGACGGAAATAGGAACACACTTCGCCAAGAGCCATTGCATGGTGCTGTAGTATCTTAGAAAGGGCAGAGCTGAGGCCACTTCCATGGCTTTGAGATACTCGGAATTGAAGGTGTCTGGGTCCTCGTTAATCATATTGATACAAGTTCCGAACGAGAACTCGGAGATGATGTCAACTGTCATGCATCTGGATCGGTTAATGTTAGCATCAACGTGTATGCATGGCTGCTCATTTATGGGATCGGCCCTCTTACCGAAAGGCAGGCCACATATTGATGGGGCCATGTTTAGAGATACGGTTGACCTTTTCTTTGGTCTCTTCTACTTTCTCCAGGATAAGTGGTTCCAGTTTACTCACTCCTGACTTGGAAAAGAGAGGGCTTAGCAACTTGCGTCTCTGTTTGTGCAACTGCGCATCAGTCTCGCTAAAGGTTGTGTGATGAGACTCAAAGGTATCATAGAAAGCTTGCTCCTTGGGAAAAGGATTGGCCTGACTGTATATAACCTTGTAAAGGCTTGAATCTGAGATATGGAGGTGATTCGGTCCGATGCGCAGCGCTTTTGTGCCTGATGGTCTGTTAGTCAGAAATATTGAGAGAGATATTGGCTGCCATTTACCAAACTGCTTATGAAGCTTTTCGTATTCCTTCTCGGGAAAGCCCTTCTTGACAATATTTGCCTGCCATTGGCGGCCTATAGCGGCAGAGCGCGGGCCGGGGAATTTGGACAACGGATGAAAGTAGAGCATGTACACAGCCCTGAGAAGCTGAAACGCGACAACAGCACCGGCAGCGGCGGCAAGGCACGACATTGGCGAGTACTCAGTCATGACGAGAAACGGCGCCATGATGAATGTAGTCAGTAATAAATGGATTGAACCGAGATCATGGCATACTGCTTAGATTTCGTATTTCCTATAAGCCAACCATTATATACATAAGGAAATAACTGGCTTTGTGTCTAGCTCGGGCAGAAAATGCAATGTTACTGTATCGAATGCCGAAGGGTTGAGCATCTCGGGACCCCGCCTCCGCACTTTGAAACCCCCGCCTCCATATTTCCCCATATCTATAGTGGATTGACACACAACGCTAGGTGGTAGTGCACCCAAATGAGGAATAGAGGGCCGATCGACGATCCACTTGTCACCCGAAGCCCCGAACTCGATGAGTCTAATACCCTAGAACGCACCGTCTTCCAAAGGTAGTGAGTGCTGTGGTCGCTTTCGATCTTTCCATACAGATACTTGCTAACTCTCTACATCGCTCGACATGCAATCGGATGCCTCCGCAGTCCCTGGCCTGGGCAGCAGTGCCGATGATGACAACCGTAGCCCAGTCGGCGTCGGTATCGGTGACGGCACCGGCCCCCGAAGCGATTCCTCCCCCGCCTCCTTATCGTCCGTGTCGTTAACATGTCCCGAGTGCGGACAGACCTTTCGCCGGCGCGAGCACCTGGTCCGACATCTGGACCGCCACTCCGGACGTCGGTCTTACACATGCCCCGTCTGCAAAACAGCTTTCTCTCGGAGGTATGCTTTGTCTTGACTTTATCCGGCCTCGTATATCCGCCTCGTGTAACGCTTGTGGCTGACTGTTGGGGGGAAAAAGAGACACATTGAAACGTCATGTCGGGACCCATGGCACTGCAGCTCTTGCTGAATGGATGCGAGACAATCCTCGCTTCTCACGAGACCAGCATTACCGTGCGTGCGAAGCGTGTGCAAAGGCTAAGCAGCGCTGCGATGGACGCAGACCTGATCCGTGCGACAAATGTATAAACAAAGGTCGTCGTTGTGTATACCAGCCAAATCCTAGCGACGAAGAGCCTGAAACTATTGTCGTTGCACAGCCTGCGGCCGATGATGGTGTATCGGCTACCAACTCTTCGCCCTCGCAGCAGTTGCAGCCTTTGACTCCACTGTCTTGTGTTCCAAATCCGGTCCAACCTTGGATTGAGCCAGACGTGTCATGGGATAGCCTCTTGACCTCCGCGCAGTTTCTGCTTCCCTTCTCAACAGTGCCCTCTCTTGAAGCTGGATCGTTGGCCGATTTCGGTTTTGGAGATGCTGTCTTTCCTGCCACTGGTCAACTTGCAAACGACTATGATGTGCAGAGTGCCTTTGGTGCTGAAGGAACACAGCGAGAGGTTGTGGATGCCGCCCGTGCTTTCACTGGACCCGACGATCTGACAGCGGAGGAAGAAGACATCCTGATCGCGGAGAACATTCCACACGTACCCCCCCTAACTGAAGAGACGCGGGTATACATGATCCAAGCCATCCAAGCCAGACTGCCACAGCATGAGGCTCAAGGGCTTGACGTCAACTTCCCCTCCCTACGACATCTCGATACATACATGCAATTGTATTTTGAGCATTTTCATCAGCGGATGCCTTTGTTGCACGTTCCGACCTTCAAGGCGTCCCCGGAGACATGGCAGCTAGTTCTCGGTGTAGTTTGCTTTGGTAGTCGGTACTCCCAAGCACACCAACATCACGATCATGTTCAGCTCCTACAGCGAGTGGCCCAACATATGGTAAAATTAGATGTTAGACCTACCCTCAAGCCCTTTTTATCATGTGGAGCTAATAGGATATCCGGTATATTGTAGCTTCGAGAGCTATCGAGCGTCAATGTCTTGATCTGTGCGCAATCCCACTTGTTATTCCAGCATAGCCTCTGGCTCTCGGGCGAGTGGAGGGTTACGGTCGACGCTCAGTTCCGCCGCAATACCCTCATCACTCTTTGTCGCCTATTGCTATCTCGAGAGAGTACCCTCATGCACACGCCTACTCCCACTCAAGACCTGAACCATGCGTGGTTCCAGTGGATACAGACCGAAGCGAAACGGCGGCTCGTCCACTTCACCTACAGTATGTAGTCTTCATTCCACGTCTCTCAGCTTTTAGCTTACACAAAGAGTTTTCGATTGTCTTTACTCAACATTCCTTATGCTTCCTCCTCTGCTCTCACCTACTGAGCTGCAAATCCCTGTACCTATTGCAGGTCGGTACTGGTCATCGACTTGCGAGCAGTGGCACCTTCTCCCTCCAACACAGCCTGCACCAACTCTTTGTGCTTTAGTATCACGAGTTGGCCTTGGCAATGTAGCGCCGGCGAGTCCGGAGCGACTGACCAAGTCTGCAATGCTGCTTTCGGCCTCGTTGCAGCAAGCTGCTGAGAGTGACTTACTGCGAGCTATGGGGCTCGACTCAGCTAACAACACCGCCAGTCAACTGAGTCCAGCTTTGGGCATGGTTACAACACTCTCACAGAGAGCCTTCGATGCTTTGTCACAAGAAGGATGCTCCCAGGAGTTGCGTGAAACAGACAGTTGCGGTAGCCTGAATGACTTTGCTTTACTTTCTCGAGTTCTTGCCATGCTCTCATTTACGCCATTATCACTACTGTTCTCCTATAACAAATGGCAGACAACAGACACAGGTCAGAGTAACGCCCGGTCCGAACTTTCAAACATTATACTGCAGAATGTCACCAGAGCAAGACGCTGCTTGTACTACGCAGCGCAGGTCCTTCAACATTTCCGCAACACCAGACCAGCAACAGTACTTGACATTATGGGCTGTTTAGTCTCTGTGCTATACATGGTGCTGTACGTGGATATCATCGAGCAACAAGATCCCGACTCCACTCGACTTGGGGCTGGCGTCGAAACGTCCAGCATGGAGATTATCCGACTCGACCAAGTCGTTGATGTAGATCTTCTGAACGACTGGTTACAGGTACGAAATCATAAAAGGCCTCATGTTCCTGGGGTCGGTTTCCTACATCATGGTGGTAGCATTCTTCGTTTATATAAAGAAGGGTCGCGGATTATGGAAAGCGGGTCTTGTATCTCCAGAATGGCCAAGGTGATATCAAACATTCTCGCGTCACAAGCCAAAGGTCGTCCTCCAACCGATAAGACGTTTAGAGAGCTCTGAGAGGTTCAAGGGGGGTATATGTGTAGGTCTTTAGATTGGCGACAGCGCTTTCCTGTCATATATCGCAATGGGTCGTCCTTTCAATATCAAGTACTTGTTTGTTGCCAACTCTTCTATGCCGAAAGGTGACACATGCGGCCGTCTTTGTATCAGAATCACTGCAGGCGTTCGGGGGTACGTAAATGGGCTACAAGCCATGGCCACTGCATGTTCATAGATTACTTTGCCATTATGAGTACATTAAACTACCTTCTACAAACCAACATCTTTCTACTACTTCTCTTGCGACACAAAGTCGAGCCTTTGCTTAGACTTTAAGCCAACAATTTCCAAGAATGAACACACCCATCCCACCGCGGTCATGAGCATTCCAACAAAGGCTACAATGGCTTTGCCCGACAGCTTACTTGTGTCCAGCGAAGTCAGGGCCTCACTGGACTTCACCATGTTGAATGCGCGGGTCAGCATCTCTTCATCGAATGTGCTTACTAAAGTGGCAAGCTCTCTGTCAGAAGGTACGCCCTGTTCGAAAGTCGTTTGGTGAAAGAGATCCACAAGGTTCGCGGCATCAGTTAGTGCCTGGTTTGCTCCCATGCCTCGACTCGGTGGCATGGGATGCATGGCATCGCCCAGGAGGATAACTCGTGAGTTAGCGTCAATGCCACTTCGCCAATCCTTCTCCGGTTTCACAGAGCTGGTCAAAGGGCCCGTCCGAATGAACTCAGTCGCTGATTCCATGATTCGAACAAAGGGATCGCCGTAACCTAGCTGCTTTCGTACGTATTCTACAAGGTGGGGAACGATCTTCCGAGGATCCGAGCCGGCCTTGGCTAGTAGCTCTTCTCCATGAGCTTTGGAAACAATGATCGACCAGAACAATTGATATGACGCTTTCTGGCCCTCGCTAAGTTCTTCCGTGTTCTTGTAAATCGACATGTATCCAAGGGCATGCTTGCCGCCAAAGAACAAGACCGGGCCGTCTCTGACAAGCGATTCAGGTAGTTCATCGCGGACAGATTGTGAGATATGGCCCCGAGATTGAACCAAGAACTGGCTATGTAGCTTGATCTTGTTATTGATGCCGACCTGCTTATTAACCAGGCTGTTGCTGCCGTCTGCTGCGATGAGAATGTCGGCATCCTCTGGGTCGTGACCATCAAAATGCAGCCGCACACCGCTTCTGTCACCGGAGATGAGTTCAAAGCGTTGGAAGGTATAATTGAAGTGAACACGCCCTTCGGCGAGCATCGGCTCCAGGAGAGCACGGCGTAGTCCGAGTCTTGGTAGAGACCGGCTTAGGGGATACCACTTGTGCTGGTCTAGGCGTAGGAGAGCCTTGAAAGTAACAGGGTCAACAAGCGTAGGCGCCGTCGGTTGGTCCTCGGACCAGACCTCGCGGACTTTGGGCCAGACTTCAGGGCTGGACACTGTCTTGAGGGCATTCAGGCCACTGAGGCTAATGCGGAGCTGGTAGCCGCCGCGCTCTGAGCTGAATGCAATCGTGTCTCGTTCGAAGATCTGAACATCGAATCTCTTATCTGGATCCTTCAGTAGACCGTTGGCGACTGCAAGCCCAGAGAGGCCTGCGCCAATGATTGCGACTCGGATTTTGCCCTTATTGTCCTCGCGAGACTGAAACTTTGATGTAGCCATAGTGGATACCGCAGTTGTCTAATTCAATAAACGACAGATGATTAAGAAACGGGGAGTTGAAAGCGTATCATTTCCTGGAAATCTCCAGATTTATCTCACATATCATTTATATCTAAATGCTACTCTTAGTGATGGTATATTACCCTGGCTAGACCAACGGCACAGTACCACATCGGACAACCCCGCAATGTGGAGTCGTCCGTACCATGTCCGGAGTTGAGAACAGGTCCGTCCATCCGCTCCGCGGTGTAGGGTTGCGGAGGCCCCGATACTTGGTACCTGTAGTCTTCAACAGCCTAACTATATCAAGGAACCTACTTACACCATGAATTTTCTAGGTCAAATCCATCTCAATCTAGACTGAGCTCTCGCACATCACAGTTGGCTCGCCTCTTCCTTTGTCAGCCCGCATAAGCTTCAATATGGACGCAACAATTGAGTGGCTCGGTGAGTTTTCATAGCACTCTACTCTGTAAAGTGTCGTAAAGCTTACTATTCATCCAGGTTGGACCACGTTTCGCATCAAGGTCAACGGTCTCGTCATCTTTTTGGACACATGGCTAGACCGCCCCGAAGGGATGCCCAAAGTGTTGGATATCGACGATGTGACTGAAGCGGATTACATCTTCATCTCACACGCACATTTTGACCAGTTAGTATCATCTGCGGCTCTAAGATATCTCCTCGTACATAGTGGCGGCTAACCAGGTGTCCTCCACACAGTCTACCCGGAGCCGATAAGATAGCAATCAAGACGGGAGCACACGTTATCGCCAACGGTGAAGCTATCAACGCCCTCCGATCCGCTGGAGTCCCCGAGGATCAGTTGATACCAGTGGCTGGTGGCGAGCGCATCCCTCTTTTCACTCTCGAGACTCGTCATGCCGCGGCTCGTGGTGAAGTCGGCATCGTTCCTGGGCCACCAGGTGCCCCTACTCGTCCAGATCCTAGTTTGGCAGCAGCTTCCGTCCACGTCTGGCCTTCACTGCACTGCCTGTTGCCAGGCAGCTCGCCCGCCGACTTACCAGAAGTTATGGATACTGGAAAGGAGTATATCGGGGGAGCAAGCCAGTACGCTTGTACTCTTGACATCACTTTCATGCTGAAACACGGCCTGCTCAAGCTAAGCGACCATATGCCTCGTGAAGCTATGGATGAGGGCATGCGCTCGTTCGTCGACTGGATTGATAGCCCGGCGAGTAAATGTTCTTCTCCTTTTGACGGAGGGCAGCTAATGTTCAACTTTCTCTTCGGGGAGGGTAAAACCGTGCTTTGGAATGGGCATCTTGGCATGTACGCCGGAATACTCAAGACACTGCAGCCACAGCCAGACATACTGATTCAGGCTATTGCGGGGCGGGGGAACTTGAACGGGAGACCGTTTGATGGATCAGCGGCCCAGTTTGCGGTGAAGTTGTCGAAACTGCTAGGAGAGCCGAAGAAGGTAATCTGGTGTATGCACGAGGATCAGCCGGTCTCGCCACGACGGTTAGTACTAGCACCCGCTACAGAAGCAATGGAGAAGGAAACTAGTTCCAAGGTGACTACATTACAGCTGGGTGCATTGGATAGACTTTTCTAACATAACTTCGGGGGCTATCATGTTACAGAAAGTATATACACGTGCACAGGGGAAACGTTACGTAAAATGATTCCACGTACATTGCTATGCTCAATTCCTTGTCTCCTTGGGACCCATGACGAACATCTCCATTTCCTACTCGAACCCCCATATCTACCGGCTCGTTTCTGTATCAGAGGAAAACTACAATGGCATGTTACAAACCATTCTACTTTTGAATCTGTCCGACCAGAAATTCCGGACCTGGAACCGCTGCATCAGCGCCGTACAGAAAATGGGCAGGCAGGATAAACAATGTCCCGTCGCAAACCAGATCAGTAGGGAGACAGAAGATCTTGGTTCTATCAGTAGGATAGTTCGGAATGCGACCCCCGAGCTGCTCGTTCTTGGTATACCCAAACAAGGCAGCTCCAACAACCTGATTCTGGACCGCGCCATCGAGCTCGCTTAGTGCATATCCGACGACAACCGTTCCTTGACTTTTTATTCATAGAGTTAGCAAAGGGACAGTATATGGGTAACTGGGAGGAATTACCTATATCCAGCCGTCACGACGGGCGTATCTGGGCACTTGGTGTAGGCCATCTGGAACAGTCTCTTAGCTTCATCGATGGAGGCATCGGTCGTCCCTTCGGGAAGGAAGTTTGGTGCAAGATCAGCTTTGTACGGTCCACCAACACCTTGTATCCAGATATCAGGGATGGCAAGCTGCATGGCCTCGGCGAGGATGGGCCCTACGGTGATTCCCTATCTAAATTAGCTTTTGATATCTGCGTTGTCGAGGGTATGTAACGAACAAGGTTGCCAGGTTCTGTACTACCACGCGCATAGATGAGGATTGCTGTAGGACAATTGGAGGAATCACCATTCTCAAGGTCATTACGGTTGAGAAGGTCCCGGGCTTGTAGTAGATTGGCATCTTGGGCTGCGACGGCTCGCTCATCAATTGACGCAGTTGGCAAGGCTGTAGAGCTGGCCAGGAGGAAGGAAAGGATGAATGCAGCCCGCATGTTGAAGAAAGTCTCGTAGATTGGATAGAGTATGATGAACCTCGGAAGCAAAGGCTTTGTATAAAGAACAGAAAGGTTGAGTGCAATGATACAGGCTTACGTCTAGATAGCTGTCTTCTTTATATACACGACTGCCCTCCTTCAGCCATCTTCACAAGTCCCATAGTCCTGTCCAGCCTATATTTCTCCTTCCACTTCTTGTCTAGTTCACTTAGCTCGGATTCCTACGCTTGATCGGTTATACGGAATTCACATGGCTGTGTAGTTTCACCTGTCAGAAGCGCACTACTGTGTCGTTCCTTTCTTACTATCACGTGTTCAGAACCAGACTCTTGCTAGACATGGTTCAGCTATGTAGCATGAAGCCCAACTCAAACAATTCACTTCGAAACATAAAGAATCGAGTATTGTGTACTGTGATGATGACGAGGTCGATCTTGACTCTCCTCCCCAGGAAGCTTCAGTATTTCTTTGAGGAACACTTCTGGTGAATACCTCCACATCTTTGCAGTCTAAAATGTGATATTAACAAGTCACCCGACCCTATTTCACGTACGTATCAGGCCTTCCCCGCACATTGTGCCCCAGAATCCCTTACATTGGTTGACGGTATTGAAACAGAGTTCAATTAACCCCAGAAAGGATGCTTACCCCAGGTTTTGAGATATATCCCTCAAAGCATGACCAATGAAGAAGTGGAGAAGCCGAGGATCAAGAAGCGCATTTCGATGCTGAAATGCAGGTCGAAGTGTGGGGTACGTATGCATCTTGTCAGCCAACCTCGGATCCAGGGTCCTTCTTCTCCTTGTCATATGAAAGATGATTGACCTGTTGCGGCTTTTTCATCTGAAATCTCAAAGGAATGGCGCATGAATCAGTTAATCATGTCTCGGCGGAAAATCGACTTTGGACCGAAAAGCTGGTGAGTCTTCCCAAAAGCGCAGTATCTGGCGAGGTGGTGGGGAAACAAGAGCAAAGTAGTAGTGCATCTGTCGAGGACAGGGAAGGGCCTTGTGTAATTGCTTGTGCAAGGCCAGCCTGCTGACAAAGAAAGACAGTAGATAACCGACGTTCAATGGGATTGCAACAGGATGTTAGAATTGCAAGCTCTAATTGCAAATAACGAGTAAATCTTAACTACCCTATACATGGGTCAATTTATTTTAGGACCAACAACGATCTCTCACGAAACCCAGCAGTCCGAAGGTAACTTACCTGCGCCCCCGCAAACGCTCCCTACCTGAATAAGGTAATGCCTATTTTTATAAGGGAATCGTAAGCTATAGGCTAACTAACACCCTGACCAAGCCTAATGTCCCCAAACCTGCTACTGACAGTCGTGCCTTGGATTTTGTTTGCCATCTTTCAAAAGTGCCTGGCCGGTATGAGTTTGATATATTTAAATGTATACTTAGTGAATCTAGCCTCAGCTTCCCTTCATTCATTACTTAATGCTCTTTATAATTTATTTTCAAGTTAAGAGTTATTTTTCTAATGGTTACTATAAATATAGTAGTAAAATAATACATATTAATAGATTTATACATTTAGTATTTTACCTAGTTAAATCATACACAAGCGAAGTTATGTTGATGAGAAAGGAAATACCGCAAACCAGACCAACTTCTTGCATTTACGGATTTATCCACTATCCTTTGGCACAATCAATCACCTACACGTGAGCTGCACCTCGGGCCGAGACTCCGAAAATATGGCGCAACCTGAGCCCGGATGCGGCACGATACCAAAACTTGCCTATCTTGGACAAACGGCGGTATATGGCGGCCCGAGACTGGCACTCTCATCTCAACATGCCACCACCAATCATTCCTGTGAGGCACAAGCCTCATCTGGTAGGTGGAAAATCTCCAAGTGCCGTAGATTAAATACGGTGATGATAAAAAGTCTCGCAATCCATTCAATTTTGAGCATTCTCGGGGCTTGGTGAACCTTATACCCCTGCGTCATCCTGTTTCGTCACGGAGGCTTCATATCCGAAACACTGCAAATGACAACAGGACCAGACTATCACGTCACCTCAAAGCGCTTGTATAAAAGGCACCTATAATTCGCCAAATATGAAGTTCACATCTCCTGTCAATACAGTGTCATTCGTTATTTACTGGACTTCATCATGAGGTTGCTCTCTCTTCTTGCTGCTTCGGCGAGCGTTGCGCAAGCTGCTCTCAAATGGCAGAATGTTCGCTTCGGCGGTGGAGGCGGATTTGTTCCTGGCATTGAGTTCCATCCTACTGCCAAGGGGGTTGCGTATGCGCGAACTGATATCGGCGGACTTTACCGTCTCAATGCGGATGACTCTTGGACCCCGCTAACTGATAGCACTGGTGTTGATGCCACATGGTACGTTGAGGCCCGGAAAACAGTAGAGCGTACTGACACTTCCACAGGAGCCGCTGGGGTATTGATGCTCTTGCCCTTGATCCAAGCAACCCTAACAAGGTTCTTACTGCTGCTGGATTATACACCAACTCCTGGTATGTCACCAAAGTCAAGTAACTCTAGTTTCGTCAGTCTCATGCTGTCTTAGGGACCCCAACAAGGGAGCTATTGGTATCAGCAACGACAAGGGAGCCACATGGTCCTTCACTGAACTCCCGTTCAAGGTAGGCGGCAACATGCCCGGCCGCGGTATGGGCGAGCGTCTCGCCGTTGACCCCAAGAACTCCAACATCATCTACTTTGGGGCACGAAGCGGCAACGGCCTCTGGAAAAGTACAGACGGAGGCAAGAGCTTCGCCAAGGTAACATCTTTCACCAACGTCGGCACCTATGTTGCCGATCCTAGTGATAGTTCTGGATACAACAGCGATATCCAGGGCTTGTCGTTTGTCACATTTGACTCCACTTCATCTCTTGTCAATGGCGCGACGTCAAGAATCTTCGTTGGTGTTGCTGATACCAAGACTGCTTCCGTTTATGTTACTACTGATGCAGGTAAGACATGGAAGCCGGTTGATGGTCAGCCTGTGAAGTATCTCCCGCATAAAGGCCAGTTCTCACCCAAGGAGAAGGCTCTGTACCTCTCTTATAGCAATGGTGGTGGACCGTATGATGGTACAGCCGGTGCCGTCTACCGCTACGATGTCGCTGCCAACACCTGGAAGGATATCACCCCTCCTGGAGATATCTACTTCGGCTTCGGTGGTCTTGCGCTCGATCGCCAGAAATCAGGTACTCTTGTCGTTGCTTCCCTCAACTCTTGGTACCCCGATGCCCAGTTCTTCCGATCCACTGACTCTGGCAAGACGTGGTCTACGCTCTGGAACTACAACGCTCAGGGAAACCTTGATCTTCACTACGGCATTTCTACACCAAAAGCTCCCTGGATCTACAAGAACTTCATCTCAGTTGATACCAAGAAACTGGGTTGGATGGTTGAAGCCCTGGCTATTGATCCTTTTGACAGCAACCACTGGCTGTATGGTACTGGCCTGACACTCTACGGAGGTCATGATCTTACCAAGTGGGATACCGTTCACAATATCACTATTGAGTCTCTCGCCGACGGTATCGAGGAGACCGCAGTTCTCGACGTCAAGTCAGCTCCCGGCGGTAGTGAACTTCTTGCCGCCGTTGGTGACGATAGCGGCTTCACTTTTGCCTCAAAGAGCGCCCTTGGAACATCTCCACTCTCGGCCTGGGATAACCCAATGTTCACAACATCGACGAGTGCTGACTACGCGGGCAAGAAGGTCGGCAATGTCGTGCGAGCTGGAAACAGTGACAGCAACCCTCAAGTTGCCCTATCTTCCGACGGCGGTAAATCGTGGAAGCTTCATGGCGCTGCTGAGCAAGGTCCCAAAGGAGGTACCATCTCTTACTCTGCCAATGGAGATACAATTCTCTGGTCTCCTGAGAATAGAAATGTCTTGAGATCTCAGAACGAGGGTAGCTTTGCTTCTGTTTCAAGCCTACCTACTGGTGCTTTGGTTGCCAGCGATAAGCAAGATAACGACTACTTCTACGGTGCATCAGGATCAAAGTTCTACGTCTCCAACAACACAGCTTCAAGCTTCTCCACCGGTGGATCTCTCGACGGAGCTAACTCTGTCAAAGATATCGCCGCTCATCCTACCAAAGCCGGCGAGGTTTGGGTCTCTACTGACGCTGGTATTTTCCGCAGCACAGACTACGGCAGCGCATTCTCAAAGATTAGCGGTCTTAGCAAGACTGAGCAGATTGCTCTTGGCAAGGGCTCTGGAAGCAACTGGAACGTGTACGCTTTCGGAACAGGGTCTGCGGGACGCAAATTGTACGGCAGCTCTGATCTCGGCAAGACTTGGACGGACCTTCAGGGCTCTATGGGTTTTGGTGCTGCTGACAGTGCCAAGCTTGCTGGTAGTGGAAACGAAGCGGGATTGGTCTATGTTGGAACCAACGGCCGTGGTGTCTTCTGGGGCCAGGGAACCATTTGAGTATACAGATCTAGTCTAGGTTCCCTTAGTCCAACTACAGTTGCTATCCTCTATCACCAGTCACATGTCCCCTTTCTAAGCCAAGAAGATATCCCTTCGATGTGAAACTATTACGCCCTAGCTCACTGGTCAAACATGTTCAATCTCAGTCGCCCTCATCTTTTCCCCATCCCTCTCATCCAAAGCTCGAGCAGCAATACCCTGGAGATAGTTATCCCTCGCCTGAGACGCGAAGATGGGCACGTCAGGTCCGAAGAGCAGATCCATGTCCTCAAGTTGTACCCCCTTTGTCTCTGGAATAAACAGCCATGCAAAGATGATCGCGAGAACAGTACATGCACCGAAGAACAAGAAGGTTCCATAGGTAATACTTAGCAGTTAGCATATGCCGATGCTGTGTCAAGGTCTTGACTTACCCGATGACCATGTGCGGCAAGCTGTAGACCACAATGAACTGAGTCACCCACTGCACGCAGATGCAGAACGCCATTCCAAGAGTACGGACTCTGTTTGGAATGATCTCTGACGTGAAGAGCCATGGGATTCCATTCCAACTCATACCGTAGAACAGAGCATATATGTATACCATCGCCACGGCAGTCTTTGCTCCAGCATCCATGGGTGGAATATGTTCAAACGAGCCTGAAACCTTAGAATAGCCGGCCAGGTAGAACATTGCGATACCAGAGCCAACGCCACCTATCAGTAGTAGGGGTCTTCGTCCTAGCTTGTCGACCAGGAATGCAGCATAGAGCATGGTAGCAGCCATCTTCACGATGCCGAAGATGCCAGTGGCGAGCAGGCCAACAGAGGTACCAGTGAAGCCGATGGACTTGAAGATGGTTGGGGAGTAGTAGTTGATCGCGTTTATACTGCTTTGGTCAGCTGTGCCTCGTATGGCGTTCATCATGACTCACCCTGTGAAGTTTTGAAATGATACAAGTCCGCATGACAAGACTATCCTACCACGAACTCCCGGCTGGAACAACTCTGAGAATATCTGACGCCAGTTCCCTCTCTGTCCGGTTGATGACATCTCATTTTCAATAGCCACCTCAATCATTGACATCTCGCGGTCGATGTAGGCATGATCTTGAGGGAGGTTGCGAACCCAGCTCAGATTCTTTCTGGCGTCTTGAAGCTTACCCTTGGAGACCAACCATCGCGGTGACTCAATCATGGGTATCATGAAGATGACCAACAGACCAGCTGGCACGAACTGAACAGCGACAGGAACATGCCATTGCATATTCCCTTCTGGGCTGATGTTCTTATTGACACCGTAGTTGACCCAGAATCCACAGACTAGTGCAGCTTGAAGCATGACTTCGAATGTCCCGACAAGTCGTCCACGGATGAGGGCAGGTGAGCATTCAGAGACATAGATTGGTAGGATCATTGCACTCGATCCAACTCCCCAGCCTGTAAGTGCCCGACCGACATATAGACAATCGAGTCGGCCAATCATCTGAAGGGCTGCGCCGATGGAGAAGATTATAGCGGCGAGTATAAGGGTTGGACGACGTCCGAAGCGTTCGGCGACAAGGAAGCTTGATGCACATCCAAAGAAAGCACCGCCCTGGAAGGTCGATACGATATTGGACGACAAGTTTGCTTTCGCAGAGTCGCTTGCTGTGTCCAAACCGTAGGTCCTTTGGAAGGAGGGTAGACTGAGAGTACCTCCAATAAAAGCACTGTCATAACCGTACATGGCAGCTTGCGATGTTAGTAATGACGATAAAGAGGAGGCATATACTGTAATCACTTACAAGCCCATGATGCCGAGATGGCAAGGAGATAAGGCCGGAAACCATAGATCTCTCGCGGAATGTCTTCACCTTCGAGCGACGAAGCCCTCACTGCCAATGGATTGCGCATGATGATTGCTGGAGACGTATGGAATATTCTTACACAAGATGACACAATACACGGATCCTTCCCGTCTTAAATGCAAACAAACGGAGTCCTCATCCTCGGTCATGCACGACCCGAGGCTCTGGCACGCGACACAATATTCTGCGGATTATTTCCGTTATCTGATTCAAACATTCTTCCACCCCTGCATTATCCCCGCATAGCGTATGGTTGACTTCTATAAGTTAGGTCTTGGCATACCCCGGAAAGGGATGGACGCGGGGAAGCGGGGGTACATGATCGGCATCAACTCGCTGATTGGCATCCCTACGATGATTTGGGTAAATTATCTTCCAACCGATGCGCCGTTCATGGTTCTTGGTGATTATATTCTTTAGTGGCAAGGCTAGTTTTTAATTGTCTGAGTCACGTCGGCGAACTCCCACTCATTTATACAAGTTTGTAAAAGTATCCATCGGCCAAATATTCTGAAACAATTTCTTCTCCCAAACCAACATGGCCCCGAAGAAGCTCCCTACATTCGACGAATTGCCTTTGGACAAGAATGGCCCTCCAGGTAATGCATGGGGTCTCTGGGGATCGGACGATCAACTTGGTAGGCTCAATTTACTTACACCAGAGACCGTACGCGCTGCCGCAAGCGAGATAAGAGAAGGCATCAGAATATCTTTGGACTGGCCACTTGACAAGCTTTCACATCCCCCTTTCGGGAGACAAGCTCTTGAGCACCGGATACTCAACAAAGCTCCCATGACGATGAACGACGATGTAATCACGTTGAATACGCAGAGCAGTACACAGTGGGACGGGTTCAGGCACTATGGTGAGTACCGCCGCCTTTTGATCATGTCAGTGCTGACTGTTGGACAGGGTACCAAAGGACTGGACAATTCTACATGGGTCACAAACAGGAGGAATTTGTGCCAGGATCGCAACATCTTGGGATCGATGGTAAGCCCACGAACATCAATCAATGGGAGGTTCTGTCTTACAATCTGTTCACAGCTTATGCCAACAACGGCGGCATCATCGGCCGTGGTGTTCTCATAGACTGGTACTCCTGGTCCCAGCGCAGCAACATCTCCCTCTCCCCATTTCAAACCAACGCCGTAGAAATGTCTCACATCCGCGCTATCATCGCCGAAGAGAACATTGAGTTCTGCCAAGGCGACATCCTCTTTATCCGCGTTGGTTTCACGGCACACTACAACGCGCTCTCCCCCGAAGCACAGGAGAACTTTCCCTATCGCCAGCCCGGAGGTCTTTTGGGCCTTGAAGCTACTAAAGAGTCCCTGAGATGGCTATGGGATAGCGGCTTCTCAGCTATAGCTTCGGACGCGGCTGGCTTTGAAAGAGGTCCTGCGACGGGAGCGTATAATCATCCTGACGTGAGTATACATCAATGGGCTCTAGCAGGATGGGGAATGCCAATCGGTGAGCTGTTTGACTTGGAGGAGCTGGCCGAGAAGTGCAGGGAGAGAAAGCGTTGGTCATTCTTCTTAACGAGTGTTCCACTCAAAGTACCAGGGGGGGTTGCCAGTCCAGGGAATGCGGTAGCAATATTATAGAGCTTTTGGTTATATATTCTTTGTAGAATAGTCAGTCAATTCAGATTTCAGAACTGAATGATATGCTCCTTTCCAATAAGTACACTAAAGCTCCGCCAGATAAAACCCAGTTGTTTAAAGATAGCATTCGTATTTCCAATCACAGGGTTGACATCCTCTACCTACAAGATATCCCTTTCAACATCAGAGTTACCCACTTTCCTGATCATATTCTTGCCTTTGGACCCAATAAACCTTAGCTTCTCCCTCCAAAGACCGACGAATAAGGGAAGACCAGAAAAAGAAAGGCTATCCACATCACGAACCAGTATCTGGAGAAGGAGAAGCTACACGCAGTTGCTTACTTCATACACAAGTCCATCCCAGTTGCAGATTGGGACGTTGAATTCCATGACGATGTAAACATTGGGTTGGCTGCCACACTGCTGCTGCGGATTAGTGATGATCAAACCATTGCAATCCACAATGTCTACAATCAGCAGAAGAATGTCAAGATCCCGGATCTTCTGCAGAGGGTCACTGCAACTGGTGAAGACTTTCTTGTCGGCGATTTCAACCTTCACCATCCGACATGGAGTGGCGACAACGTAACCAAGATCGAGCCCCAAGCCATCGAGCTCGCCAACGGCCTTGACAAGGCTGGCATGGAGCTCTTGGCCCCCCGTGGTTTTCGCACCTACGCCAGAGGAAAACATCGAACTGGCGAATACAGCTCTACCATTGACCTTACCTACGCCAGCCCGTCTCTTATCCCGTTTGTCCGCAAATGGCAGTCGCCAGACGTACCAGGCTTCGATTCCGATCACCGTGTCATCATGACCACATTGAACCTCGAGGTCAACCGAGTTCCCAGCACCTACTACATCTGGAAGCGCGCAGACCCCGACAAGTTCCGTGCGTGTGTTGGTGAGTCACTGAAACCCATTGGGTTTTCGGCACTTACAACCCCCGCCATGGTCGACAACTACGCCCGTAAGGTCGTTCAGGCATTCAGTCCGGCAATTGAGACGCTGGTACCTCTGGCGGCCCCGCCAGGGTCGAAGCGACCCAAGTCCCGGCCCAGCCTTGTCACTCAGCGAGCCCAGAATCTTCTGAGACTTTCAGACGAGAAAGAGCGCCACGCTGGCGTCTACACGGAGATTCAGCAGCATTACAAGGTCAAAGGCTTTGCTCAAAATGTCATTCGCAAAAAGCGCTCCGCTTCCTTCCATCGCATGCTCTCCCAAGACATCGCGAAACGCAGAAGACTCTACTTTTGGGCCCGAAGGGGAGCGAGCTGGAACAAGAAGGCTCTCATGCCCATCCGACAGCTCAAGGCCAACAATGTTACCCATCGTACGCCTGATGGCATGGCTGGCTGCTTCAGACAGGCTATGTGGCCAGACGGGACCAGTAACGAACAGCAAGTGCCCCCGGACCGACCACCACCCGACGACTCCGACAAAGTTCCTTTCGTTGTTTCACAGGACTTGGAAAAGTCCGAGGTCAAGAGTCTGATCACTGGTGCGCCTAGTGGTAAGGCAGCAGGGCCAGACCTGTTGGCCTACGAGGGTATGAAATTGGCCCACGAGGAGCTTTTGCCTTACCTTCACCACCTGTTTGCAGCCTGCCTCAAGCTCGGTCATCATCCCGCTGCCTTCAAACAGGCTTGCACAGTAATGCTGTGAAAGGGAGGCAAGGATGACTACGAGCAGCCCAAGAGCTGGCGACCGGTCGCTTTGCTTCCCTGTATGGGAAAACTTCTCGAGAAGATCTTCACCCATCGGCTCAAACAGCTTGCTGTCGAGCACAACCTCCTCCCCGATGTACAGTTTGGCACTCCCGGCAAGTGCACCACCGAAGCCTTGCAATACCTGCTCAACAACGTCTACTACGCCTGGACCGACAAGATCCGGCGACTGGCTACTATCATGGGACTTGACATCACGGGCGCGTACGACAGGGTCGACCGGGTCAAGCTCATGAGGATTCTGCAGGAGACTGGCCTACCGGAATGGATGCTCAGTTTCATCTGGTCCTTTCTTACCGATCGCATCACCGACATGAGGCTCCCGGGCTTCACCTCATCCAGCTTCTGGGTCAACATGGGCATTCCTCAGGGCAGTCCCTTGTCTCCCATCCTCTTCCTTTTCTTCTCCATGCCCATTGTTGGTGCCGCCTCCGAGTACACTAACTCCAAGGTCAAGATCTACCCCTTCGCCTACGTCGACGATACCTACCTACTTGCCGTGTCCGATGATTTCGAAGACAACTGCAAGGCGCTGAAGGAATGCCATGACAGGATCATGGTATGGGCCGATTCGGTCGGCGTATCTTTCTCGCCTCACAAATACCACGTCATGCACTTCTATCCTCCTCGTGGCCAAGTTAAGGCTTGTACCCTGATGCCGAAGATCCCCGGACTTGAGGGAAACAAGCCCGAAGCTTCAATAAGAATTCTGGGTGTTGAGGTCGACAACAAGCTCAATTGGCAAGCACACGCTTTAGGGGTAAGATCAAAACATCGTAGGGACTGTTTGTCACATACTAACTCGTCTCATAGCTGGGTGCAAAGGTCAACGCTAAGATGAACGACATCGCTCGAATCTGTAATACAACTGCAGGCCCCGACATGATAGCCTTGAGGCAGCTCTACATCACCATCGTTCGACCGATCATATCACACGGCTGCGGCGCTTGGTTCATATATGGGGAGGACAAGGTCAAGTATCAGATCACGAGGGAACTCGGACGCTATCTGGGTAGGATTCAAAACCAATGCCTGAGGATAGTCACTGGAGCACTCGCTCGTACCAAAGGGCGAGCAGTCAACAAGGAGGTATACGTTGAAGACATCCTCGTGTACCTGGATAGGGTCGCGACAGTGCAGAGGGCGCGCGCTCTAGACACTCCAGACCACGAAAGGCTTCGCAGAATCCGACAGCAGGGCAGGACCCCAGCCGAGTTTGACCTCCATCCATACCACGCGCTGGACCACGCAGCCAGATACCTTTTGGAGAGAGCTAACGAGTCGTGTAGGGACAGATCACCCAACAATGTGAGGAAGGCGATGGTCAAGATTGCCAAGCAGGACTCGCACGAGATGTCATGCAAGATCTGGAACCGGCACGTCGAAGAACGCAATAATGAGCTTTCACGATTTCGCAGCGCAGCCGATATGGATAAGGCTGGATGGGGACCTCACAACCTCAAGCGCTACCGCGGCCTGTCTCGAGCACAAAGCACGATGCTGATACAGTGCCGAACCGGTTACATCGCCCTCAACAAGTACTTGCACTGGATTAATGTAAGCCTCCCCCCCTCCCCCAACGAGCCAACGTTGCTGACCATGGTTCAGGCCTACGAGAGTCCGGTTTGTGATTGCGGAGCCGCCGACGAGACCGTCTTCCACGCGTTCATCCAGTGCGAGATGCTAGCGACAGCCCGAATAGAGCTGTACACTGCACTCGGACACCAAGACTTCTACCGGATGCTATCCGAGAAGCCCGAGATCGCTGCCGACTGGGCGATAACGCATTTCGAAATCCCCCAGTTCGAGTGCGCCAAGCAGGACTCCCGATTCAATTCGGTTGAGTCATCTGCCTCTGCCTCTGCCTCTGCCTCCCAGCCACCCAACGTACTTGATGAACTCAGGGCGTGGATTTACGGGAGAGCGAGATGATTTACATGTCCCAAGTGTTACTTATCTGTGTTTTTCTTCAACTTGTGTTCCGTAAGTCATCCATCCATCTGCCATTCATTGCTGTCGCACTCATACTGACTCCGTCGAGTCATACTGCGTTGTCTTGCGACCAGATCCAATCTATTACTAACCCGCTGAGCCAGCTTCGGTCCGCTAAGTAAAGCCATTGATTCCTTTGGGTGTTTTGTGTACCGACTAACATCCCCCGCCAGCATTTACAGTTTTTCCCCCAACGCCAAAAGTGAGTCCCCCGTCATTGATCTATCGCGCCTTGACTAACAACTTTTCCTCGCAGCCTTCATTTCCCAATTTGCCATTTTTCCCCTCTTTCCCCCCTCACTTCCCCTCCTTCACTTCGCGATAGCCCTCGATTCCCACGATACAAGTAGGTGTTTGCCTGGCCTCGCCGTCGTCAATTCATTGCTGACCCGAGCACCCGCAGCATTCACATCCCCTTTTCGACCACTGCGACCGCGCATTTCAACTCCATGAACCACGGCCAGTATTGACCGTAAGTTTGTCAGACTCCGAGACTTGCAAGCTCTTACTAACGGCCATGGATAGGTTGCCGCCGCCCGATGCGATGTCGTTGATGAAGGCCTGCTGTTGCCATGACAGGCGTCGGCCCTGTTCTAAGCGATTGATTAGGTCTTCTAACGCCTCCATCTGATCTGCGATATAGTCGATCAGGGCTTCGTCTGCATCGGTACCTAGCAGCTGTACTTGGCAGCCGAAGATTGCTAGATGTTTGTCCTTTCTATATCCAAACTACCTTGCTAATGCTAATGATAATCCCCAGTGACTTGCTGTATTGTTGACAGCTTGTCGACATGCGGCAAGTGATTTCTTGTTATTTTGTGACGCCTTAGGAAGGATTGCAGTATTGGGATATATCTGAAGTCGAGCTTGTGGACCTCTATTGGAAGACCGGTAAGTAGCACCAAAATGAATGCTTTTACACATCATCACCAGAAATCTAATGTACTTCACAGGTTGTGTAGTCATTGACTGCCGTGACGGGATGGCTGTGGCCGATGTTGATTGTGCAGCAGCGCATCTGTGAGTTTCCTTACTTGCTATCTGCGTCATCGCCGCAAATGAACTGACTGAGGCATGCTACAGTGTGATTGGATTCTTGGTTTCTTGGTTGTTATGACTTGGTCTTTTGAGGTTGGAGCCTTGGTGGTGATCGCCTTGACGGGGTGACGATGGAGAGGGCATTCGGCCTGCCAAGGCCGGGGGAAACAGTAAGTACCTAATCGCTCTGTCTGTTCTGGAACGTCCTAACTCACCATTATTGCAGTCTTTTTTATGCTTATGGATTGAGGCCACTAGTTCAGTTGGATCATAAGGTTCGTGGCAGCAGCTGTATGACCTTGAGACTTATCATTAAGGTTATTGTGTTTTTTTGGCGTGGTGTATGACGCCTTATATTATGTTATGCTGAAAAATAAGTATCTTATCGTGTTATCTTCTTATCTGAGACCCCGATTGGCTATGCCTTGCGTATTGCTACAGGGACATTTTGACTTTTCAATAAAACAGAATACACCAAACACTTTCCTCTTGCCTCTACCGTGACATGTTAACCTGGCTTCATTCGTCCTGACGCGTACCTTGACTCAGATTCCTTCAGTGAGACTGTGAGGATGCGGGCGGGGCTGCTGCCTAAGGTTCAGCCGCAAACTCAAATTTCCAGGCTTCGTGTCACTAAAATCTCAGTGGCCAACTTTGTGTGACGTGGTCTGATTATAAAGCTCCACGCCCATCCTCCTCAATCCTTTCTGGTACAGTTGCTCTGTATGAAGCACTCTCCCAGTCTTCCAGCCTACCCTATTGCCCTCTCTAAACTAACACTCTGCCTCGACCCATACTCCTCCATAAACCAGTACCCCCCATCGCTGGCTTGAATCGATCTCCGCCATGCCTTCATCCCCGTTCTTGAGTCTCCCCCCGGAGCTTCGCCATATGATCTACAAATACTACTACACTACGGCTGATGGCTATTCCCTCCAGGCAATCTCCTGGAAGCTCGCCACCGCCGATGGCAAACCGATTGACCTCGCCCTGATGTACACCTGCCGCCTTATAGCCTACGAGAGCAGAGACATGCCTCTGTCATATAATAAAGTCACCGTCTCTACAGTCTACGATCCCGAATTCCGCGCTTGGGCTGGCCGCTTCGACTATCTTCTCTTTGCCCAGTTTCGGAAACAGGTAAGCCTTGTTCTTATCTTGGGCGACTGGTTTCTCACTGAAGAAATGTGGGTTCGTATTGAACAAACGTTTCCCTGGTTCGTGCCGCAACTCAGAGAAGCCCTACGCCAACATCGACGCGGATCACAACGAATTGACCTGAGAAAATTTGAGTACTGGAGTTTCTCAAATTCCTTCAACTACTCCGCACAGCCTTTTTGTCGGCAGTCCTATGGATTATCCGCGCTTTGCGAGGCCCTCGAATTCACGCTACGTATCCTCGCCCAGACAGAACCCACGGAGAAGTTTGATAGGATTGTCGAGTATGAACTTCTAGACTGGGAACATAGCGGTAGCGATCGTCTCCTTGACTTCCTCGACCAGTGCTTTAAGCCTTGGGACGTACCGCACGCCGATGTCCTTGCAGAAATGGGGCGCAGGTTTGGAGATGATCACCTCTGGCCCAATCTCAGGGCCTGGGTGCCTAACACATACCAGACCAAAGAGTATCATGCGAAATTTCGCATTTCTGCAGCCTCTTCAGCCATAGGCTGGCTCAACAAACTTCCCGACAACAAACGAATGTGCATTCGCGGTATGGCGATCATTGAAGATTACCCCTCTGTAGGCCGTCAAGAATGCCACGCTGCAGGCCTCGTCCCTTTCTGCAGAGAGAATCCACAATTACGGATTAGTCACCGGGTCAGTATGCTGAATGTCATTTTTTCTCGGGCACTACTCAATCGCGCCGGGTTTTTCGGAGGTCTGGCAACTTACGCAGGGCATGAAATTGGAGCAGAAGCCTTTGACCAGGCAAACCTTATATCATTCTATGAGATAGCAGAATGGCTGGCAGAGATTGTTTCTCTCCCTAAGGCCGGAATGCCCAATGGGTCCTATACCTTCACTCTGGATGGAGAACCCATGGCATTCATCTGCTCCCGGATCTTTCAACAGATTGTCCTTCGAAAGGAGGCCATGCGATTTACCATAGAGCGATCGCTCCCAAGATTGGATCCAGAGGAGCGTTTGTATTTTGCTCTTGGGTTGCATCGAGGGCATGGCGACGCATTTGCGCAGCTCATCGATGACAGTTCCTTCATCAAAGCTAACTTCGACACTGGTCAACTTTGGAACGCAGAGAAAATGCTGGCTGAGTTTCGACGGATCGGACAGTATGAATTCTTTGGAAACTACAGAGGTCTTCGAATGCTGTACGAACTTCCCCGCCCACCATCGGTTCATATTGTACCAAGGTTGGGAGCGCTGGCAATGGAGAATTACGAAAGCAGGCCTTGCCGTCCGCGCTCCCTGAGAACCTGTTGGTGATTCACGTCACCTTCAGGGGAGGTGGCCACAAAACCAAGTGTGTGAAACAAGGCTCCTCAGCACTACCCATGGAGCGAACATCCCGTTTAGGTAACAGTTGCATTGTTAATTTGGTCGGAGAACGTAGACTAGATGCTTCGAATGTCATTTCGATGTGCGCAAAAGTAGATGGTGATCTAGGTAAGACTACTATTAGTTTCTGGAATAGTTATTGGTAGTAAGAAGTAGTTAGATGCGTTTCATCCAGTCAATCCACGGTGCGACATGTGAACTTGGCATTTGACATTTCATCTTAAGCAAAGCTGACCAGCATTCAAAACAAGCTATGGGCATAAGTCTTCGATATTGTTTGCTCAAACTGATAACAGATGCAAGTCTGTATAACTAAACCATTGTGCAATTATGTCCATCCTCCCAACTTGCCGCTGCGCGTCAGTCTAGGCTCAACATCCTCCCATATTTACGTATCAAACCCCCAACCGACCTGATCACTCGACGACCCAGCAAAACGCATCAGACTCCTCGCACCGTTGACAGCATTGAATCGTCCGCCCTGGAAGGCAGCAGCGGCCACTCCTAGCGCAGCTCTCGTATCAACACCCTCATTTCTCGTGTTCGCATCCCCCCTCTCTAGAACCTGATTCAAAAACGCATCACCCGCCAAGCCCTCATATCGGTCCAGGCAAAGCTGCTTGATGGCGGGCCCATACAAGTCCACCCACTGCTGCTCACTGACAGTGGTGTAGCTCTTCTGGCCGTTCGCGTCGGTCCGAGAGAACGGCCATTCGGCGCTGACGACTTGATATCTCTTTGTGATGAAGAAGAGGACTGGCCATGAGAAGATCCAGAGAAACGTGAGATAGAAGATCCAGCAGATCCAGGTCGTCAGGCGCCACGTATTGAGGCTATTGGATGAGTAGATGTCAACTGCTCGGTCGGCGACTGGGAACTCAATCGTGAGATTTCCTTTGTAGTTGGAGCTTCGGACATAGTTTGTCAGACTATCGCGGAAGAAGGCCTCATCCATGCCAGTGACTGTTCTAGTCAAACGGAATCTGGAACTCGTTAGAAAGAAACTCAAGACATGATGTGAAACATACACTTTGGTGCCGGCTGCTTTGGCACAATATCGATGACACCATTCCTTCAGGGTTGGCTTCGCATGACCAACTTCGATATCACCTTTCGCGCCGTCCTGACGTTTCTTCAGCACCGTGCCGCGGTATGTCTTCTCGCCGCTCTCAACAGTCTTGAGCGTCGAGTTGCCCAGAGGATTTGTGATGAAATTGGGATACAGATAGTTCTGCAAGTTGACCATGATCCGGAAATCGGTCACCTCTTCACGCTTACTCTTCCCATCGCTATCGCGCTTGGTTTCCTTGTGAGTCCCTGTTATGTTGATATACGGCGAAGGAGGATACGCTGCCATGGTTCTGACCCATCTCTCGAGAAATGCTGGGTCGGCATCGGATCGGGGATCTCGCACGGCGTTGACTTCGTTGCCGATACGAGTGCGCTTTTGACCGATGCGGTTAGAGGCGAAGGCGATGTGAGACTCGGGCCGGGTGACGCCTGTTTGAAGAAGTTCTTCTTCAATCCCAGTGCTATCGATAGCAGCCACCGCTATAGTGCTTGGATCAAGAGTCGGTGTATCCTGGTATGCAGGCGGCGGTGCTTCATCGCCGTTGAGAACGTCGTCCTCTACGTGGGCGTATGAGGGTTCCCCTGCAGTCGTGTGCAGTGACACGGCGTCAGGGTCATCCCGATAAGGCTTCAGCGACGGAGGATTGCCCATTTTCGCGAGGCTGCTATGGTTTACCAAAACTTGGTGAGTATGCCGTCCTATTTGAGCAGCTTTTTAGGTCCAGCTTGAGCTTAGGCAGCAATCTGTTTGTGTTGAAAGAAAGATTAACTTATCTCACGCGTTCACGGCGCGGTTTTTGTCAGATTTCATGCCCCAATACGGATGGAGTAACCGCCGATCCGGCGATTTCCAATTTGGGGATAGCGGCTATCTCATGACCAAACAAACAAGTTGCCATGAGATAGAACTGTCATTGACCAATGGATTGCCTATAAAATGCAGAATATGAAGATGAAATTCGTTTCACAACTGAGCCGTGCTATAGACTCCTGTGAAATCATCTATCGACTCATCTGGGTTGTTCATTTTTCACCAGATCTCCTTCAGAGCCCTTATCTTTCATTAAACGAACACAAACCCCCCCTAGAAATGAATCGCAGTACGAATTTCTTTATTCCACATATATAGGACACTGTAGCCTATTGTTCACTTCTGCTTATGATGAGATTCCGGTTGGCAAAGATTGACGTTCTAGAAATGTCGGGGCATATACTTGTTCAGTAGTCCTCTTTCACTGGAACTCGTGACACGCAATATGGTTTGGGTGACCAGCCAATTAGTAGATCTACTCCAGCAAGAAATAATGGCTATAAAGTCATACGACGTTCCTGAATGATAGAAATTCCTCTCATTCTCATTTAGGACTCGCGCTTTAAAGGTAAGTTCCAACCACTTCTCATACTGAGTCCAACCAGGTCATCTTTCTATCAGAACTCTCAAACCCACCAGAAATAAGTCTCTCAGAAAATCATGTCTTTGGGTGTCCGCTTCACAACTATACCCGATCCCTCGGAGGTCGGCGAAATCTGGAAGGATCTTGAAGAGCTTATCGGCTCACTCAAGTCTCGGCTCGAGCGTCGAGAAGAAGAGTATTCTGAGCTCGCTATAGACGTGGTCAATCGTCTAGAGTCGGGTATCCAAGGCGAAGAACGTCAGGCTCAACTTTGCAAACTTCGTGAGTCTTGGGGGCACATCCAGACACTGGAGCGTGAGCTACGCTTTTACCTGAAACAGCTGAGGAGACTAGCTGAGAGCTCCATGTCAAGAATTGCCGAGCAGCTTGGGACTCTGAATGTTGATTCGATGGCGAGGGCTATCCAGGCAAGTGAGATGAGTAGTGCATGCTATGAGAAGCCTGTCGAGCCGTTGTTTGAGACAGTCACTGAGTCGCCTCTTGAGTATATATCAGACTCTTGGAAATGCCAAGAGTCGGAGGAGTTCAAAGGATGATGAGCTTTGAAAAGATCTCCTAGTGAACTTCGAGTCTTGCTAAGTAAATGTAAAAGTAGTTGCAGTTGGATTAACAGACTCGAATCAAATAAACTTGTTTGACATTAATATAAGTAGCCGGAAGTATGAATATGTGAAATGAGGCCAGAAATGAGCATTTCCAATTACTGTTTCTCTACCTAGCGACAACCACAAATTAACCCAAGACTCTATACACAGGGTACTCGTCCCCGACATTGACCGGCAGGATATTGAATGTAGCATACGAATCGATATTCTCAGGCTCAAGAACAGTAAACGCGTACCCTGCAGCAGCCTGCCTTGTCGGCACCCAAAAGCTTCCGGCCGGCATCGTGATCTCTTTCTTGTTGATCTCAGTAGTGACCTTATTCAACACAGTTCCCTGGTAGACGGTGCTGGCCAACTCAATGCTCGTAACGTTATAAGCTTCAACCTCGCCGCGGAACTCAGAGCGAATGTTCTCGACGGTAACGCCGTTGAGGCGAAGTCGGTCGGCGGCTTCTTTCCATGCTTGCGGGAAGATGTACGCTTCGGGGCGAGAGCGGGTAAGGTTGGACTTGACAGGTGTTGAGCTAAGGAATTGCACGGGGATTTCGACGAGTTTGCCGGTTGGGAGGTCGATGAAGTCCCAGGTGCGGTTGGTGGGCTGGAAAGAATCTGTAACGACGACTTCGTCTACGCCGTCGATGAACTTTTGACGGGCACCTTCGACAACTTCGTATACCTCTTCAGCCTTGTCCGCGGCTGTTTGGACGATGGCTTCGACCATGGTCAATCCTGAAGCAACGCGGCGCTGAAAGTGCTGGCTTCCAAGACCGATGCCTCGAGTTTCAGTGAGGAAGACCATAACTTGCGTCAGCGCCAATGAAACATCACCAGCTCGCGCTTGAGTGTCAAGCTGAGTAAAAACCAGTGGCTCCTCCCTAGCATTTCCAGTGATATAAGGGCTCCAGCGTAGATTCAGCTTATCCATTGCCCCGGCAATTCTAGGCACGAAAACCTCCTCGGAGTATTCCCGAATGTCCTTGTGAATATTGAGATTCTTCATAGGATCAAATTGACCATCCACGGCTTGCGCCCACTGATCTTTGAGGCCATAAGCCCGATTGGCGCTATATTCATGAGCGTCTACCATGACGTGAGGAGCAAAATCGACAATGAGTGCCTTGACCTCACGGGTTTGTTGACTTGCGAAACGAATGTGATCTCTGTTGGGATCGTAACCCGTTGCCAGGAATCGCTGGAAGAAAGCGACACCATCCGGGTTGTAACGAGGCAAGATCATGATGTCCATTTTCTCGAGTATGGACGCTGCCCAGGTTGAGTTGGCGTCAAATTTGCCCAGCAGCGCGAGGAGGGCTTGGTCGCCGCCGGGTTCATTTCCATGGACACCACCTTGAAGGTACACACGGAGCTTCTCGGATGAAGATGAATTGGCCTTGATCTCAGGCTGCGACGAGGTAGACAAGTAAACATATGGAATTGAGCGTCCTTCGTCGGATTTAAAGGACGGGTTGTTGTATGTCGACCAGTCATTGCGAGATGCAAGACTCTCGAGGAAATAGTCTGCTAGTGTTAGTGCATGGATCTTGAAGATGCGTTGGGAACATACTCAAAGTAGCGTCGCTTGTTGGTCCGCTTGTGCCATTGTCGAAACCAGCGGCGATGCTCTTGGGGTCAATGAAAGCAGGCGACTGGAGATCTATCTGCTTGACCTCAGGGAAGTTCTTGGCAGCTTCTTCACCGTCTTTCGTAAGGGCAACTTGATTATCGTTATACCGAATTGCGGTGGCCAAGCCGGCGCACAAAAGCCCAGTGAAAGCAGCGCGAAGCGTCATCTTTCCAGTGGACCTACAAATTCCAACAACAAAGAAGAGACATTGGAACCCGATGATGCGGGCATTTCAGCTTTTAAACCTCCCCAAACAACCTTCCTAGTCCGTGACGATCATCATACATGGGGAGCATAATGACCGAACTTCCCCGCCGATCCGCATAGCTTATCAGTAGCAAAGTTAGCCGATGATAAGCTTAAACCGTTTATAGTAGGTAGCTATGAGAATTGGCTCATTTAGCTCCGACGATGTTACAATCAACAGCGGGGAATGGGTCTGCCAAGGCTTGGTGGATGAGAAATTGTTTGCCGGTCTGTGGAAAGCAGGTTTATACGTAGGCTATTGCTTGGCTCTTTTTCTGTTTCCCGGAGAGGTGATAAGATAAGATAAAGATAAGAGTCTGGAGCTGGGTTGTGGTGGGGAATGCAGTGGTTGTGGGTAACTCCCGCAATGGAGTATTTATTAAGATACGTTTTCAGGTGTCTGATTTTTAATACTAGCTAATGATAAATGTGTAATTATTCTATTTAATAATTAATATATACTATTGTTGGCTTAACAATCTGACAGACTTTTTCTTACTATCGCACCGCCATATCCATAATCAATCTCGGTACGATATTCACAATTAGTGTTCAGAGTATCCAAGGTTGGAGAAAAGCGAACGGCGGTCGGGGTGGTATTGATTTGCAACACCTTGGCAACAATACCATCCCAATTACTCCTCTACTCACTGTTTTGCTTCAATCATAATGTTAGTAAAACTAATCAATACCATTCAAACATTTGTCAAGGAAGGCAAAGCAAAGTTAAAGTGATTATAGGTGTAGGACATAATCCATAAGTTGAGGCAGTATGACATAATCAGAAAGTTCAGACAACGTGGCCGAGTGGTTAAGGCGATGCCCTGCTATCTCTTCCGAGACATCATAGGCATTGTGTTCGCACGCGTAGGTTCGAATCCTGCCGTTGTCGATGTGTTTTTTATTGCTTTTGCATTAATGGGAATGCTAATTTTTGCCAGATCTACAATTTGACGTTATCGCGAGACTTGTCGATGTTGTGTTTTGGTAGCGCGATTCGGTGTTGTGATTGACCTTACAGTTACAGCGCAGCTATGTTTCTTTTTGATACATTAAATATTACTTCTGAAAATGTTTTTTATTGCTTTTGCATTAAAGGTAATGTTTATTTTTTGCCAAATCGACAATTTGATGTTATCGTGAGACTTGCCGACATTGCGTTCCGGTAGCGCGATGCAGTGTCGTGATTGAACTCATAAATGCTGCGCAGGTATGTTTTTTTTCGATGCAGTGAATATCCGTTCTCAAAAGACAAGCCATAATCATTTCTTCTTATTTGCATCTCTATGGTAGCAATTAATCAGAGTCCGAACTGCTGCTAGAATCGTACTTCCCACTTCCCTTCCCGAACTTGGGCTCCGGCATGTAAAGATGTGTCAAATTATGCGTCTCCCCTCTCTCCATTCCGCGACACGTATTTCCTGCATCGAAGCACTTCTGACACGTATCCCAATCTCCATTGTTGCAAACACTGCAGTAGTAAAACCCCCCCTTGATCAAGAGGTTGCACACATCACAGTAGTACTTGGGATACACCTTGACCAGGTTATGCTTGCCCTTGCCTTTGCAGACTTCTCCTTGGGCAAGGCAATCTCGGCAGATATCGTAGTCGCCGCCATCGCACTTCTTGCAGTGCGCGTAGGGTCCGCTGATTACCTGGTCGCAGATGTTGCACTCTAGGTCGACTTCCCAGGCTGGAAAGTGGGCGAAGTCGGAAAAATCTTCTGCCGTGCGGCCATGCTTCTTGGCTTTGCGTTTATCTGGTAACACGTTAGTATTCTTTTAAAAAGGTATCGTCTGTGATATTCATCTCACCAATTCGTTCTTTGACAAAATATCCTGCTGCACCACCGGCAGCAAACCCTCCAGCTGCAGCGAGGAAAGTAGACGACTTCTTTTCTTTCTCAGGCAGACTTGGCCGGGAATCTTGTGGATTGGCGTACTGTGGCTGACCTGGATGTCCCATCTGTCCATCATAACCTCTGCTCTGAGTGTTTAAACTTCCTGGGAAGGCTGGCATGCCTGGAATAGGCGGAAGATCCGATGGAGCTTGCCAAGAGCTTCTGCCTGAAGTTTCGACGTAGCACCATTGCTGTGACTGCTCAGACCAATACGGCACCCATCGAGGGGGCGCAGGGCATGAATGGCCAGGATCAGCAGTGCCAGGTCCCACTATCCTTGGAGTGGATTGGATTGAACAATTGTTTGGGGCTGTAGGAGCGCCGTAAGGTGCATGTGTTGCAGGAGGCGACTGCACATATTGGCTTGGAGGTGCAGGTGATGACGGCCATTGCGGGTGCTGAGGCTGCTGGGGAGACTGGTAATTATTGTATGGCGGTGGCTGTGGCTGCGGACTGTGAGTTTGATGTCCAGAGAGCGGCTGGCCTGGATATGGCTGCGGTGATTGTCCGTTATAAGATTGATAACCGGAGCTCTGTTGGTCCTGTCCAAGATAAGGAGGTTGTCCATATCCTTGCTGTTGATTCTGGTACGGCTTGTTGTTATAGGACTGGTGGCTTTGTTCAGTGGTCTGAGGCACTGGCGAATGCGCTATAATCGATTGGTTAGCGGATCTCTCAGTTAGCTAAATCATGGTGAGCTTCACCTCCTTGCTGTTGTCCTAGGCGATCACCTAAATTGAGCCCTTCAAATTCTTTCTTGAACTTGTTTAAGAACGACATATTGTCAAGGTCTCTGCCGTTGAGATAAGAACAAACAGAGAAAATGGACGAGACGTCGCGAAGGAACCTTTTAAGAAAAATATAGTTGCAAGATCAATGCCTGCGTTCAATCAATGTAAGCGAGGACTTCTCTCCAAGGAATGGTTTTGAAACGTGAGACTTTATAATTCAAGACCTCCTTTCGTCATCGGAGGATTTACCTAGCCCATTACCAAGGCTCAGAGCTAGTCCTTTTGCTTAGCGGGATGAGATGGCTTGTCTGTTGACGATCCTATTAAGCCAGCACAGAGGACTTGACGATCCTACGCTAATCAGCGTAGGCGTTGGAGTAGTGGCGAGCTAGCCAGCCCTACAGGGAACTGATCATTGGACGTCTATACGCGATTGCCCTAGAGATTGGTTCTTCTGAAGACGATGATATCATCATTCTGCAGAGACCTTTTCAGCTCAATTAAGTTCGGTATTTGCATCCAATATTTGCTGGCGATTGACATGCTGATCTATTTTGAGAGGCCTCCTTGATGTTCCCGGGAGGAAGCGGGGATTTTACTCAGCCCTGTGAGGCTGTGCTTAAGGACTTTGTAACGGGATCCTTGTCCATGGCCGAAGGATCTGGGTGCCCCTGACTTATTACCAGTTGGATTTGTCCAAATTATAGTCGCGAATTCACACTGTCTACATTGAGAGCATATCTTTGTCTGTCTGTGTTGGCAAGAGAGCTAGAAGCTTGTGCTTAGGTTGATAGGTCGGAAGGATGATGCGCATGGGAAGTTTAATTGCCAGCATATGGTGATCAGTCAGTGACGATATCCCCCAATCCAGTTAATGGAACATTATTTAATATCAGTTACTCATCCAATTACTGACCTGATACGCCACTTTTGTCCTTGCCTCCATTATCTCCAGTCTCTTGACTGCAGATCTTGTCCCTGGATGCTCAGACCCATGCGCCTCCCTGTAAATGTCTACACAAGTTTGCATCAGCGACAGAGCATTTGTATGTTGACCCATATCCCTCAAGATTTTGGCCCCCAGCTTCATGGTGTTCAACGTCCTAGGATGGTGTTCCCTCAAGACACTTTTTCTTGCCACTAGCACTTGCTTCTGGAGCCGAATTGCTTCTTCAAGTTCTCCCTGTTTCCTGAAAATCGAAGCTAGGTTATGCATGCTCTGCAGCGTATCTGGATGTTCTGGGCCCAACAGTATCCTTTGTCCCTCTAACACTTGTATTCTTATCTCTCTAGCCTTATCATATCGTCCCTGGTTCGAATATACTATCACCAGATTAGATTTCATTTTGAGAACAGCTGGATGTCTGTCTCCTTGGATCTTTTGTGAGACTGTTAATGTCCGGACGAGAAGGTCTTCGGCTTCAGAATCCCGACGCTGACAGGTATAGGTGAATGCCAGACTGCTCATACGGTCAAGGGTCCGCTCATGCTCCTCTCCCCAAATCTTCTTGCTGGTTTGAACTAGCTGAAGCTGAATGCTTTCAGCTTCATCCAGCTTGTCTTGCCTCCTGTAGGCCGAAGCTAACTCACTCAAGCATCTCTGCATAGTCACATGGTCTTCTCCAAGAATTGGCAAAGCTGCTACAATCGCTTTCTCGCTGATCTCCTCTGCTGCTTTGTACTTGCCAGTGTGAATCATATATCTTGCATATTGATACAATAGCTTTGCCCACGGTTCGACGTCATCCATCTGCGGCTCTTCCTGTGTCACAGACTCCAAGTGCGGTAGCAGCACCTGGCATGTAGCCCAGTTTTCAAATTCGTGAGGACTGAAATTGTCACGCATGGAATATATGAATAGGCTCTTCAATTGTGGCAGTTTGCCCGAAGACGATGTCCAAGCTCTGGTGCAAGCCTGCACCGTCGCGTGCAACTCGAAAATGTCTCGCTTGGCAGTCACATAAACCAGAGAATAGCTGCGAAGCACGTCTAGATCATCTTCAAAGCTGGGAGCTTTGTCTTTCAGACCTGCCAGTGTGCCATTGTAGTATTGAAGTGCGAATTCTGGAATTCCTTTGTGATCGAAAAGACTCATGAAGGACAAGAGATCGGTGGCTGACGGTCTTTCGTTACGAATCTTCTCGAATGTAACTTGCCAAGTGGTAATGACGGAGTTGGAAACAGTCTCGTCTCTGCGGAGATCACCAAGATCGATCTCCAGAAGGCTGTTCCTCTTCTGATCACTTTCTTGGAATGCTTTCAAATAGCTTTCGACTGATTCTCGGGGTGCACGTCGGTTGATGTAAGCTGCGGCTTGGGTGATAGCGAGGGGGATGTAATCCAAAGCCTGAAGAAGCTTAATAGCAGCGTCATTCTCGAAGTCGCCGGTGAGTTTGTTGGTGATAAGATGTAGGCCTTGAGCCCCATCCATGGTAGACACGTGGAAGATATTCTTGTGGCTACCAGTCAGTCTTTCTGCAACATCTAGGCTACGAGACGTGACCAGGATGGTGCCATTGTTGCGCTTCGGTAGGAATGATGCCAAAACCCGCTCGTCTGGGCCTTTGGGGTAGAAGAGTTTGATGTCATCGGCATTGTCTATAATCATAAGCCAACGACCTGACTCATTGTTCTGCAACCAGTCGCGAACAAGAGCGAGGATGTCCGTGCTTGACTCGTCTCGCTTGGGTAGTTTCATCCTCTCCGCTATAGCGCGGTAGGCTTCTTCGAATCTCGGTCTCGAACTTGCATGGACCCAGAATATGTTGATATCAGAATCCTCGTCGTGGATATAATAGGCGAAGTTGATGGCAAGCTGCGATTTGCTGCATTTTGTCAATTCATAGTATCGTTAGAGGGTCGGAGATACATACCCAAACCCTCCCATGCCCACAAGAGCCATGCGGCCAGCAGAGCCGCTGTACTTGTCTCTGAGCCACGCCGTCATATCGGGACGTGCGACGAAGTCTTGATCTCGATCGAAGGGAACATTAAAACATGGCGGGCGAGCTACGGACGGCGTGCTCTGTTGTTGTAGTGACAAATTCTCTACCCGCTGCGACACGTCGAGTAGTATTGTGCTATGGAAATGAGCATATCTACTTGCGCGTCAATTTGGATACTCACGTTTGATCGACTTGCAAACATAGAGTGATAGTCTGTTTGTAGTGCTCAAGATTTGCTATAACCGTGCTTATCTCCTTGCTCTCGAACGGCCACTTAAGCGCACGGAGTCCAAATCGGCGCATGGCCTTCCGCGCGCTCCCAGGATCAAGTCTATCCCGGACTTCTGCTAGTTCTGTCTCGCATGCATTAAGCGAATCGATTAGCGACCGCGATGTCGCAAGCGCCGTGTTTTTCGGGTCATTGAGGAGTCTCTGAGCCGCTTCGAGGCATATATTCAGGTCCTTCAGCCGAGTCTGGAGCCGAGAAATGTCAGCCTTGGCATTTCCAACTGCGGTCGAGTACTGGACACAGAGTTTCCCGACTTTGGCGGAGAGCTCAACGATAGCGATGATACTAGCGGCAAGCCCTACGGCCTCCGCCATGGTGTGCGATCTTTCTTTCGGTCACTTTGTCTCGATGTTGATGAGATGCAGCATCGCGCTTTATCAACGGGCAGTGAGGGGCATCATTTTCAACCCTGTCTGCCCGATGAGGCAGTGGTGTCAGCTGAACCCGACGTGGCTTTTACGGTTCAACGACAATGGGCTTTGACGTCAAGGTGCATTGATTGGCACAATCGGGCGGCGCAATCGAGTGTTGGGCGCTTAAATTCTGTAATTGCTGCGCATACTGCTGAGACACATATTAATTACGGCTGAGGTTGCGGATCGAATTTCACAACGACAAAAAGCACGATGTCTGACTGTCAGCAAAATTTGAAGATTCTCTATTCGTAACTGACCCGCTATGCAAACTGTGCTGAGCTCTATCATTTGACAATCTAGTAGTCATGATCCATATGTGTTGTTTCCGCTTTGATATTGTATCTGTGCCAATCGTCTAACGCCATACCCAAAACGCCTTTGAAATGCAAAGTAAATATTCGTACCCTCTCAAATTCATGCAACAGACTCTGTTCTTCGTGATCGTCGACGTCGTCGGCCTTCATGCAATGGCGTAGATCGATGCTTATTCACTGCTGCCAGATCGAGAGTTGACTCGGTAGCAGCTCTCTTGACAACTTCCATAGAGCCATCTTCTTCAATAGTCTGGATAGTCATCTCTCTCTTCTCATCCTCAATCATCTCAATCTTCTCTCCGACACCGAGAAGTCGTGGTGTATCTGAGATCTTGGGCTTTTCTGACAGACCCATCCAGGCTAGAGTCTTTTCCCATATTCCTGGTGGTGGGGGACTCCACATCCCGACATCAAAGGTATAGTGTTGTTGCTCGTCGGGGAGATTGAGCCATACGAAGGGTCTGTTGCTGTTGATCCGTCCTTCGATGACAAAGTCGCCAATCTCGTCGGGGATTAATATTGGCTCGGGAATGAGAATGGTTTGGTAGGCGGGTACGATGAGATGAAGCTGGACAGGTCGGCAGAACTGCTTTCGTCGTGCTTTTGACATTTCTCGCTTCGTGATGCGCTCCCGGGCTGCGAGCATGAACATGAAAACAGTGTCGAGCTGATTGGTATAGCCGCAGAACCGAGGACTTAGTGGTTTCTCCTCGACGAGATGGAAGAACTTGGGATACCAATCAGTATCGGGATGATAGAGAAAGAACCAGTGATCGCGTTCGGTATCGACACTCGTTTGACTTAATCGTTCTCGAATCATATCGAAAACATACTGCGGAAAGTCTCGTTGAGCCGTAAGCGCCGCCTGAGCCTCAAGACTCGTCGAAATCTCGCCAAGCTTGGTCGCGATGAGGTTCAAGGCCTGAACGCCCTGATACGTCTGGATGACATTCGCGCCCATACCCAACGTCGTAGCGACGATACTGAACTGATGAAACAATCTCGTACTATCAACTAACGACTGGCCCATGATGTGCATCTGCGGCAGAATGCTCTGCGCGCCCTTGATGGTCTGCGACGCGCTAGAGAGAAAGTCGTTAGCATGTTGGATAACGTCTCCGACCTTGGAGATCTTATTCGCAGCCTGGACGATCTTGATGACGGGCGCTGCAGAGGCGCATGTGCTTGCCACTTCGAGGGCTGCTGCTTGGAATTTCCTGTCGCGAACTGCTTTGGTGAAGAATTCGTCGAGGCCCATGATGTTAGTTTCAAAAAGAGTGTGTCGAGAGAGTAAAGCTCCGTAGGATGGCCTTTGGAGGAGGCCGTAGAAAAAGGCGGTAACTGAAGATGGAGTACGGCTTATCGATGTGGCGAACATGATTGGTTTAGCGAGCGTGCTGTGGCCAATTGGAGATGGACAGCTGGTGAAGTGGATAACTTGCGGCCCAACGTGAGACGCGTATCATAACAAAGGACAGTCATCGCCTTGAATCCAGGGACGAGAAATATGACGCAAGTGATCACGATAGAGGTAAAGAGCCTGAGCTAGACAGACCCTCTTTGTGGATTGTCTCGGTAATGTGAGCCTGGTAGCTGGATCGTAGAGACGAGCTGAGGGAGCTAAGAATAGCTTCAGGGGGAGCTTTGGAAGTGGGCCGCCAAGATCTGCAGAAGAAAAGCTCTGATGCACAACTCGGGAGATCATTTTATGCAGGCTTGTGAAAGTGTATTGTTATGCCTAGGGTAGTTTGAGGGTCGTTCAATCGAGATCGTGAAAGGCCATGAGGGGTAGGATGGTTAAAACTAAACAATATTGATTACACAATTAAAAAACTATGATTAACATCAGTGGCACTGGGAAAAAAACAAACAATATGGCCTCAACTGTGCAAGTCACCAGAATGAGCTCACTGCTTCTGCATTTTAGCCCAAGCAATGGTCGCGCCCAACCTATCCCCAGATTCATAAAATAAGTAGGTGTTCCCTCCAGAACTCGCAATATCCGGCGCCGCGACCCGGCCAACATCCTCCCCCTTCCCTCTCGACTGATATAGCAAAATCGGCTCAGCTCCAACATCCCGTAATGTCTGATCAATAGTCCTCGCGTAAATCTTACCCGAAGAACCATGGTAAATAACATACGCCTGCCCATTCCACGTCCAGTAATTCGCACCCGAGACATCTGTCCCCTCAGTTCCACCAGGCTGAACAACATAATCTGAATCAACGGTCCATTTACGACCATCGACAGATTCAGCAAGACGGATTTTGCGCCTGTTGTCTTTTTCATTGGCCATGTAGAACATTGCGTAGTTGTACTTGGAAGCTGGGTTGGGATGCGCAAATACACGAGCGTAGCTTGATTCTGTGGTGTTGGAGCCACTCATCTGGTTGTTAACTGCTACGCCGCCGTAACGGAAGTCAACGCCGTTGCTTGATTCTGCCCAGCGCGTTTGTGTGTTATCGCCGTGGAAGTAAAGAAACATTCTCCCAGCATCGGAGTTCCAACTTGCATCTGGGCTTGAGACGTGAGGGACGGAGTAATATGAGTCCCACTTGTTGGCGATGACTGGGTTGTTGGGATACTCCTTCCACGGCCCCTCGAGACTATCAGAGTATACTAGCGAGATACCACCTGGGTTCTCGTGAGGTGCGTAGTACAAATACCATTCTCCGAGAGGGTCGTCTAGATATTCTCCTGCATGGAAGATACTAGGGAAGATGAACTCATTCGTTGGGTTGTACTCAAAGGTAGCTTTATTGGTAACGTGCCCTTTGTACCAGAAGTTTGGCCAGACAGCAGGTGCCGGGGCAAGTTGTGCACCTGCAAGAGAAGAGAAAAGGGCCACTACTAGGAGGCGAATAGTCGTGGTGAAGCGCATGATGTTATATATAAAAAAGCCGCTGATTTTCACTGAAATACAGAACAGATAAGATCAACAGATCGTCACAAAATCTTCCAGCATTATCTTCTCCTTTTATAAAAATCATTTCCATCTACCGTATAACCAACACGCATTATCATCGGCATCAAACCGACACTCCCCGAAAAGATGTGAGTCGTGCCAGCGCATGACAAGACAGAAAAAGGCATGACCCATCCTCATCTCGCTAGTGTCAGCCTTGCAAGCAATTATGCGAGAGTCAGGGCAGCGCCTCGACTGGTCAGAGGGAAGCGCGCAGTGTAACATCGGAAAACAAATCTGCACGCCAAGCCTGGGGTCGTGACTTGCATCTCCCCTAGATTTTGGTGGAGGGAGCGGGTACTGTGTTATTCCCGGTGTTTCAGCATGTGACGCGGACATGTGGCGGTTGGGGATGCTGACTTGTGTATGCATATTTTCATTAGTACATGGACGGTAGTTGGATGAGCAACACGTCATTGGGGTGAGGTTATTGGTTGTTTCAGGTGATGGCTCTGTATGTCAGCTTCCTAACGTGGCAGTATCTCGTCCGATATAGCTGATGTTCAATAAGAAGAATGATCTCAGGTAAGGATGTGGCTTGGCAATATCATGGTTATCAGCGAGGATGCATAAAAATTCGGTGTGAGATGGCTTTACAGTGAAGGAACAGCGCTCCTGGGCTGCGACCTTCGTATTAGGTGAGTATTTTGAAGTATGGAATCACAATGTGATGAACCCGGATAGATCTGGAACCTGTTGAGCGACTGTTCGAAAATCTCAACTGCCGTGTTGAAATTGATCTCATGTCATGGACTCATGGGCCTCAACATCTCCATCAGACTCCAACCAGGTGCTCAACATTGCAACCCAATATTCAACATTACATAACTGTTAAGGGACCTCCTGTTTCAAACATGCAAGGCTGACCGTCCTTAGGATGCATCCAATGAAACCTCGCGTCACTGCAACCGTGCCTGTTTTTGAGCCCTATGTTTAAGACGACAAAACAAAAAACACCCATAGGATCAAATTTTCCCTTGGCTGATTAACTTGACCTAAGATTATCAGAGTTCATCGCTTTTCGCTCTGGAGTCTCGTTAGACTACTGGATATGACGTGGTCACCCTTAGTTTCTTTTGTTCTGACGTGTTTATATGCATGACATCCACATGAAACACGTAAAGTGCCTATACTTCAAGGACATATATCAAAGCGCATAAGCCTCAAAGCTGAGAAACCTGTTGCACAGTGTCATATTGGCATGTCAAGGTGAAAAGATGAAAGCTTCTTACGCTGTAAGATATTGCATAAATGGTGGCAGATGTTGTTTGGCTCAAACTTCATTGCGATGGTCAGTAACACGTCATAGATGATTTTCACAGCGTTGTCAAATTTATGCGAAGAAGCAGTTTTATCAAGCCAAACGCTTTCTATTGCCGCTGATGTCATAGCTGAGGTTCCATGGCAGTGAATGAGAGCACTTGATCGAATAGAATAGAACATGGCAGCATAAGCCGTCGTAGAATTATCATTAAATCAAAACTCATCACACATCCAATCGTCATCAGTCCACCACCATCAGATCATTAACGGCAGTCCAACACTTATTTGAGACCACAGTTGCTAATAGCAACCTGAGTAGCAGTGGCATCAACCCTTCCAAGCTTAACAGCCTGATTATTCGTAAGCGCATTCATCGCAGCAGGCGAAATGTTGAATCCCGCATCGGTATGATCAATCGCGAGAACATTAATGCTCTTTCCCTTGTAGGTGAGCTTCCAGCAAGTACCGCAGTTGGGAGAGTTCCAACCCGCGACGGCTTGGGCACCGCCGATATAAGGGAACTTGGGAATTTGGCCTTGAGTCTTCCACTTGTATTTTGTGATGAGACCGTTTTTGCCGTCGGAACAGGCGACGGCAGTGAGGGCGCGGCCTGATTCGCCGTAGCCTGGGTCGTAGGAGACTATAGAGTGTTAGATGGGGATAGTAAGAGGAGAATGGAGGAGGTGGGCGGACCAGTGGTGGCTGAGACTGAAGTCAGAGCTGCAGCGAGGTAGAAAAGGTTGGTCAGCTGCATGGTGAATGATATTACTGTATTAGAATATTATTGATTGATGAACAGGATGTGTAGATTATGGAGCAAGATAAGAACGAGGTGCACATCTTCCTCTTTATACGTGTCCTCACTCTCTCTGCCCATCCGAATGCCGAGCCATCCGATCATAAACTTCGTGTTCAAAAGCCATAAGCCTCCCCCGCAGCATCTTCCCATCCATGTTCTGATCCCTCTAAACGGTATGTGGATGTAACGGATCGGTCCGCAACGCTCGAGAAGAAAAGTCTAGAGTTTGCGCCAGGATAATCAGCTGAGTGTGACTAACCGAATGCAGCATAATCCTCCCCAAAATGATCGTGTTCGAAGGAAATGGAGGGGTAGAAAGTGTTTCAATTGGCTGGCGGAGCATTGAGTTCCGAGCGTTCGTATTGAAGCGCTCTCGTATTCATCAGATGATTGGGGACGGAAGCTATCAGATGATGATGGTCGGATCAAAGGGTCCAACAAGGTTTGGAGATTTCTGACGTCAGAAGCCACTCCAAACGTTCAAATTACTGCAGATTGCACCAAATATCGTGCTGCTTGTATGGGCGAAGATTAATACATTTGAAGCGGATGATCCGGGATTAGCAGGTTCTAAAGCGGCTCGGTATGCTGCAGCGGAATTCATGATGTTACATTGAAACGATCTCGGCACTCAGGATAATCAATGCCCGCGCCATGAACTTGCATCACCGATCTCCGCTTCAATACGGACTATCCATTCGGTGCTCGTATTCACCATTGAACCAAAGCACGTGTAGCCTGATTGATTCCACTCACACCCGTATAGAGCGCAACGATACAACTTCATCATTACGATCGACTCGGGACGCACGATCCTTGGAAGATAAGACGCCGATGAGCCGTTCAGGCATCAGATAGTCAGTAGCGTAGTAAAGAGTCATCAAGTCCTTCGTCGCAATTGCGACATGATGGGGCCAATCGTACAAAGGAACATGTCTTGTAAAAGGTGATGTGTCACAACGATACTCACAATCTTGTGGTGAGGTCTCAACAGAAGAGCCTCCTCCCACGTGGCTAAATGACCTTGTCTTCATATTCTGGAAACATTCTACCGCTTCTAGTCAGCACGCCATGTGGTTGGCTAATTGATGATAAGCCATAATCGGAGCGGTCTCACAGGACCGAGCGACATTCTATGTCGCCACCGAGCACCATGGCAAGACGACATCTATAGCTGTACGGGCAACTACCTTGCTTACATGTTTATGCTGAATGACCTACGTATGCAGCAGATAAGCCCAATATCACGTGTCTGGTGGGTCATTGAACGAGGCATCACGAAAGAATGGTATTGTACTAATAAGAATGATAAAAGAAATTTCCAACGCCGATTCATGAAACTTCCCAATCGTTACGTAATACATATTCATAAAATCAAGCCTCAACCTTCTCTTCATGCATAGTATGGCCCTTACCATCACTCAAGACAGAACCTCTTCTCCTCGGTGCTGACACTGCAGCCTGGGCATCCCAGTATAGGTAGATAGCATCAGTATCACCATCAAACTCATCATCAGAGCCAACTTCAATGATGCGCCACTTCGCACGACTAACGCGCTCACGGCAAACACCGTTCATATTAGCGAACCTGACCTCAGTCTCTTCTCCACCGTAGCTCTTGATATTTTTGACCAGGTTCTTGAGGTATGTAACGGCGGTTGTGTCCAACATGTTGACGCGGGAGAAGTCCAAGACGACGAGACCGATGCCCGGAAGTGATAACGGATCACTAATATTGGCTTGTTTGCGAAGACGGGCCACTCTCTTCTCCCCGACAACAGACCAGTTACGCTCTGTCTCAGGTCCATGGCTACCGTTGTAGAAGGCTGCATGGAAGGTTTGGATCTCATCAAGTACCTTGGAGGTGTTGGCGAAAGCATTGGGGAAGATAAGGGACTCGTTGAAGGTGAAGATCCTGGTATCTTCTGGGATATGGGTTGATGAGAGGTGGTTGCTTCCAGGCCAGTTCGACCTGGGGCTGGACTCAACGTCAGCTCCCGTCGACGAAAGCTTGGTAAAGACCTGGCGGAGCAGGATGTAAACGATGTTGAAGCCAACGGCGCATCCAATGCCGACTTCACTGGAGTGGAACAGGGTAACCCAGAGTGCAAGCATGGAAGCGACAAAGTCTGCCAAAGAGGTCTTCCAGTAGCGATAAAAGGTTGACGGAGGTGAGATGAGGCCCCAGACAGCAGTGATAATGATGGCTGCTAGTGTGGCTTTGGGGATCCAGTAGAGAGTTCCGACAAGCTCGTAAACACAGACAAGGACAACAGCCATGGTCACGACACCAGAGAGAGGTGACTTGACGTTACACGATGAGTTGACAGCTGTTCGAGACATGGCGCCACCAACACCCATAGCGTGGAAGAAACTGTTGAAGAAGTTGGTGACACCGAGGTAGCAAAGCTCTTGACTCTGGTCAGAGGTGTAATGGTTCTTGACGGCGAATGCTCGTGCAATAGCCAAGTGCTCAACAGCAGAACCAATGAAGACAGCAATACTGCGCGCAGCTACTTCAGGGATGAGGTCAGCCTTGGGCATAGTTGGGGCTTGTTGACCCTTGGACTGAACCTTGACGACTTCGAAAAGGAAGTTATCTGGGTCCCGGTTCTTGTTGACAGCGTAACTGACACCAGTGAAGAGCACCAAAGTCAAGAATGCTCTTGTCGTGGAGAGGAGCCAGATGACTTTGTTGTCTTTGCTCCATCTCTTTCCAGACTTCTCAAGAATAGTGAGGAACAAGATTCCAGTGAAGCCGATGAGGCATGCCCAGCCATTGGCATTGGGAAGCTCATTGAAGATATCGTGGATCTGCTTTGCTGCACCATCACGAACATTGTCTTCACCAAGCAGTGAGTCCATCTGGTTAAGGATGATAGTGATAGCAATCGCAGTGATGAAACCGCTAAGAACAGGCAAAGATATAAATTCGAGAAGGAACCCGAGTTTGAGGAACCCAAGGATGAGGCCATAGACTCCCATCATGAAGGCTGTTGCTGAGGCGATCTCAGATGGAGTCCATCGATCTTGGAGAGCGTGCACGTTCTCGGAGGTGAGGAGACCGATAAGTGAAGTTGGACCGGTTGAGACATCTAAGCTTCGTGAGACACAGATTCAGTGTTAAAGAGATTGTAGACAGCTTACCCTTAGTAGATCCCATAAAAGCGTAGATGACAGCTGGAAGCCAACTTGACATCAACCCATACTCAACTGGAATGTCTGCAATCTTCGCATAAGACAGACCCTGAGGAATCAACATGAGACCAAGAGTAAGTCCAGCAATGAGATCATTAACGATCCATCGTGGATTATACTTCGGCAGCCAGCCGACAATGGGCACCTTGTCACTAAGGTACTGGACAGTTCCTGATGGCAAAGCTTTAGCTCCCTTGACTCCTAGTCGAGCTGTCCGATTCCAAGTGACATCGTTGCGAATGTCTGACTTGGCTTTGTCGAGCAGTTTCATACTGGTGTGATCAAGATGGCAGAATATTCAGTGAAGATGTGATTTTGAGTCTGGAAATTCGAGTCCAGAGCTGACGTTTTGCGGATTAATATAGCCATACACTAAAAATAAGTCTATCTATCTGAAGCTACCCAATCGAGGCAGCTCTATCCTCAGGATCAACTAGTCGTCATGTGTAAGTTACACTCACAGACGTGAACCTTCAGAGGGCATCACATCAAGCCCCTCTACCGGTGACCATTCGCCGTACACCCTCCCCTCATCACCACTGCATCGCGGATTGGGCACGTATATAAATGCGACACTCTGTCTTACGGGCGTATATCCCCATGCAGGAATCATCGACAGAAGGATGTGCCTCGATACCGAACACCGACAGATATCCATTCAATCCGAGAACAAATCAATTCAATTGAGTTCGACTCGAGGTATCACATAGGTTGCTTACACGGCGGTGTTAGCAGCCAGTAAGCTGACCTTGGGCTTCTGCCGGAGTCGCTAAGCCGGGGTTGGGAGGGTTGCGTGCAAGGGGGGACAAACATGTCCGCTGACCACATGATGATGGGGGTACCAAGATCGACGTCTAATAAAGTCCGAGGGGGAAGATCAGTGGTGGAAGTTACATCGATACAACTTCGCTTGAAACGGAACCCAGGGGCTGGACTTGCACATGGGATGAAAGCCTGCATGACTAGGATGCCAATAAAAAGGCGTACATATCACGAGTCATAATGTGGCGTATACCGTGCATCAGCTTTGTAATTTCAGAGCTTCCTAAAGGGCTCTGGTGTAATACTAAAAGGTCTAGAATCTAAAGATAGGACCCCGTCAAACAGCGAATTGTCGAATCAGACAAGTAGGACCGATAACCCGTTCAAGACCCCTCTTCTGCAGGCCACGCAGCCCAACCAAACATGACAGTGATCTTGAGCGCAGCGGCTACCCACAGCGCACCAGAAGTCCCCAGCTCGCTCTTCGCAATGAGTCCTCCAATTATAGCGCCGATGAGGAGCAGCACCGGTGCTGCAACACGCCTGTTTCTCTCCGCATTGACAAAAATGCTCTCAAACAGTTCCGCGTCGGAGAACAAGTCGCAGTAGATGCTCGTCAGAACAACACTAGTCAAAGCGTTGAACTTGAGTGCACGACTCGCAACAGCTTGTCCGCAGCTTTGAAACGCCACGAGAGCTATTGGTACAATGACGTACCAGGGTGTATCATCTGGGCCTGCACCTTTCGGTCCCCAGGTAACGATACAAGCAGCTGCAACGATGAAAGCCGTCTGGATGCCAAAGGACAAGCAAAACACCCATTTTCGTCTAGGCGTAGGTGTAAACACCCTGTGCAGACGACTAAAAAAGAACGAACCGATACAGAAAGCCAGAATTGATGATCCAGACTTTTTCCAACGATTAGTCCCAGCCGTAGGTCCAAGACCAAGATAAACAGTATTTCCTACACATGTCAGATCAGATCAGACCAGATTAAAGCGATGGGAAGGGTTTACCGGTCTGCATAGATACGAAGGCACCCCATGTTGATATGGAAGCACTGTCGAGAATGCCTGTTATGATGTAGCACGCCAGGAGCATAACATCAGCCCAATCTCGGCGGACATCAGAACCTAATCTCTTGCGCAACCAAGATCTAGATCCTAGTTTTGGAGCGAGCAGAGCCTGCGTCTCATCGCTCTGTGCGGAGATGCCGTTTTCAGCTCTGCTCTCACCGTTGGTGATTGCGCCGTATGGTTGAGACATTGGTAGTGAGATTGCTGCTGTGTGAGTGTGTTGCGATGATGATGTGAAAGTGGTTCGAGATATGCGTTTCTTTGTAACGTCGGTTAGAAGAGGGGCATAAATAAACGAAAATTGCCAAGGTGTAAATTACGATTAAAGTCGAAGCACCAGCCAAGCAAAAAAGATCGACGAAACAGGGCCTGGCCTGACCTGGGTCTCCCCCAGACTCCGCGTGTTCACCGAGCTAAAGACAAGGTTTCAAACAAAGCCAAGCTTAGCTCCGCCCTTAAGAGATAGGCTTGGCTTACTCGCTCCCGATCGTGCACCTACCTACCTATTCTTGGCATAAGCGGGGAAATCTCGCCAAATCCCGGGCCTAGTTTTATCTCCGGCTTACAACGTACCCCACATCCCGGGTTCTTCTTTTGATGCACGCTATCACGGCGTCATCTTTACACACCATCTTCCCTTCCCCTCCTTTTTACCACGTTGAGTATACGGCTCGAGGTGATCATGCCCTAACAGGCTACGCCGAAGCTTGCAAGCGCTCGCAACGCCCTGAGAGCTCGTTTGTATTTGCGCTGTGTTACGCCGCGTCCACACATATCGAGAGCTGCTACTGTAATACCACGTAGGCAGGGGTGGTTACTTGTTTGACTTGGAGGGGACTATGTGCCGGATAACCGATCCCCGCGTTGGCAAACGGCAGTCATCACCATCATGCACTGTTACCCCAGACGGGATTGCATACCTAACTAGAAGTAACTCGGTGATTCGCCGGCGATCGCTTTCTCGGCGTCATGAACTTCGTTTGGCGCTGTATCTTGGCATTGTTTACCCTCAACTTTGAGAAGCTACTTAACGTGAGTGACGATTGAGCAATTGGTGCCCCCCATCCATCGTTCATCAATGTCAACCAAATACTCGTCTTGCCCAAATTAGCACTCCTTTTGTTCTTCCAACAAGTCAATTGTAACCTGTCTGTGACAGCCCCGCAAATATGCATCTCCCTCACCTTGCCTATCTCGCAGCCCTTTTGGACATCTGCGCGGGCGTCCCCGTAGAGGACAGTCCTCGCCAGAGGCTCCTCAAAGGTCTGGGACTACCACCCAACTATCGCGGTGTGACGGGCGGCAAGAAAGTGCCGTTCACGCCGGGTCACAGAGACCCAATTGATAAGCCCGTCGACTCTGTCGGCGACGAGCTTGATCCTCTGCCCTGGCGCAACGGTCTCGGAGCTTCTGTTTTGGGACCGTGGAATGAGGCGCGCTCGCGTCAGAATCCTGATCTCGTTAGACCACCTAGCACGGATCATGGAAATCTGGCCAACATGCGCTGGAGTTTTGCAGACTCGCATATTCGCATCGAGGTTCGTGCAGATAATGTGATGTGCAGAACTTTTGGCTAATTTGAGAATAGGAGGGCGGCTGGACCCGTCAGACCACCATTCGTGAGCTGCCAACGAGTGTTGAGCTTGCGGGCGTGAATATGCGTCTTGGTGAAGGTGTTTATCGCGAACTCCACTGGCATCAGGAGGCCGAGTGGGCCTACGTGCTGGACGGAGAAGTCCGAGTTACGGCTCTTGATTACGAAGGCGGAAACTTCATCGATGACTTGAAGAAGGGCGATTTATGGGTAAGTAAGCGGGTTCTTCGCTGATCGTTATCTAACAGCCTACAGTACTTCCCCAGCGGAGTGCCTCACTCCCTGCAGGGTCTGAGCCCCAATGGCACGGAATTCCTCCTCATCTTTGATAATGGGCACTTTTCTGAGGAATCGACCTTTGTGCTCACAGATTGGCTCGGTACGTTTTCATGCGGTTCTGGAGATACACGTAGCTAATAAGGGCAGCTCATACACCAAAGTCTGTGATTGCCAAGAACTTTGACTTGGATCCTGAGGTCTTTGCTCGTCTTCCCGAAAGTGAGAAGTACATCTTTAAAGGCCGTAACCCCGGCCCCATCAAGGATGAAGCTCCCAAGGGTAAGAAGGCCAAGAAGTCCAAGTACAACTTCACCCATCGCATGCTCGACCAAGAGCCTCTCAAGACAAGCGGAGGCCAGGTCCGCATCACCGACTCCAAGAACTTCCCCATCTCCAAGACCGTGGCTGCAGCCCACGCTATCATTGAGCCTGGTGCCATTCGCGAGATGCACTGGCATCCCTCTGCCGATGAATGGTCATTCTTCATCAAGGGACGCGCCCGCGTGACAATCTTTGCTTCTGAGGGTAACGCACGAACCTTTGACTACGTTCCTGGTGATGTTGGTATCGTTCCCAAGAATATGGGACACTTTGTTGAGAACATTGGAGATGAGCCCATTGAGATGCTGGAGATCTTTAGGTCTGATGAGTTTAGAGATATTTCGCTGTTCAAGTGGATGGGTGAGACACCCAAGAAGCAGGTCATTGATACCTTGTTTGCGGATGATCCCAAGAACGCCGCCAAGTTCTGGGATAGAATCAAGGATGCGGATAATGATGTTATCACCAAGCCTGACTTTATTAGGTCTAAACCTGATGCTGGCGAGGAGTTGTAAACTCCCCCACAAAGATTGTATAGGCTATTGTTTTTGGATGGATGTATATAAGACAGATAATGTACTTGTTTTCATGATTCTCGATGGATTTGACATGCCCAGAGTGAAGCCAGAAGTCACATTTCTGGTCCAACTACGACGCGACACGGGAAGCCAGAGAGTGAGCACGAGTAGCACATTGGTTTGGAGTATGTGGTGTTGTAACACATCATAAGCAGGTCCTCAGTTTAAAGTATCTGCCGTGTGAATGAATCCCATGTAGTTAGTTTGTACCGAGAAGCAAATCAGTTTATTTATCATATAATAGAATGAAAACTATGAGATGTATACACAATAGACACTTAGAGTCAATAGGAAATGCAACTGTATCCATCTCAAGGTGATCATAAAGTCCATCGCTCTCTTCATCCTGTTGTCTTACCCTGGAGATCTCCGGTTGTGGCCTAACCTATGATTGGCTACTCGCGCAAACGAGGAATGGGTTCATGACAAGTAAACCTTGGCCTTATTCACGTTTCATTTTCAACGCTCCTGAAATGCAGAGTGCTTGTTATTTCCGTAGCCTGTTGATTGGTACTGCAATGGTAGTTTGGAAGAATCTGGCATAATCATCTCACGCAGTAGCTGATGTCTCCGCTTAATGACTAATCATACGATGGTTGCGTGGTCTAGTTGGTTATGGCATCTCGCTCACACCGAGAAGGTCCCCGGTTCGATCCCGGGCGAAACCATTCTTTTGCCATTTTATATTATTGTTATTATTTTTAACTTATAAGTCAATATATAATTAAAATAAAGTCTCAATGTTTAAGTATATAACTAAATTTAAGTCTATAAAGCAGTAAAAAGGACTGTTTAATTTACTTAAAAAAGCTTTTTTTTTACTTTATTTTTTAATTCTTTAAAGTAATAGCTTATAAACAATTTAACTTAATTTATTTAAATTAAAGTAATTTATATATTAAACTAATAATTATATAGTTTAAGTAAATACAGTTTATAAAGTATTAATTTACAATATAGATTTAATTACTTAAAGTTTGTGATTTAATAGTTAAATAGTTAATATCTCTCTATAATATATAAAAGCAGAATTAACTTTTAATATAAAGAAAAATAATAAATCTATATTTAATATTAGCAAATTAATATAAATCTAAAGGTATTAACCTAAAATAATCTCCTTCCACTCTTTTTCTACTAAGTGCGTAAACGCAGCCTTAAAAACCTTTCCCAGCGCAACTCGGCGATATATTCCTTCTTCTGGATAAAACTCAACTAATAGAACAAAGTAGAGGTCCCATTCTGACTCAATCCTTTCCTTTGGAATATAGTATGTCCAGTCGGGAAATTCCTCATTGGTGAAATCCTTTGCATCAGAAATGGCGATGAACTCAAACAAGGTCTGTTGTTCGTTTTCCTTATTTCCGAGCCACTCGCTGTCGACGACCACTGACCCGCACTTATCCCCACGCTGATCACTGATCTCGCAGCGGCAGAGATGCTGTACGGGTTCGGTCTGATTGGCTTCTAGGCCATTTGAACGCTGCGGGAGGTCCAAGTAACTCTGGGTTTCGGGGCGTAAGACGTGGAATTTTGCTCTCCAAGTGAAGAATTGTAAGAATGGTTGGTCTGGGAACTCTTCAATTGAGCTGGAAGGTATGGATGTTTTGGTTGTTTCTGTTGTAAGAACATTATATGGGTCCTCAGGTAGCGTTAAAGTGAACTCTGGCGATGAGGTTGTTGAGACGTTAGGCAGAGTTGAAGATCCGAGGTATGTCCGGCCAAACTTATCCGTCTGCGAAGAAAAGCTGGCACTTAGCCGTCTTTGCAATCTTTGAACAGCTTTTGAATTGCTTTTCACAGCAAGTGATGATTTTCGAAATGCGCTGGTTGAAGTCACACGTCTCATCGCGACGTCGGATACAGAGCTGGAGTCGGATGAAGAGCTGGAGCTGGAGCTGGAGCTGGAGCTGGAGCTGGAAGTTTCTGTTTCCTCGTTACCTCTCTTGTCATTTTTCTTTTGACCTCGTGTTACTGTATCGTAACCTCTCCATCGGACGTCTTCACTTTCATCTGCTTTGGAATGACGGGTGTCCCAAACTCGACGGAGGGTGCCGTATCCATCGCGTATATGCCAGTCAATCCAAGTATGGTTCAAGATCCAAGTGCGCACATCGGCTAAACACCCACCAACCATGTCCGAATTATACATCGCGCCTTGGCTATTCCAGCCACACCATGACCAACTGGGAAATCTCATGTCTTTGTATTTCGGATCATTGGAGACCTTTGCCTCTTCTAAAATTACTGATCTCCCAATCGGCTGCCAGAGAAGGGCGAGATCGAAATGTGACGTGGGAAGGCCAAAAGCAAATGGCGCTCGAATGGTATTCTCCATGAGCTTACACATGCCGCTGAATGCTGCCAGAATATCGAAGGGCTCATATAGATCTCGAATAGTATATAGGGCAACACAGTGTGCGTAGAACCACATGGCTCTGATTTTGAGCTGCGATAGCATCTGTAGGGGAGCCCGAACCAGATCCAGCGACCAGCCTCTCCCTAGACGATCTGAAAACACATCTTCAGACATACCGGTGGATCGACATTGGAAGAAGATTCGACCCTCTGTGAAAATGAGACACCTCTTCGACAGAAGCCGTTCTTGGAATGTCCATGCGCGTCTGTTCCATTGAGTGGTCTCAATACTCGTTTCAGCCGGTCGGTGTAGCATGAGACAAACCCCTGGGCCATAGTTCACAACCATCTGTCGTGTTTGGTGATTGTCGTCGAGAGCCAAAAGACCAGTATTGGCATCAATTCCATCTGCTGCGCATATCGTAAGAACGGAGTTGCCATAGATCAAATGCATTGCCCTGGCGTTGAGATTCCAAGAGTGCCTACTGTTCTGCACGATGCATAAGGCATCGATCCAGATGTATCTAATTCCCAATTGATGAGTCAAGGCGATGCTTTGTCGAAGAGCCTTTGGTAAGTCTCTGATGACAGCAGAAAGACCACCAGACTTGCGTCGGCTCTGGATGTTGCTGACCCTGGTGGCATGCTGGCGGCTGTGTCCATTACCCCAGACATAACTGACTGTGGCATATGGTTTAAATCGAAGCTGATTCCCGTCATCCATGTAGGGAAGGGGAACTAGGCTTTCATTCTCCATATCGATAACACCGAAGTAGGGTTCGTTCAAGGTATCTCTGAATGGGTCCTCGATGCCTAGCTGCGCTGTACAACGTTCGTCGTGGCAAGTCTCACAGAGACGTAGAAACTCACGAACAAGGTTCTTCTTGTTGTGACTGGATCCGATGCGCCTCCCGAGAAACTGAGTTTCGTCGTTCAAGAGGCCAGGATAGTCGACGTCGGATTTGTCGTACTTTGGAGGCGCTGCCAGCATAACATAGGCCTCGTGAGATTTGAGCCTAGTGTCGCTCCAGCAAACTCGGAGTCTGCGTGACTTATTACCTTTCTGGCCAAATAGCGGTTTGGCCGAGGTTCGGCCATCCATTTCCCAGAGCAGATGGCAAGCCACATCATCTATGTGCGGGACGTTTGCATCACGGACAGTGTCAGCAATGAGCTCACAGAGCTCGCAATTTTCTGCCGAGTCTCTGATCTGAGTCACCGTTCCGAAATAGGAACGGGACCTGGTTAGTTCTGGCGACCTGTTGTCCTCGTCTCCGTTTTTGTCATCGATACGGAATTTGGCAATTGAGAGGTTGAGGGATGTGCATCGTTGACAAAGTGCATTAGCCATGGCTGAAGTCAAGTAGAAAATGGAGTGGGACTATTCAATTGGTTAGTTTTAGGGAACAAGGAAATGTTTGTGGAGTTTTGGAATTGTAGATAGTAGCCGAGTTGACCATAAGGTAGGAAGACTATGCAAGATCCTTGGAGAGGGCTTTTAATAGTTGGTAGTCGTCAGGATTCTGCAGAAGACGGAGTGAAGGGCTGACCGTGAGGCTGAAATCCATATCAGCTTGCAACGCCGCCATCAAAATTCCCGTGCATATTGAGGCCCAACTACAGTACATAAGCCTGTTTAATTGGTTCGCCCCGCTACGCCGCACACGTCGACGGGTACGTATACTAGCGAAGAGACGCGCTTTATTACCTGTTCTCCTGCGATTGGGCCATGAAGATGGCCCCTGTTCTGCCAAGCTCATAGAAAGTTGCTTTGCAAAATGGCATGGGTCACGACGTGCAGCGCAGGCAGAAGCAGCGAATTTTATTGCAAGCCACTTATGCATGGGAATTTTGTACGCTAGAGTCGCAAATTCTTGGCTTGGCATTGGTTACCGTGGCGTGACAAGATCCCTGTATTCTATGTGACCGATCACATGGCTCTGGAGCCGTGCCCACATCAGAAGTATAGCTGGGGTATCTGCTGGGGAGATCATAATTCCTCAACACGGGTACTTGATTTCTATAATGTCCGGAGCAGCAGCGTATCTTACTACTGGACCTAACTGGGAAGGTCATCGCGATACTATCATCCGACTGTACATTGTCGAAGACAAGCCTCTACTAAACTCCACCCTTAAAAATTAAAAAACGGAGCTGAACTGCCGCCGCTTATCTTCTATGATCTCTCCAACTGAGCGCCAGGAAGTCTGCGCTGCGGTTTTGGCAGTCTAGGTGACGGTAGGTGTTGCGGCACTTTGCGACTTGGTTACATCAGGCGCAGACTTCTCAGGCTCACTGGCGTCGTACACGTTGGAAAGCTCCGAGCGAGGAGAATACGAATATCCCCCGCAAGGCTTCCTAGCCCAGCGGAAAGAACACATTTCCTCTGATACGCGATCAAGAGTATGTACCGACAAAGTATCGTTCGTGCAAACGCACTGCTTGTCGTACATCATGAACGTCTTCGACTCGAGATATCTGCAAGCGTCACGGTAGCTCTTAACACCACTAGCCTCGCGTGGAAATAAGACATCACTGGGCAACTTGAAAATACACCCCAAGCAACCAGGTATTGGGTCATGAGGCAGCGCGTCCTGATCAGGTTTAAGCTCGCTTTTGAGACCAGTGTTGATAGCACTGTAACTTCCAAATCTTTCGCTACCACATGCGACAAGGTCAGTTGGTTTGCCTGGGCAAGGGTCCATACAATAATGGCCGAAGCCCCCGACACTTCTGCGCCGATTCGGTATGGTTTCTGAACAGTAGCAGTCTTCCCCTTGGACCAGAGCCATGGGCTTTCTTTTGGCGAGGCAGTATTGGCCGCAGGCCGTCCATGTGTTCTTGGTCTTGTCGCCTTTGGCCTTGACGACTGGGTCGGCCGTGTCTGACAGGCTGCGATAGCAGCCCCGATGGGTACGTTTGCCTGCGCGTGGTGGCCTGTTGGGTGGGTCATTCATGAAGCCTTGAGTAAGACCGAGGATTGAAATAAACAAAAAGGCTGCCCTGATAAAGCGAACCATTATGGATGATCTGGGGCGGAAGACAAGTTCCACTGCGTGATAGAAAGAGGAAGAACTCTGGAGGGAGATGGGTTGACAGGCCATCAAATAGGAGGCGCACTGCCTTTTCTTTACGCAACGGCTCAACGCTCGTTCAACGACGTGCAGTTGTTGGTTGTCTTGAAACACTGTTGGTTGTGTTGTTGGTGCTTAGCCCTAGCATATACCGGGATTGATCCATGTTGTTTGGACCTCCTGGTGCTGATCAGCGCCAAAACGCACGGGGGCACTTGGTCTGTGCCAATCAGGATTCATAAGATTTATGGTTCAATTGAAGTCTAACGCAGGATGTAAATCCCGGACTCCGCGTTCTATTTATGTTTAATTGCTTGTCTGCTGATGTGAGGTGATGGAATAGACGTTCGCCTCGGAGGAAATCAAAACAACTAGGAATTGGACCCTACCTCAATCCAATTACTTAGATGGGTTTCAGATATGATATTTGGGGACATATTGAGCATGCTACTCGACCTGTTTATTCTGATCGTGATTGTCGATCCTCTGACCTCAGCATTCAATGAATATGACGTTTGATAGAGGGTCAATTTCCGTACATGAAGATTCTCCATGAAATAGGCTATATGGACTCTATTCTCGTACCTTACTCTTCTAGGAGGGTTCTATGCTTCAGAACTTTCGTCTGCTCCAGTTGTGTAGGGGGGTTAAGCTGTTGCACCTTGTCTCCCGTTGAACCAAAGGTTTCCTAGTTGAGGTGTGTTACATAGCCTCAGGCGTTGAGTCGCTGCCACACGATGGCTTCTCTTTCGAGATCGTGTCTTATGAGAGGAGAATGACACTGGTCAGCTTCCGCTTGAACATAATACAGGGCGCAGCGCGAATGGTCGCCGTGGTGGCACAAGCCAATATTTCTTTACCATTATGCAAAGGTGGTTGCTTTTTTTCCGCCAGAGTCATGATCGAATTGCATTATGAATTTCCCGGGGCATTGATATTGTCGCTCGTTTGACGGAGTCTTTTCCCGTCTCATCTTTGTATCTGCGTATCGACTTTTGGAATAGTCCAGGTGTTCGAGCTGCTAACGCACCAGCCTACATTAGTGGTTGGATGATCTGGAGCTCCCACTTTGGATAGAAACCTAAATTCTTGACGTAAAAGGCGCGTGAGAGGACGGTCGAAAGGATTGAGGTGCCTCGGATAGAGGCTGGTCAAGGTTTGTTGGGAGGTACTCACAGAACTCATCAGTTTTGGGCGAATTCTTAACAACCTTGGTTCTGTGCTGTGACTCTCTGTGAATCAGGAAGATGACGCATTCACTCGTTGGCAAAGTATTGCTAGTAGCGATATCTACCAGGGAAGCCGATGACACACGAGATGAAGTCATGGTCCGTAAAGCAGAAGTCCACGGAATTGGCGGAGATCCTAGATTCCATTGTGCTATTATTTCTCGTCCGTCGATTTATTGGTGTTTATCAAGAGAAAGCAGTCGTTCGGGTAGTGTGAGTTGTGTTTTTGTGTTTCTATGTGCTTCAAGATAGCTAGCACTTCTTTTGGTCCGTATAGAAATGTTGGTAATTTCAGTTACTTGCGTGTGCTTTCGTAAATGAGGGGTGGTGGGGTGGGATTGGGAACATATTCATATGAGGCTCCAGTCTGTGAACTGCTGTGACGAGTCAATCGAGATAGAATCAACAGGGGGAACTGGCCGAACTTTTGAGGAATGAAGGTGTTCAGTCGAACATTTGAACACTCGTGTTGTTTCACATAGCCCGGCGAAGGGCTTCTGACACCCGTTACAGTATCATTCACTTATTATAGATCAATACGATTCACCCTTCGTGATCCATCGGATTCTATAGCGGTGTGAGACCACTCCTTACTCTTAGGAAGCTAAGGGAGTAGAATAAGGTCAGATAATAGCAGGAGCAACATTCAGAATGATCTACGAGCAGCACTTTAATCCTTCAAGCAAGACACATTTACTTTTTATTTTTAACTTTTTTTTGTATTTTGTTATTTTATGGTCTAAAAGATATTCCCTCCACTTCCAATACCTTTTTTTGTAGTCTTTTTTTGGTGGGTTTTGTATTTTTCTCCTTTTTTTGTGTTTTTAGTCTTATCATGGCAATCCCTCGTCGTTCGTGTGTGCCTGTTAGCTAGGTCTTTGCTGATTTCGCATCAGTATTGGGTGGTCTCTTTTTTTTCCCCAGGTTTTATATTTTCGTGTTTTTTTCGTGTTTTTTCTTTTATTGTATCAAGTCGCCGTTGGTATCTTCAACGCAGTCGGGTCTGCCCACGGCACATCAATGATTTGTTCTCGGCTGCATTCGACCATCTGTGTGATTGTTAGCAGCTACTCAGATGACAATGTTCATTTTAGCCACTTACGGATCAACACTGAATATCTTGATACACCGTCAACTTGCGGTGCCATAACATACTAGGTGTCTGGTCTTCATCTCACTGGGCGTCGAATCCCTTAGTTAAAGGGGGGATTGGGAGTGGGATATGGGATACCCTGTCGCAGGCAATGCTGATACATTTCGTATTCAGTCATGCATGCCTGGCAGCTGTCCCAGCGGATGTGCATAGTGCGGTACTCTTCAGCAGGGCGTGGATGGCGTCTGTCACCACCCAAACGACGGGCTGCGCATTTCATGAACTCATCATGACTTCGGATATACGCACCGCATCGGCGGCAGTACAATGAGACATGGAAATTGGTACACATGATTGCGGTTGGTACAGCAAGCCGTATCGGATGAAGGTAGATCAAGGGTTGACTAGAGAGTATGATGTATGGAGAAGTGGTAAGTTGTTATTGATAGACGGGAAAGTAAAGTGTTGGATGATAAGAAAGAAAAGAATCTTGAGAATCCTGGGAGCTCGAAATCAATAAAAAGGAGTAATCCTAAGCTTCCACTGTCATTCTGAGATGAAGATTAAAACTGCCACTGCCAGAGGAGACAGTGAATGATATTCAAAGATGGCTGGCAGATGCTGCCAGTGTCGCCATCCAAAAGGAAGAGAAGCGACTGTCGATATGAATATCGGCTTTTTCGATCCACAGAAGGGCCTCAAGCATCAGAAACTTCGGTGGCCTAGCACAGCAGCCCATTACTCCCTGAAGACTCTCAGCGGCATTCTACAGCTGTATAAAACAAACTGCACAGCGGCAGCGTCTTGTCCAAAAACAACCAGAGGTATGCGATTGCTCTAACTCGCTTGTCCATTCACACCCCGACTCAGACATCGTAGCTAGATATCGTCGCCTAATCCATCACGGATTTATGCTCTGCAACATTCTGTAACTACTAAATCCTGACCACAAAAATCAGCTACCCAGCGCTACCCAATAGGTCGACGAACTAAGGGACAGCTCTATCAACCACACCAACTTCCACCACATGCTTCTGGCCCGATCTCTGTCAGTATCCAGTTCAAGAAGTATCCAAGCGGCAATGAAGATGGCAGATAGCAATATAGTTTCCTACGCAGTACTGCCAGGTGAATTTGCTCGCGGCCGACAACATAGAAGACTCACCGTTCGTCCAGGATACGGCGATCTTACTTGGCAAGTGAACTCTCAAAGACTGTTAGAGACAAAGGCTCGTGAGGGATCCATTAGGACATTATTTTCAGATTAATCAAATATCCGAACAAAGCATGATATGCAAGGTTGTTCAGCCGTAGGGTTTTGCAAACGTAAAATCAACCTTTCACAGGTAACTTGATGTTCACACGAACAGAGAACAGTTTTCTCTGTACAAAGCAATCTCCAAATTCGTCATGCTCAGGCCCTCACCCTCAGCACGAGCAGCATGATCGATGCCCAGTTAGCCGCCACTCGCTTTATCAACTGTATTATTTTTGCTACTAACACCATCACCAGCTGTTTGGTAGTCCCTGCTGGCCTCATGCTCCTTTGCAGTGTCTCTAGAAATGACTTCCCTGGCTCCACTCTCGCTGATTCCGGCGACAAGAACCACGCTGACTCTCTCTAGAGCTCGGGCGATGGTTTGGTACCAGCTAAATGCCTGAGAGAGGACTTAAGAAGAGTTACTTGACATTAGCCTATGATATAAATTGTTTTCCTATCAACCTCCACGGTAACAGATTATCCGACCAAGCCGTACTGCAAGAACCCACACCGTTGATTCGACAGACAGACCTAAAGGTTGCCACAGGGGACGAGAAAGCACTGTTTTTGAAAAAGACTTGAGAAGTCCCGCATTGGCTTGAATACTGTTAAGGAGCGATATCTCTTGAATTCGCCAATTATGCCATAATGGTGAAGGCGTCATGCCAATGCTCCGTAAACGGCTCCTCGACACCAGTTGAATCACACAATCATGATGAGGCTCAAGTTGACCATATATGTACCGGCTGGGCTATAGCGAGCTGGTCTTGTTCGTCGACTAGTAGGTTTATGAGCAATCCGTTGGCTGCTCCTTCTCAAGAACGACAAGCTACCTTCACTAAGTAAGCTAAACGTTGCCGAGGTAGTACTCCCTCATTACAAGTCTCCGAGATCTCTTAGCACCACATATGAGATCTCCATAGCCAGAACGTTTCACATGGCCCGGTCACTGCTGTGAGGTGCCCTTGGAGGCGCAGGGGACTAACTGCCGTCGAGGGCAAGAAGGCAAGAAAAGCCGCAACGTGATTCATAAGAGGCTCCTGTCGAAACCACGATTTCAGCACTCTTGACACTCCCTTGAGGCTGATTCCCTATTAGACTTAGCGGAGACTCTGTCACTACCACTGGAGTCCTCTCGAGGGCGTGAGAACCTGGCATTGCTACAACTGTCCAAAACATCTTATGAGGCCGTTTATTCACAACGCTCACGGCAAATAGGGCCCTTATTCTTTTTCTTTAGATATTCCTTTTGACGGCAGTTGCTGACTGACCGTCTCCCTTCCCACCCATCCAACGTATGCCCTTCAACATTAAATTGGCCCATCTCTAGCCCTTTCCCATGGTCTCCCTGGCTTTAACTGCGAAGCACAAACTTGCATGGACACAGCCTGCCAGGATGGAGACATTCTTCAAAGGATTCCATGGAACAGACTTATCTACGTTACATACAGAGTCCCGGTCCCAATTGTCAACCTCAGCCGTACCATCCCACAACCCATATATGCGCCACTCATTTATGATACAAGTATGGACGGGTATCTTTCATCTAAGACTAGTCGCGCACCAGTTGAAGGGAAACTAATGTAGGGTATGCTTCGGCGTATAATGAATTGTTAAAAAGCATGAATCCATTCCTGTTAGCCTGGGAACACGTCCTGAGTACCTCAACCGACTTCAGTATGCCGAAAAAAGCTCTCAGCTACCAGTGCACAAAACCATCTGACTTGCAACTTAGACATTATACCAAAATGCCCAAATAGTCACTACAGTAAGAAGTTTAGTACCCATATGTATCTTAAAGATGTCTACTTTTAAAAACTTACTCCAGGCCGTCATATCTCTATCGATTAAATCAACGAGATCATCTCAAGTGCTAAATTCAGTATGGGTGAGCGCCTTTGCCTTTTAGCTGATGCAGACCTTATTATTACCAATACTGGCATTCTATCCCATCAGCAGTATGTGTGAATTGACATATGGTGAGCGCAGTGGATTGGTAATAACACCCTTTTCAAATCACCATGCCGCCACAAGACTAACAATAGAAGTCGAGACACCGGGACAACTGGATCTTGACAGTGTGGCCAAAGCCCACGATAAATTATTGACACCCACGTTCTGGAGCCGCCAAATCTCTCCATCACTACCTCAACTGGAAAGGTGATTGCTTTAATCCTGATATTGATCGACACTCTGCCTGGCCTTCTGTCCACCTTGGCAGCCTCGGTATTAAACCCCAAATGAAGATGCTGCTTGTCTTCATAAAGAGTATCTGCGTGGGCGGTGCCATGCTTGTTAAGCAAGGAAGTAGCGCGATTGTGCCTCTAGACCCATCCCAACCTCTTGATCACGACCAGCTCTTTAACGAAACTGACTGTAGCACGGTTTTCGCCTGAACATACTGGACTTCTATCCGCTCTCGTTGCTAATGTCGGGGTTTAGACACTGAAACAATGGTTAATCTTATAAAGGATACATGTGGTTACAACCACACGCTTTATTGCTGCTACGCCAAGTAACTTTGTCTCTATCAACCTTTCCTGTGGATCGATGGGCCAGCCGAGGAGCGTGGTGTTAGGCAACCGTCCCACCACAACTGGCATTACAGCTTCCGGCATGATGCTTCCCAATATGAAATGACAACAAAATTGTTAGCTCTCGAGACTTAGAGGACCGTGAACGGAAAGATCACCGTCATCATGACCGTCTGTGGCTTACAGACCGCAGACGGTTGTGTGGATAGGGAGCCTTTGCAGTTGTTGGATAAGCCCAAAGACGTGCGACTCGTCAAAGAATTCATGTCGATCACAATATGGATAAGCTTATCGCTTTCCGGATACAAAGCAATTAGCCTAGAAGGCTCGATACCAGACGCGTCGCTCAGCGGGTTGATGAAGTCACGGACGAGAAACACGAGCCCATTATGAATATCCTGGCTATGCTGAGCCAGAAACTGAGTCTAAGAGCATTAGAGGTCCCAAAAATACAGTTGCCCAGGTTTCTAACTACTTAGTCGCAGACGGATTTAAACTCCTACCTACCCAAGTCCCACCTTCGTTCCTCTTTGATCAGTATGGGAGGCGACGATATTACTGGTAGGCAGATTATGGGCCTCTGCCGACGACGAGGGGTCTTCTTGCAGATGCAGGACTTCCTCAAGATCGCCAATCTATGGCTATGGCGGCGAAGACCTATCAGCTCAGATTCTTATGTCGATCCACTTGATAAAGGGGTGGTGGTTGAGATTGACCCCTTCTCTTTTTTTAGAGAATAAAAGAAAACTATAGCCTTTAGTTTCTGTATATTGAAAGATTCAGCTATATTTCTTAGAGACGTGATTAGCACTTTAGATAATTAATCATCAGTTCTAAATGTGGCGATGAAATTGGCTAACCCCCTTTGTAACTGAGATCAAGCTGGCTGTAAGCCCAGACTGATACTTGTGCTAGTCGGTGTAACCCCCAACCTCATCCAAAAACTTGTAGTATCTCGGCCCTTTGGCGGCCCTCCATCTTTTTCCAAAAACGACGAGAGGAAGAGCGGCGACAACCGACAGCAAGACCATGATACCAAAGCAAGTCATAGTCCAACCATAGCCGGCCACTTCGATAAACGGCTGGACAGAGTACGAGATGGCGAAATTGACCATTGAGGAGCACATAGCCAGTACAACGACTAGCTCTCCAGATATCTAGGATTATCAGTCTTCTTCTTGATATGGAATCCGTTAAATGACTTACTCCAGGGAAACAGTCCATCGCATATGCAGTGGCAATCGTGCAAGCCCCAACCTGATGTGAGATCATGGCGCCGATACCGATGGCGATGGTAATCCAGTGAGCTTCCGTCTGAGCACCCCAGCCATAAAGCATGTAGCCAACGGCGGCGAAGACGAAGCAAGGAACAAGCGTGTAGAGCCGCATCTCAGGCTCCTTGACGCCACCATTTCTTCGTGCCAACGCAATGACGACTTGATCGCTTAGCACACCAATAGACCAACCGATGACGTCTCCTACTAAAGCAGCGAAGAAGACAAAACCGGTATTGGTGGTGCTAAAGTTGTAAGGCGGCTCCGTCAGGATCTCGGAGATGGTGTTGAAGGAGACGATTCCGGCGGTGGCCCCGAACGCATATATGAACGCGGCCTAGTTTTTTTGATCAGTGAAGGACAGTGGAGGCTTGAAGGAGATGCCTACAATCACGACGTTGGGAAAGCCCCAAAGGAAAAAGGGACGACGGAAATATTGCCAGAAAGTTGTTTTGTTTTGAGGATATCGCACCCACGGTTTCAAGATCTGTCGGTAAGATCGCTTGGGAAAGTCATCAACAACGCCATTGACCTGGCTTGAAACTGGTCCGAGTTCCAGCTTCTTTCTCTCAGTAGATTTCTCTGCTACTTCTTCATCCTGCTGCGAGGGGAGTGGGGCCGATTGTGATCTAGCGAACAAGAAACGAGGAAAGAGTGTCTCCTCAAAGGTAAACGTGAAGGCAATCAGTACAAACGTGAAGATGAAGCCGACGATGTTCTGTGACCATCTCCATCCGACGGTATCTGACATGCTACCACCAGAGATGAGACCCAGTCTATCATGACGTCAGTACGAAGTCCCGGCTGATGTTGATCAAGGTGGTCTTACATGGAGCCAAGCTGCTGAGCAAAGAGATAGACCGAAAGCATGCGACCGCGTTCATGAACAAAGAACATGTCGAAGATCTAAATATCAAGTTAGCGACTTGCGATAGCTAGTGATACAAGTCAGATACACACAGTAAGTTGAATGATGGCTTGGTAGGCAGATGTCCCGATTCCATTTACGATCATGTTGAGCATCCATTGGACAGTTCCCGCAATAGCGGCAAGCCAGAAGCCAGTAGCGAGACAAAGACACGTTGTAGCAAGGAATACTAGCTTTCGACCAAAGATATTTGCAGTGGGCATCCACCAAATGTTGACGAAGCCCTTGACACGTGATGAGTAGTAGGAATCGAGAGAGATGAGATCTAACATACCAGAAGAAGATAGTTCAAAGCGCTACCGCCGTTCATATTTGTCAGAGAGACACCCGTGTCTTTACTGACAGTAGTCCAAGCCGCTATTATCATGTCAGCATTGACGAACGAGGAGTTACCCCCAACACAAGGCTTACCTCCAAGGGTGTTTTCACCGAATGAAAAGGCGCAGGCATATAGAGCGACTAGAAGTAGCTGATAGTATTTCTTTCTATTGGACCATGTCTATAGGACTGTCAGTAATGTATGGGAACGGGTTTCCAACGCGACTCACGAGTGGATCGCTTCCACAGCTTGTTGGCTTCGGGATGAGTACAATGTCAGACTGTCCGACATGATCGCCGTTGTCCAACTTGTGATTGACTTTCGCTTTTGTTAGCTGTTGTTCATACCAATGTGAATGTGCTTGCATACCGTCAATGAGCTGTTCAGTTCCTGGAACCGACTCACGATCGATCTGCAGAGCCATGATCAAGAATCTGGTCTATGTTGATAGCCTCCACTGACTAGGAAAGGAGAAGGAATTGAAGGTGCCAAGAGGGTCATTTATATACTCCAGCGCTGGTATGCATTGGTTGCGATCTCCGGACGATTCATTCCGAGGTGGCTTATCAGTTGGCTGTTTGTTGATATCAGCTTGGATACGACAATGAAGGTCCAAGCGAGGAAGTAGATCGCCTGATAACAGCCACATCTGATAGTCGCTAAAAAGCGCCTCTCTGGAATCTGGGGTAACGACTAGTAGAGATAAAAAGCACACTAACTCCTATCGTTGCCCCGGATTTACGATGGAGCCTGATCCTTCGAGCTTCACTAGTCTCTCATGAGCATAGTCTGCTTGCAAGATGGCCATTGGAACGTAATAGCGCGGTGGAGAATAAAAAAGGCTTGCATATCCGGATGGCAGACTGGGAAATGTGTAAGCTACCTTCTAAAAGTGGCAAGATTGAGGGCAATCTCAACCAGATGTTGGTATCGCTCATGATGGAGTATTGATGTCAGGCGGTGATTGATATGTGTCCCGCGTTCGGCTGGACCTTCCCTGCACAAGGCCACGAACTGCTTATCTCAAGGAGCTTATCAGAGCCATGCTTCCATTCCACATAGGCGATATATTCCAATTGGATTGCCGATGGCTCGACCTCAAGCCGATTAAAGATTACACGCAGACGCCGATTCATTCCAAATATTGCGTCTGTCGAAGGCCAGCAGCTAAACTTCGTAATTTCAGCTCCAATGAACGAAAGGTGGAATTTTGAGTTCATGGGTAACGCTACAATTATGCAAATAGTCTGATATAAAAAAAGAAGGGGCACTAGGTTTGACAGGCAATAAAAAATATTATATTATATACTATGAAGATGGGAAGCCTCTATCTAAGAGATATAGTCGACGGATCATCGCTGCTTTGTCTCAATAGACTGGGTGTGCTCAGAGCAGCTCCTGATGGAGAACATGGAGGAGATAGGGTGCTCTCAAGCAATCGTCAATAAAGAATATATGTCCACGATTTAGCACTTGCCCTTCTCAAGAGTAGTCCTATAGAGTGTTAGCATAACTCATTGGCGGGTGTCATTGGGAAGACTTACTCAGTGTGCCAGCTCTTCATGCGTCCCTGGCCTCCTTCAGGGCACTTGGAGATGGGAAGAAGGAGGTTTCTCTGACACTCCTTGGAAGGAAGCCCCTGTCGAATTCCCCACTCATTGTAGATCTCAAAGATGAACTTGCCATCACCCGACGGCGCATCAACACACTTGGTCCTCTTCTCACCAATGTTGTAAACACCTTGCGCGCCATTGCTACACCAATCAGTAGCAGCCTTCGCAGCAGCAACCTTGTTGCTTCCCCAAGGAAGAATATCCTCATTACCGTAACAAGCAGCAATTTCGGGGTACTCAAAGCCAATGGTCCGGACGCAGACATTGGCGTCGGCCCAGAGGCTCAGGCAGTCCTTGCCGACGGTGGGGTTCCATTCCTTAAATTGGTCAAAGGAGATACCGAATTGGGCGGAGATGATGAGACAGTTGTCGCCGGGCTTGACGTAGTAGAAGGCGTCGCAGTTGTCGACCATTCCGGGCTGGATGGGAAGGGGAGTGGTGATGCCGTTGTCGCCCTTGATGGACTCAATGGCTGTGGCCTTCTTGGCTGTAGTGCTGGGAGCGGCGGCGAGGGCACCTGCACTGGTAGAAAGAAGAGTTGCGATGGTAGAGAACTTCATTTTGACGGTCAAGCTATTGATATTGAATTGGTTGTTTGCTTGTCCTTTGAATGGCTGAATGACCTTAAGAAATTGTCCACTGATCACAGAAATCTGTCCGCTTTATATAGATCTTCATCATGAGTATTATGTTCCGATTCAACCTCGCCGAGCAAAAATTATGTCTCAAAGCCTATGCCCATCCCATTCTCGTAGCACTAATGCAGGGCAAACTAGGCTGCTGCCGCCCGCGCCGACAAAAAGTCCCCTGAAAATCACATTCTCACCAATAACGATCATCGCCAAGGTAGGGTTGGTTCGTTTGTAGAAATAACCGAACGTCTTGGCATGAGGCACGGAGTGGCACAGGTGGATCAGACAAATATTTCCGCTTCCCGAATGACTCGAAAAGTCGTATCATTAGCGCCCTATGAGGCCTAAGGCTGACACCCGAGGGACCGGAGAATTCTTTCACGATGTGGAGTTATTGTGTTTTTTGCGGTGTGAAAACAATAATGCTACAGTTATAACCCCACTAGGGTCGGGGATTGCCTGGTTGGGAAGGCAGTGCGAGTTTTTTTGGTATGCTACGTTGTATTGGAAGTAAGCTTCTATTCAGCCACAGACTAGTCGATCAAGAATGATCCTTAGAGCTGCAGTTAACCTCGTATTGAATAGATATATAACGGCACTTATGGAACCTAAGCCAATAGGATGATACACGTGTGTCGCCAGAGTAAGATCGTAACGTTCAACATTCGGTCACCCGTTGTTCGTGGAAACTCACGATACGAGTAAATGTTACTGTGCAGCCTAATCCTCCTTCACGACCTCTGAATTTTGAAGTGCATGGTATTCAGCCGTCGGGCGAGTGCCCTCCAAAGTCTGAACAGCCGCCATGCGTCTGGCATTCAGAAGATCCAGATTGATCTGAGGCCCCGTGAAGGAGCCTTTTTTGGTGGTGAACCAGAGGGCTATGACAAACGCTACCAGTCCAGTGAAGACGACTGACACATAGCTCATGTTCTCAGGCGTGACGGGCATGGTAGTCGGGAAGCAATACAAAATATCGAGAAATACTACCCATGCGACTGAGATTCCATTGATGGCAGCGCCGTATCTGCCGAGACTGAAGTATCGAATTGGCAAGACACGATCACGTCCTCGGTAAAGGAGGACGGCTTGGGGAATGACGCAGGAAGTTTGTAGAAAGATGATGGCGGCGCTAACCATGGCAGAAAAAGCGGTTGAAGAACCGAGGAAGATAAGACCGTACAGCTAGAAGAAATTGTGAGTGAGACCAAAAGCGCATAATTCGGAGACATCTACTAACAGTAATGAAGACAGCAGAAAGAAGGAGTGCGTTGACAGGAACTTGGAACTTTGAATGAACGCGACCCCAGAATTGTGAGTATGGCAAGGCGCCGTCACGCGAAACGGCCCAGAGCGTGCGTGACGAAGTTGTCGCTATAGAGTTAGCGCAGATTTCGTCACAAGAAGGAGACTTACCATTAGCCACAAGATTGGCGAAGAAACAGAAGGCGAACAGCGACATCAGCACTGAGGCAGCTGGTCGAGACCCTGTGCCCTGATAATAAATCTCAAACAGCGGCAACCCAGTCGTCGTGTTGAGTACGGCTGGCAAATCAGAGATCGCGTACATGAGAGACGTTGCAAAAGGAAACGCGGTTAGTAAGCCCATGAGCAACGGATAGATTATGACCTTGGGCACGTTCTTGGCTGGATTGGGTATCTCTTCACAAAGATGAGCTCCGCAATCGCTGCCTAGAAATGCATAAACGGCATTGCCTACCGCTAACATGAATGCGAATCCGTCACTGGACCAGCCAGTTCGGTTAGTAGTATCGGTAAAGATGAATTCCGCTGACGCGTGATCCTTCGTGACGACGAAGAGTGTTATCGTCGTGGCGCTGAGAGTCAGGACTGATAGGATGAAGACCATCTTGTTGAAAAGAGGAATCCACTGCGCTGTGAAGATATTGGCGGCTGTGGCGATCCAAATGAGAGCTACGTATATCAAATATTGGTGCCATCGCTTTTGGTCCCAGTCTGGATACCATGCGCCGACGATGTCGAGGATCATGGATGAGACGAAGTTGGAGACTGAGCTTGAAGCAAGCCACCACCCGATGACACTCATCCAGCCATTTCTGTCAACCACGTCAGTACATCAAACGTATAACTAAATTCTGGTACTAACAGATATGATGCAAAGGGTTTGTAGTCATCTCGCGCAACCATAAAAGACCAATAGTACTGTGCTCCAGCAACAGGATACGCGGATGCGAGCTCGGCCATACCCAGCGAGACGATGGTAGTCATCACGCCGGCGATAGGTAACGACCATAAAGTCCCAGTTGAAGACGCTTCAGTTAAACTGATCCCGATTGAAGATCCGGTTCCGAGCCATGTACAGGTCAATGTGAATGACAGTGCGCCTAAGGACCAGAGCGAGAAGCGGCGCGGCATGGCTTGGACGTAGCCAGCCGCTTCAAGCTCAAGAGCATCGTCATTGCTGGCTGTGCTTGAGGAAGCACGCGACATTTTGGCACGTTTGTGATACGAGGGACAAGGCTTCAAATTCGGTTGGTGGTCGCTACGTCGAGAAAGCTGCTATCAACAAGATTTGCACGACAAATCAAACTGTAAAACTAACACTTGAAGCCGCTTGATGGAAAATGGAGGATCGCGGGAAAGAAAATGAAGACTGGGAGATCTGGACCCCCTCATTCTGATGCGCTGTCGATCACGAGGCAATGTCTCACTTGAGTTGTACAGGATGTCCGAGCGAGGCCCAATGAGAGTCTTGAGAGACGCCGAGTTGTGCAGAGAGATAAGAGATTAGAAATTATGCTGGTGTGCAGCTTCAGAAAAGTTTTCATAAGCAAGATTCTCAGCTCGTGTGACGTAGCCAGACACTTGTGTTTCACAAACATCTGTGTTCAGCGAAAATGATTTAGCCTTTCAACCATAAAGTATTCCCTCAATAAACAATGTCGATTGGGCAATATACAACTCAAAATACAGACGACAACTCAATACGGATAGTAGCCTCCACCAGGATATCCAATCCAGCCACGTAAAAGACCGTTCAGAATGGGGAAAATGATGGATATAGCAGATACTGTTCCGATAGCCGACCCAGAAATGCAAAAGTCTCCATTCATGACAGCATAGTCAAAGCCTATTAATCCTATTAGCTTTCAATCACCGCAACATCATTGGTGGTCTTACCGATCCAGAGAACCCACGCAGACACGAATGCGCCCGTGCAAGGGATCATAGCTAATAGACCGAGTCGCCTCTTGAGAAAGCGACGTTTCCAAAGCATGGAAATACCAACAAACAAAAGGATCGCACCGCATGCGACAAGGCTACTTGAGCCACTGCACAGGAAGAGATTGGCGTCAACATTTGTACCATAAGCATCCATATTTGTACCATAGTCATTATTGTCGTCGAAGAAAAAATCATATTCGTCACAGCCGTTGGGCATGTCCCCAAAACCACTGACTTTCAAGAACATGAGCGCACCGGGGAGTGCCAAGACACCGAGCACACAGTCTTGAAAGAGTATATCAGTGGCTGTATCGGTGAGAGGTTCGTAAAAGCAAGCTGATAACATGACAACCACCCACCCAACACGAGGCTTGGTCAGGTAGAACATGATAAGCGGCCCGATGCTGACATTCAGCCCGGAAGCTTTAACAGCCACGGCGCTAACAACGCATTGCACCACCGTCATGGCAATGGTCGCCAGAGTGTTATAGGGCGTCCATGATAAGGCCTCTTTTGGTGACCCGTTGAGATGGTTGTAGTCCCAGAACCTCAACTTATTTCTTGCTTTGCGATTACCGAGCGTGAGGTGCGTGACTATCGCCGAGAGATGATTGACGATGAAAGGTAGGAGTATGAGAATAGTGGCATTGCAGTCTTTGCGGGGGAGCGAGCTGAGTCCCGTCGGGACTTGACAGTTTGGTGCATTTTTATCGCCGTAAACCATTTTTACAGTAAGAAATTGGACTTGAGTAACGTTTTACAGAGTGCAGCTTTGTTGAACAAGTCCTTGTATTTGAATCAGTTTATAAGTCGCGCGACTACCTGTTCAGCCCAACATGCTCCCATTCAGCCCTGCGAACAAAAAGCCAGTGCATATCACGGCATATGGTCATTTCCTCCCAAGGGCAAGGTCTGGACACCGCCAATATTGACGCCAGCTCGTCTGTCGCTGATCATGATTCGTCGGGGGGTGATAGTCGTGGTGCCAAGAAGCGCCATAGTTACAGGGGTACGCAGAGCTGAAAATTAAGGGTTGGAGATGTTGCATCCAGCCGCGTCTTAAACTGATTAAGCTTGTTTATTGGAGACTTTGAGCAGGGGCCTTGTGAGAAGTGGTGGGTTGTCTAGTTCTGCTCGGTCTGGATGCTGCTCAGGGTTACATTGAAGAGATGAGTGATTTAATAGTGGTCTGAGGTGGCAACTTGAATCAAGAACTTCCAATACATACAAGTACCTGGCTGTTAGTCTACACTAACATCTCTGACCGAGATCTTAACATCATGTCCCGGTTTCGGAGAGATGATACCCAGCGACGGCACCTTATCATTCCCCTCCGGAAAAGGCTGGCTCTCACATCCCCCAACAGCCTGAATGTCATACCGCGTGACAAGGATCGCAAGATAAACCAAATCCATCTGTCGTGCCAAAAGCCTTCCTGGACATAATGTCGTACCTCCACCAAATGGATTGTACGTTCTCGCGTAATGCAACTTCGGGTTCTGGACGAATCTGTCAATATCGAATTGCTCCGCACTTTCGCCAAAGTATTTTGTGTTCAGGTGGAGTTGTCGATAAGGCATCATCACATCGTTGCCGGCTTTGAGTTCGAAACCAGCGACTGTCGTGTCTTGGACGACGCGTCGAAAGCTGGATGAACTGCTGTGGAGTCGCATTGTTTCGTAGTATGTCGCGTTGAGCTTAGGGCATCCTTTGAGATATTCCACGTCAGGTTGCTGGTGAATACCATTCTTGAAAGCTGGGGCGACCTCCCTTTTGATGTCCTCCTTGAGATGAGGTGTGTATAGAGTTCTGGCTAGAAGCCAGAACGCAAAGACAGATGGGTTTCCGTTAATGCTGCACGATCTCAGTTTTGGGTCAGACACAGCTTCATCTACTCACGCCCAGTATAGCTTGAACAGAACTGCAGCAATATCCCTGTTGCTTATCCCATGCTTTCGCATCTCATCCTCAGCCTTTATCACAAACGGAGCCGCATCTCGTCTTTGTTCCTGTGGCATCTCGAAATACCGTTTTAGAGCATCGATAGCCGCGTCTCTCGAGTCGTAAGCTGATCTTGAGAGGAATCTTGGGTATTTGTAGAGTAGCTTCCATGTCTGGCGATTGAATTTGCGAAAGTCATCGACAAGTCCAGGTGAATTCTCAATAAGAGCAGTACCGAAAAAGTTCCTCGTAGAAACTCTGACGATAATGTCGCTCGTCCACTTAAACATGTCGTGTTCGTTACTCTTCCCTGTTGTGAAGGGACTACCTTGTTGCATGACGCTGTTGAGCTCTGATAAGGATTCATTGTAGAACTTTCGGGATGAAGTTCCGGTCATATCTGCACGTATCCATGATCGAAGAGAATTAGGAACTGACAAAGAGGTCTCGGTAACGGTAGTCCCCCATAGGATATCTCTGGCTTTCTCGGAGACCGAGACATATTGCATGAACTTGTCGATGTAGGCATCAAAATGCATCTCTTTAGTTTTCTGATGGGTCTCGGAAATATCGCGAGGGTCAAGAATCACGTACATCCGACGACTACCGATTAAGACGCTGAAGGGCTGCGCAGGGATCCGAAAATACGATCTTGATGATGATGAGCACTAGTGGTATAGACAACCCCATGAGTACTGACCTTGCAGCAACCAATAGTTTCTCGACATCTCTGAAAAATGAAATATTGTGGCCAATGCCTGCAAGTTTGTGTTAGATATTTGACTGAAAGGAGACGAGCTCTTACCAGGGATCCAATACGGCAGCATTGGAGGTTCTGAATGAGAATTCCATAGCGCGCCAATTCTCAATAAGTATTGCCAAGCTATATATATAACCAAACACGTCCCCACGACGCGGACCAAGATGTGATTGTGCACTGCCAAAGCCGGATTCTTGGTGTCCACGGCTTCGACAGTGGCGTTTACTCCCAGCATGGCAGCGATATCACTCATTGTTAAGCATTTGGTATTCGCAAATTCGGGCGAGCCAGGCCATATTTATGATCGGCACAGTGATAAGGGTGAGGGGTTCAAAGCGGCTTCAGCCCCCAGGCCACAAACGTCATGAACACTCAAACAACACATGGGCGCATTTGCTGCCTAGGATCTTGCTTTTGGCTGCTTATGATGGGCATAATCGGTGCGAGTTCCGAACTTGAAAATTCCCCGCCTCTTTTCCTCATATTTCTTTTCTTGGATGATCGACATGGACGTGGCGTCCACTGCTATGTGTCTCAGTATCACCATAGGGACATCGTATCAATCCTCCGAACAAGATATGACTGCCGCTTGAGACTACTGTATACAGTGATGAATCTATCATTGAGGACGAGGTAGACTCTTCGTAGTGAATTGAGTCATGTTTGGAAATAAAGCGAGAATGGTTCTTGTCACGAGTGCGGCATTCAGACAGCTTAATGAAGTGGCTTGTTGCCGACATATTTTTCATGGCACATGTCATCATGAAAATGAGCCACTTTCAGGGCTGAAGGCCTCATTCCCGATAAGCGATGGTTTTCTGAGACATGTCATTCTTAAACTCTTGTAATTTCCCTTGTCTTAGGCTAGCAGATGATAAGGGTCAACCACAAAGACCACGGTTTGTACTTCTCTCATTCTATGAGTCTTAGTGAGTGTCAAGGTAATTCATTGTGCATTTTGGGAATGGGGTATGGCCAAGCCGTTCAGAATCGAAGGGTGAGGTAAATGACGTATATGAAATCTTTGGATGTGTTGACCCGATTCTGCATGACGGTATCATTGGTAAAGAATGCTGGCACGTGCCTGTTGTAGTGCATACTTGCAGTCAGCTTCAACTCCTACTGTAGTAGTGCAGATGTTATTAAGTCTATCTCTCGCGCGGATGACGTTTGGCGCTCTGTATGCACCCCGCCATCAGCCCTATTTCTCAAAGTGGTCGAAGCGTACCATAGCACTCTCTTGGGAAATTGTGCTGGATAGCTGGTATACTGCCCGGACTGACTTTGATAAGAGTGTTGTTTTGAGTTGATAGACGCCACAGCTGATGGCTCACATCACGCACCTCGCACGATAAACACACATTGGCCAACATTTGGTGGAGGCGAGTAAGTTGAATGCCACTCTCATAAACACAGTTCAGGCAACATTCTAACTTCCCACACAATTGACCGAAGACTGGTGGGGTCACATGAGCGAGTCATGATTCAAATTTAAATTTGTTCGCCAGTCATTCTAGTAGCCTAAGGAAGAAACTTCTGATTAGCATCAAGATAGGTGGCGGATGGCTGGTAAGGGTTATCGGATGCACTTAGATTGATACTTAAGCCTAGGTGTGTCATTCTAAGTGGCTACATCGATCCTCAGATTAAAGGTAGCTCGTTGGAAAACCTTGCAATTGGATTCTGAATTTGCCAATGAGACCCCTTCTGAGGACACTCATATGCTGGAATCTCTGTCCTTGTCAGACCCTAATTATCCTTTCGAACGTGGAACTCCACGTAGTCACTTATATAAATTGCCATTCCCCTCTATGACTTGTCATTTCATCCTTTTTTATCTTTTCTCTTTACCTTTGAAGTACGCCAAACTCTCAACAATAACTTCACTCAGCTCTTCTCATCCTTCTCCCATTCTCTCCAAATCTCGGAAATAAATTAATACTCTGCCCTGAAGAGCCGTACGACTTCATCATGGCTATAGAATACATCATCTGCTATATCGGCGTCTTCATACTCGCTATCCTCGGCAGCTACTATAACAGCATCTTCCTTGCCTTGCTACAGGAAGTGCACAGCTTAGGTATGTAAGTAAATCCACTTGAAGACAAGTACTGACCAACAGAAGAGCATTGGAACCCTTATTATGAAACAGATGATGAGGATGATGGAAGTGACGAGGATGACGACTCTGCCGGAAGTGATGATGATGAATCGGGTATGTATCCTCACTCCTCTAAAGCTATGTATACTGACCATATTCCAAAAGATGACGAAGGCTATTCTCCTGGGTTGAGTGCATGCGAAATAAATAAACATTTTCAGAAACAAAAGCTTTTTTAGCAATCGCAATGCAGGTAAGCTTGGAAGTCTTTGTTCCATTTTAAAAGCTGGCGATCTCGTATAGATGAGACATAAAACAATAGTTGGCGATAAATACTTACTCTTTGAATGATTTGGCAACTTTCCCTCTTGTTTCGGCATCCACCTCCAATGCTGTGCAAGCATGGGAATACCTGCAAGCCTGATATTGCCGAAACAAGATGCGTAAATTCGACCGTCAGGAATTGTAGGCATTAGTTATAAATCCTTTTACGTTACTGTATATCATGGCACTCGCATCTATCAATCTAATACCAATTTGCTTTGAGCCCTCATCTCTGAATCTCTATCATTGTGCTCTCAGTCAACACCAAGGTAAAGATGCAAGTATGGGGTTGTTGATGAAAATGGATAAGATCATCGCAATGGCAGGGTCGTTTCGCAACTCCCATGGCCCATTCACAATGCACCTCCTCCCCACAGAACACTTCACCCATGCATGAAATAGGTGGGGGAGTCAGGCAATGCGAGATAAATAATTTGACCGCCATCTGAGTTTTCTTCTGTCACAAACCAACCGTTTTACCTTTCTGCAAGCTGCAGTCAGACTGAGACCAACAGATTTACCTGTCAGATCCCAGATCTCTTGGCCTTTTTCGCTTATCCTCCCTTTTCGCGATGTCTTCGCCAAAGTCTCCTGACAAGTCTCCTCGGTCTCCGCCTGAGGCTGTGGAGGCTGAGAACCCCGCGCAGCTGGCACGAGATGGATTCATTCAACCTGTCAGTCATAACCTTTTGTGTAGTTTCTGCTCCCCTGCTGATGTACTCTTTCAGGATACTGATTCTGACTCTGCGTATTCTTTGTCGTAAGATGACATGCACTGACACCGGGGTAGGCTTCGCTAATATGGCCCAGAACGGATCTCAGTGATACTGAGTCCCTGCGTTCGTCTATTTTGAACTACAAGTGGGTTCATGGTAGACGCTTCCATGCATATGGCGATGGAACCTACTGGTGAGCCCTCACAATTCGGAGGTACTAATTATTGCTCACACAATTAGGGGAGCGAATGACGATCGTCAGCAAGAGGCCGAAGATTTAATGCAAGTCTTACCTCTAAACGGTTTATTTTCACTCTTTCTAACAAATCTCAGTCACGAGTTGTTTCGTGCAGTCCTCGACGGTAAGCTGTATGAAGCTCCGATCGGCAAGAACCCACAGGTTTGTTGCCACCTATCTGGCCATATCCTTATATACTGACTATTGCAGAATGTACTTGATGTTGGCTGCGGCACTGGTATTTGGGCCATGTGAGTCACTGTGGTACTGGCAGAGTGCCTCAAATGTACTGATGAGATCAGTGATATGGCAGACCTGCACCCATCAGCTGAAGTCATCGGCGTTGATCTCTCGCCGATCCAACCAAACTTCATCCCGCCCAACTGCAGATTCGAAGTTGACGATATTAACAAAGAATGGACGTTTCCCGAGAACCATTTTGACTTTATTCACATTCGCTACATGACAGGGACCGTCCCAGACTGGACAGAGCTCCTCAAAAAGGCCCAGAGGTAGATCCTACACTCCATTTCATCTATACAAGTCCATCTCTAACATTATATAGACATCTCAAACCAGGTGGCTGGATCGAGCATGTTGAACTCTGGGGAGACGCCAGGGCTGACGATGACACCATGAGCCCCGAATCTCCGCTCAAAACTTGGGTCAAAATCTTTAATCAAGTAGCAGAGAAAGTCGGCAACCCCTTCTTCTGGAACCCCGCCGACGTTTTCGAAAAGGCAGGGTTGAAGAACATCACCGAGAAGAAGGTCAAAGTGCCTATCGGTACCTGGGCGAAAGACAAGGATCTCAAACAGTGGGGTGCATGGAACCGACAGTTCTTGCTACAGGGACTGGAAGGCTTCTCCATCCGCAGCTTGACAGAGCTTTTAGGAGTATGTCTTTGTTTCATGTTATTTTACGAATAAGCTAACAAGTTGAACTCTAGTGGGAGTATGAAAAAGCGCAGGTCTTCCTCGTGGAGATGCGTAAAGAGCTACTGAACCCAAAGCTTCACTCATACGTGTTGGTGTACGTCCTCAGCAATCTTGAAAACTTTTCTGTTGAGGCTAATTTATATCTATACAGAACCACCGTATACGGTCAAAAGCCCGAGGAATAAGTGGAGCGATCTCGAGAAGTTGATGATATTTTCAACTACGGGGCATTATCAATTACATCCGGACTATATCTAGTTGCACTTTTGGTGCCTCAACATGATATGCGACTATACTAACAGTTGTGCTTGTGATGAGTTCCATAATTTCCAGAGAGTTGGGTCTCAATCGCTCGAGAACCCAGCTCGTCCATATTGCCAATGCTGAAACATGGCCCTCGTGAACCGTATAAGCTAAAGCGGGCAGGTTGTTCTCTTGGGGCGAGAGCTTCTTCAGGCTTCTCAACATCATGATCCTCGCATGATTCAAGTAGTCGTCCATTATTCTGGCGGGACTGCTTCTCTTGAACCACTAATTCGCGCCTATTTTCCCCATTCATAACATAGTGTTTTGCACAGCGCACATTAACGCTTTGTGGCCACTGATCTGCTTGATCTTCTTTGCCCACATAGCTGTTACGGCACGTGCCAATAACGCAAGTCTCTGGCACACCAGCAGGTCCATTGTATACGTATGACTTCCTGTCCATAGCATGAAACCACTCGTGAGGCGCCCAGCTCGAGTACGGATTCGAGAAGAGTATCTTTCGATGGTATTTGACAACGATACAGCTCTTGTCGTATCTACAGTGACCACATACTATCCTTTCAGGACCTAGAAAAGCCAAGTTGTGTCGTCGTTGGCGATTCATGTAGCCCCAGCCACCACGGAGCTTGAGAAGGTCTTCTTCTGATGAGACCACCTCAGATCGGTCGATTTCGGAGATTACGTTCCATTCAGGTAACGTATTAGGGCCAATTTTTGGTAGAAACAGGTTCCCTCCATTCTGCCTGATCTTTCGGAGTGCGTCGTTGAGTTTATGCCGGTGTAGATAGCCGCTTTGGTGGAGGATAGATCGATCGCTACCCGAATGCCCTTGCCATAGTATATGTAGCATAATACCAAGGCCGTCAGGGTTTGTAGCAAATACCCTCGGGATCTGATCGGCATAATCGAAGTTGTCGTTACATGTTACCTTGTGCTCGGGATGGCCACAGCTCGTTAGGAACACCGGCCTACATTCAGGCACCTCATCTGGCAAAAGAAGTTTTATGTCGGCTCGGGTGAGTGTTTTGTGTTCGCAAATTCGGATATAGCTCTCATTTGCAATGCAGGCTCGTCCCTCCGGCACCTTTGCTTGGTCTTTGGAAAAGCACGAGGAAGGGTGATCCGCATCGCAGGAGTGGCAATGAAGGTATTCTTGGGAGTCACAAGGCGCAAATTTGCAAGTCGTCGAGTATCCTGCCTTTATCCTGCCTTGTCGACTTTCCTGGCAGTCTTTGCACGTGGTGTAACTTCTGATGAAGTCTCCAAATCCTCCAGCGCCCCATATCCCCTTGATCATAAGTGCACCTCCCATTGCGTGCATCTCTCCAACGGACTTGTAGTCAAAGCAATGGCGACCACCCGGTGGACAGATTGGTGATGTGTATTCATCATTACAACCATCTGAGCACTGTTGACAGCACTCTTCACGGGAGAAAGGATGCGTGATGAAGTCATCTGCTTGCAATAGACATCTAAATCGGCGAGAGACCTGACGGAGGGCGAAGAAGGCGAAGAGCGATGATCTGTCATTTGGATCCGATAGGCAGGAGACAATCATCAAGAGGACTTCATCAGGCAGTCTCTGTAACATCGAAGGTTCGGAAGGAGTGTGAGATACTTGATCCTTTTGAGGTCTTGTAAGTAAAGAATGGTATCTTCCCCGTGCGGGTATCAATGGCTCGCTTCCAATTTGTCTCTCCATTTGTGACTCGAGGCGAATCTGTAGCCTCTCGAGGTGTGCTGTTGTTTTGTGCCATGGAAGGTTCAAATCCGCCTCGCGTCGTGCCTTTATGTATGCATCTATAGGAGGGCCACTCGACACACGTTGCGGGTTTAGAGGACTTTGCGCGGTGACAGGAAGGCCACCGGCAACAGGGTGGTGCGTGACAGGTGTCATCTTGCGCCGTGACTCTAAGTATGAAGCTTGAGTGGCAATGTGAAGGAATTAAAGGGGATAAAAAAGAAAGCTCGAAGGAAAAGGAAAAAGCTAAAGCTTCAGCGCCTTTATACCTTTCAATATTAAGCTTTGATCACTAGAACACGGGTATGTATAAAGCTTAACGTTGTAGGCGGCAGTCACCCCAAAAGTATCAGGGCTTCTCCTCGAAGTTTAACATGAGACTCCACATGTCTTGCTGAGAATTTATAAGGTTCACACAAGCATCATGAATACTTGATTTAAGCTTGTGCGCATGACTTCGGATGCGTCGTTGGCCTTGGCGAAAGTTCCCTCTCTCTCTTTGTAAAGCTGCACGAGCAGATGATGATAATGGAAGCTTCTAAGTAGAATTTGATATTTGTAAAGGATGATTTTATGCCCGCCATGTGTTTCGGCTGCCTAAGTTTTAACCTCACGGCGAGCAGCTCATCGCTGTACAAGAGTGTCACAGTTTACAAGGGCTAGTCATGTCATGTTTGGGTATCCAAAGTCTCTTAGGTACTAAAATTGCGCTATAGGCTGAACCCATGCATCAACATCGCTTGCTAGTCATGCCAATCATCACCAAATATCCATTACATCAACTCAGAGTATCATCAAGCAATTAAGGCTTCTTAGTTCCCTCAATCTCGGGGCCAGCAGTGTTGGTGTTGACGGGAGTGACAGCCTCAATACCCTGAAGCTTATCGGTAGTCCTGTCAGGTCCGACAATCTCGAACACTGATCCATAGTTAGTAACGATTGATCACTGGGGATGGGAGATAACTTACAGTCAACAGGAGTGGATGTGAACTTGCGAGCTTTGACCTTCTTCTGGAAGAGGTAGTCAAGATCGGCAAAGCTACGGTTCATGGTCTCGGGCAGGAAGAAGAAGATCCAAACAGCCCAGATGAAGCAGAGACCGAAGTAGAACATTCCAGTCTTGGCTCCCCAGTTCCAAGCATCACTGCTGGAGTTGAGCATACGGGGGTTGAGCTGCTGAACAATGATCTGACCGCAGACGTAGACAGCACGACCGATGACGATGGTCTGAGCACGAACACGGTTGGAGGCAGTCTCAGCGACGACGACGTAAGTGGTAGGGCCGAGAGAGACCTTGAAGATACACTGGACGACGACAAGGAAGGCAGCTGTGACGATGGCGACACTGTCGACCTTGGGGACAAAGCCGAGAATACCAATGATCAACATGCAGGCACCGATACCGGAAGAACCATAGAAGTAAAAGGTTCGACGTCCGATTCTACCCATGAGGGAGATGGCAACAGCAGTGGCGATGATATTGACCGACTGAATGATCATGTTGTAGTTGAAAGCCATAGTGTTGCTCATACCAATAGACTTGAGCATGATGGCGGCGAAACTGGTGATAGATTGACCGTTGAGAATCTGGATGACCCAAGCCATGCAGACAATACCAGTTCGGCGAAGGTTGGTTCCTCTGAAGCAGTCCTTGAAGCTAGCCGCCTCAGCTTCAACCTTCTCCATCTCGTTGGTGTGCTTCATAAGAGCAAGAGTCTGAGCCATAGACTCATCAGTGTAGTGACCCTTGCGAGCAAGACGGCGGAGAGCATGCTCAGCAGCCTCGAGCTTACCGCGACGGACGAGGTACCAAGGAGACTCGGGAGCGAAGAAAGCGACAGTGATCAGAGGAGGAATCCACATCCACTGAAGACCGTAGGGGACTCGCCATCCAGCGTCGCCCTTGAGGTCAAGAGATCCACGGAGGACACCAGTAGCGAGGAAACTTCCGGCTCCCCAGCACATGGAGACCCAGGCGGTGAGGTAGCCACGGAGGGCGGCGGGGCAGATCTCGGCGGCGTAGGCGGTGGTGAGGGTCTGGAAGATACCCCAGGGGATACCGCAGAGAAGGTTACCGACGAGGAGCATTTCGACGTTGACGGCGAAGAAAAGGACGAAGATGGTGCAGGCCATGAGAGACATGGCGAACTAGTGAGATTAGCAGGAAGTCAAATGATACGTGATTAGAAATAGCATACCATGTAAACACGTCGAGAACCGAATCGGGATTGCAAGTAACCGTTAATCAAGAGACCGATGATAGAACCACAGTTATTTCCAGCACCAATGGCACCCTGCCACTTTGTAGAGATATGCTGCTTGCCATTGGCATCAGGCCAACCGAAACGCTCGAGATAAGCAGGATGGGCGAAGAAGTTGTTGATAAGACCAACATCCATACCCTCCATGACCAAAGCAACACTCAAAAGCATACTGAACGTCACAGCAGGCCAGTATCGCGAGAACAGCTCCTTCTTGGGCAGGAGACACTCTGCATCACTGGCAGCCACGGCGGCCTCGATGAGCTCGACCTGTGAGTTGTAGCCGGAGAACTCAGTGTGGTGCACGGGAGCTTTCTGCCCGTCTTCCACGTGGGCTGTTTCATTCGGAGGCGCCATTGCTTCGAGTCTGTCAAAGGGAAGAATGAAGAAGGAGGAGGAGGAGAGATGCTCGAATGCAGATCTGGGGAAGGAAAACAATGGGGAGGGGAGGGATAGCAGGATAAATATAAAGACTCCGCATTCTGTTCTGTGGACACCAGTCCGATGATCAGACAGGGATATCTCGGTGGTACTTCCCCACGGGGCACTGGTCAATCAGTCGTATCTTCCCCGCATGGCAGCGTAAATGGTTCATGACTTCGGTGTCGATAACCCGAGGCGACGCGCCATTCCTGATCCAGGATCGAATGTCCTGTTTTCTTGGCAATTCGGCGGAGAGAAATCCGAGTGAGAGCACTGAAATGGGAGATTTTATGGGGTCGATTAAGGTTAAGCTGTTATTAACGTTATGGTGTCCCCATGGGGGTTCCCACGCGGACTCGGGCTCCATTTCTGGGGTACGAAATGAGAGGTTTTGACAGGTGAGATGGGTATTTGATCTGCCAGAGATCTATTCCATCTCTGTTTCATGGCACTCATATTGATGCTCGTTATCTAGATCATTAAGAAATTGTACTGCCTCCTCACAGATGCCTTGCATGCTGCATCTCAATAACCCCCCATTCCCTAGCAATGACTCCTCCTCTGGTTGCTGGCAAAAGGCCTCGGCTAACCTCCTCCATGCGACGGCGCGGCAAACGCCGTGTCATATCCCATTGGCCGATTCTCCGTGTCTGACTCTCTTGGCCCGCGAGTCTAGACCAGGTTGAGCTCTCAGCTCCCTCGACTGAGTCATGAGACACCATCTCGACTAAAATAATGGAGTAATTCGCTGTCAAAGCCGAAAAACGGTCGACGCTTTTTTATTTTCTCTCCGCATGACTACTGATTGAAAGATTCGCCGAAGAGCGCCTCAGCTTCACACAGATCAAAGGCTCAGAGAGCAGCGCAACAAGGATGAGCCGTGAACCAATAGCAGAGCCTTGATGCCCCCATCCGACGTTGCCTCTTCTGTCGTCAAGGTTGTATCACTGAAGATTGATTTGCTTCCCCACAGCGGCCAACCCCAAAGTTTGCCCCCGATTTTTCCTGCACAAGCTTATTTTAAGGGAGGCCCAAGCGCATAAAATTGCTGGGCTAGCTTGGTTTATGCAAGCCACGAGCAGCATCGTACACTGTCTCCTCACGGCTTTTCAGCAAGTTTTTCACTGCCGACATGACTGCCGTTATCGGTGACATCGCAGGCCTAGTTATCGTGACATTGAGCCTCGTGGGGATAAACAATTGCCCAAGGTTAATACTAAAACTCGCTTGATGTTGCCCAGGTTATTGCGCCCTGAAACTGTCTTGAATGCAACCCTGGCTGATCCTCGGCATCTCGGTCGAGTTCCATGCGCTCTCCAACCGTTTGGGCCAAGTCCGCGCCGCCTTTTGATGACATGTTGGGGTTGGAGCCCCCAAAGTGTCTCTCGCCTAACCTTTCCGTCGTTGCATCTTGCATCGCCAAGCAGTCAAACCGAAACTCTATGCTGAATCCGAGGGTTTGGGCCGCGCCTGTGCGTTGATGGTGATTTTTATCTCTATCAGTACACGTACGTGATGCTTTTGGATGGTATTGCTGTGATGAAAGCCAAGATTGGCTTTGGGGTTCCTGGATCTTGCCCCCGCACTTGGCAGATTGAGATCTTGAAATTTGGGAATCACCAAAGGTTGCTCGCTTCAGAAAGGACCGAGAAACATGAAATTAGTGACCTCGGCTTAAGGGACATTCATGTAAAGGATAATTAAATAATGGCATCTTAACTTCAAAAGAGTGCAGTGGACAGAAATGCTAAACTGTTAGGCAATAGGACGTTAGGCATGTTCTGACACCAAAACGCGATGCTCATAGGTAAAAGACTAATTTTAAACTCTTTAAGGTTGAATTAGTGAAGTTTTAGCCCTACCGTGTGAGGAATCAAGAGAAAATGTGCCCAAGTTGACGACCATGACGCGAGAACAATGTGGCCTGTCGAGTTGGCATTCATGCAAGCTTAGCCTCACAGGATCTTGACAGCTCGGAGCAAATGCACGATACTATGGACCAGGCCATGTTTATGGAGAAACGTCGTATTGAACTATCAAGGGTTCCCTGTCCGACCTAATGAGACTCTCGACATTTGTTGCGACGGCTAGCCAGCTACTGGCCTCGTAAAATCTTCATGTGCAGGGTAGGCAATATGCCTACCTCAGACATATCGTCCGGTCAAGTCTGACTGCCATTCGAGTTGAAATTCATATCTGATATGTTCCTTGAACAGTTGGGTAGCTAGTAGGCGGGCTCGCTCCCGTAATTCCGGGTAGGCCCTCCAGCTTGCCCACTTTCCCAACGTTCGGCACCCCATACCCGAGAGATCACCAAGCAGATCTTTAACAATTGTGCCAAAATCTGTGGATGGAGTTGATCCTTCGCGCCCGTAACTATCCATTCACGATCTCTTGGCGCCTGGTAGGACCGAAAAGGTTAATCACCTAGATCACTTCTTCTGCACTGCAACGTTTGATGTAACACAGACTTCCCCGGAGATTCATGCCACATGCCTCGCTGTCAATTACCCCAGGCTTCCGAGTGAGATCTCCAGATGGAGCGGGGATGTCTCCATGCGACCCAATAGTGGGACATGCCCTGCGGCGCAGTTGGGTGAGAACCAACTTGTCAATTCAAAACTTGGCGGGGAATGCGGCACAGTCATCCCAAACCTGTTGATGAAATGCATCAAGAAGGGGTAAGCAGTTAGGTCGAAGACCCGAATTTTGTTTGGAATATGTATCCCTTCCGCGTGCCAGACTTTTGCCATTACTAATTTATGTCAAGTTGCTGACAGATATTATTCGAGGCGTCGTAGATCCTCATACATATGATGCCTAATTCAGACATCATCGCTTCAACCGATAGGCCGTCCGTCTGATGATATAACAGGCAGCACTCGACCAAAGCGTCAGGTAGCTTAACATTATTTTGCTGTCTATCAGTGTCGGCTACTGCTCTGTCGTCTTGATTTTGCCTAACACTTAAGTCATCATATAAACTTCCTTTCTGCGCACTGTTTATGCTTAGCATCAAATAATTAGGATAGTGGAGTAGACGGGAAACATCATGGGTCTATTGTTTCATTTCTGTATTGCTCTCTTTGACTCTTTCACATTCCACCATTTTCTTCTATTATCATTATATACCCCTAGTCTCCATGCTCTTTTCTCACCAAAAGGCTCGAGTTTCCTAGGTTGCCCTCCTTCCAAATCGTCTCCAAACGAGTCCTTTCTCCCACCAGCGTTCTTTTTGAACCACTAGAACCTGCTGAGTCGAATCTGTATCCTCCTCTTGGTTTTCTAAGTGTCTCTTCCGGTAGCCGTCCCAGATCTCTTGCCTGTTTTTCTCATCAATGCGAGCCTGGTCCTGCTGTTCCAGAGGAAGAGCGTTGATCGCATCCCGAATCTGATCACGTCGAACTCTCTCAGCCTTGATTGTCCCCGGGCTAAACAAACCGGGTGAATTCACTACATCGATGTTAGTATCCATTCTCATGGTATTTATCGACTGCAAGCGGGTAGTCTTACTGTCAGCGATGGAAGACGCCTCAAGCGACCGTAGCGCGGAGCTATAGTGACTGATCAATCGAATATTGTAGAGGTCCCCGAAGTCTCGTTCAGGAATAAGACTCATATCAACGACATCCCCCTCAAATTGCGAAAATATTTCGTGCTGGAAAATGAAATGACTGCTCAATACGATATCTGCTTTGAGATCATCGAGCACATAAAAGTCACAAGGAATCTTATTCCTCGAACTTCGGAACTGCCAAGTAGAGTCACGAATAATACCAGTAGTGGTATTCAGAGACCCATCGGCATACTCGACGAGGTGCCTGTGCTCAACCCCCTTATCAACCTCCAGGGAGTGCCGTTTAGCAAAGTCTGCTGATATGAGCATTGCGTCGCAGCCTGTGTCCGCGAGAGCAATTGAAGGTATGTCATCAAAGCTTCCCTCGAGGCAACACGTATCATCTTCGATAAGATTAAATCTGAAGCGAGGAACGGACTTTCTCAACGACTTTGTGATACGGTGGGCGAACTTGGTCAGAGTACCTGTGGCTTTGAGAAAGGTTTGACACAGGATGAGGTCCTGGGTGCACTTGGGGAGGATGCAACAGTCAAGCAAATGATGCTCTGATTCCCCTAAGAAAGTAAAAGGAACATCTACCGTACCACACGATCTGATTGCTGCCCCAGAGGGTAAACGGAATATTTCTTTGGTACGGTCCTTGGGCACCAGTCCAAGCGACTCAACAAGTTGCTGAGAAACGAAGTTGCGTTTCGCGCCAGTGTCAGGCAGCGCGTCGATATGATATTGGTTTGAGCCTACCAGAGCCTTCACGGTGTAATCCGTTGCGCCACTGGAATAGGTCTGGGTGAGGTGTCCAGAAGTGATGTCGTGGCGAATGGAATAATGATCGGTCGGATATTTTTGATTTAACTGTTCCATCAACTCTAACGTTTTCTCAAGCTTCTGGCTTCCACAACGTCAATAGCTATTAGTGTACGATGAGGATTCAGATACATACCGAAGCAATTCTGATGGGGTATCCTGGGTCTTAAGGTTCACTCGAATGAAATTATTATCTTGCAGATGCCACTCGCTGAGGTTATTGCTTGCATCCAGCAGAGGCCCTTCCCAGACGCCATAACTTTCCGTAAGATCTGTCAATGGCTTCCAAGGGCCAAGAATTCCACCCTGCGCCTGAGAGTCTCCCTCAGGCCAGGAATCAAGCTCCCATACCGGGAGGCGATATCTTTCCCAAAGATCTGTCACTACCCCGTCCTGTGCCTGAGAGTTTCCCTCAGGCCAGGAATCAAGCTCCATGACGGGCGTGCTGACTAGAGGGGTGAATGATGCATATTGAAGTGCCAAATTTATTCCGAGTGTTAAAGTAGGCTTAATTCAAGGAAGAGCCATTAGTCTCCTTGAAGGAGTGTCGTATGCCGATCTGCATGATGAAGAGGTAGGAAAGCAAGAGGACTTTTGCAACTGAGAAGGGGACGGCTTTTATTAGGTCTTCTAGTGCTACATGTCAAGGCGACAGTGGCTGTACATAAGCCGCACTGTTGTCAGGCTTCTTGTCGGGCTGATTCGGCTGACACCAATCAAATTCTACGAGACTTTTTGAGGAGATGCTGCCTGATGTTTTGTGATTGTAAATTGCAATTTGAACACGTCATTGGAGGGTGACCAGCATCAGGCTGCAGGTCCAACTCCGAAAGATTACGGATCAGCCCATCTCGTGATTCCTGTTTGTGATTTCTCGCGGCATTGAAGTTTGTTCAACGTTCGCTATCCTGTATCTATGAACTTTTTCGATATTGAGATGAATGCAGGTCAGGCTGCAACTCGTCCCTCACTAGGATTCTCGGCACTATCATCATGGATCGTTTCGGACAAGGATCAAGAACTGCTGGTTTTCCGAAAGTTTAGCGAAATCAGTGCTCGAAATCTTCTTTATTTGCAATGTGAATTATTAAGCATCGAAAGCAGGCTGAGGGCCTGGGATAAACAGGTTGAAGGTAGCAACGATACGGCGCTGGAACAGGTTGCAGAAACATGGGAAATGATGATCGAACAGGCCGAGGCGGGAAAAACAGAAGCAAAGGATATGTTGGAGCTTGTGAAACAGCTGCGTATCAAAATCAAAGAATATCGTATGTAAACAAGACCCGACTATAAGCTTCTGCTTACTCTCGTATAGATGAAGCGCTAGATCTACAGAGCAGAATTTCTCTTCTCAACAGCCCTGACCAACGCGCCCTTGAAGTGGCTCGAAACGAACTCCATGGAGGGCCTTTGCGACGAGATGGTCAAAAACCGAATCCCATATTAGGAGGGAGAGGGAAAGATTACCTGGACGAAACGGAGGATCTCGTCTCGCTCAAGACTCCAGCAGCTGTAGATCCATTATCAAAGTTGCTTCGAGCCTACTGGCCAGGTCGAGTGCGTTTTACTACTGTCATCAATACCATTACAGTTGATTCAGAGCCATTCGCTAACACGAACATTTTCAAACCAGGAAGAACTATCCCGGGACGGCCGGCGTCGGATCAGCCATTTTGACGAAAGATCAATCACGATAGCTGTTGCTCTCGTCAACATTTTACTCGCCATGGTTTTACTGGTGGGTTCGATAAGCAGTCTATACTATGTAAAGTCACCGCCAGCAATTCTTGGTACCATATGCGGGTTTACGATACTATTCGCGTTGAGCGTTGGCTTGATCACGAACGCGAAACGAGCAGAGATATTTGCAGGGAGCGCAGCGTAAGTCATATTCCATTTTCACTTCAAGAGTTGAAGGAAGTGACTGGTCATGCTAATACTTATGGCACCAGTTATGCGGCTGTCTTGGTGGTTTTCGTCGGCAATGGGGATCAATCGGGCTGTCACTGCAGCTAAATGTTTAAATGATCCCCGGACAGAGTCGGTCCAACGGGCTTTCATAATACAGGATAACACAGAAATCAGCAACAACTTGATGCCAGGAAGTAGGGGAAAATGCAGCATGATGAACAGTCTGGTGCAGGCTAATTGGTTAAAATGCAATTTGATTAGGACACAGAAGAGCGAAATTCATCAAATAAGATTCCAAAGAGTTACTCAAGCTTCATACCGTACATTGCCAAGCTCAACGTGATCGATCATGAAAGGCTGGTTGCGGCATGTCTGCGGCATGTTTCTCCGCCCGAGGCCCCATGTTTAGCCTAGGTTACAAAAATGAGGTCATATTTATCAGCAAGACAGCTACGCCCTACCAACTACATATCAATCAGTGGCTTCTTAAACCCCTCCGATCGCAGCAATTTGAAGAATGAGGAAAAGTTCAGAACATCTCATCACAGCACAAATCACCATTTAAAAATGTCGGACGGTTTTGCAAAGCTTCCTTCAGGCGCTCAGCTTCAGCCAACGCCTTACCAAGTCTCCATTGCGGACAACAAGGTCGATGAGCTTAAGCAGCTTGTGAAACTTGGAAGAGTCGGACCGCCAACGTATGAATCTACACAGAACGAACATAATTATGGAGTCAGCCATCAGTGGCTAACTGATGCGAAAGCTGCTTGGATTGACTTTGACTGGTATGTTCTACCGCCTGTCCCCAACGTGCATTGCCGAGGTCTAACATTCAGAACAGGCACGCTGCGGAAAAGCATATTAATTCCTTCAATCACTGGACTGTACCCATCAAGGACGAAAAGGGTGATTTTACGATCCACTTCACGGGTCTATTCTCCTCTAAGCCCGATGCCGTCCCTGTGGTAATGCTGCATGGCTGGCCTGGTAGCTTTCTAGAGTTTCTAAAGATCCTCTCCATTCTCAAGGAGCGCTACACCCCCGAGACGCTCCCTTACCACGTCGTTGTACCGTCTCTCCCCGGCTATGCTTTCTCGGATAAGCCACCACTGGACAAGGACTTTGGCATCAGAGATGTTTCCCGCATCGTGAACAGCCTCATGGTTCAGCTCGGTTTTGGAGGTGGCTATATCGCTCAGGGAGGCGATATCGGAAGCAGGATTTCTCGCGTGCTCGCAGCGACTTATGATGAGTGTAAAGGTATGAAATCAAGATGCGAATCGTCCGCGAGATTGAAGGATACCACTGACACGATTTTCTATAGCTGCTCATCTCAACTTCTGCTTGATGGCGGAGCCTGCAACAACGCAGGGCGAAATCTCAGATGCAGAAAAGAAAGGCCTGGAACGTGCAAAGGACTTTGATAAACTGGGCACCGCCTATGCTTTGATGCACGCCACAAGACCCAGCACCATCGGCCTCATTCTCTCGACATCGCCTCTCGCGCTTCTAGCCTGGGTCGGCGAGAAGTTCCTGAGCTGGAGTGACGAAGATCCTCCCCTCGATGAGATTCTCACCTCTGTATCTCTGTACTGGCTGACAGACAGCTTTCCTACGTCAATCTTCCCATACCGCCAGCGCTTTGACCCAGATTATCCCGGTGCACATGATCACCCGAAGTGGAAGATCAGCAAGCCATTGGGCTATAGCTGGTTCCCGTTTGAGCTTGCTCCTATTCCTGTGAGCTGGGTGAAGACTACGGGAAATCTGGTGTTTTGGAGAGACCACGAGCGGGGTGGACATTTTGCCGCTTTGGAAAGGCCTGAGGATTTGTTGAAGGACTTAGGGGAGTTTGTGGAGCAGATCTCGAAGGATGGGTCACTACAGATCCAGTGAACCAATTTGTAGATAGCAGCGCTTTATCTCGCTCCAAGAAGGATTGAATGGCCGTAAATCAATTTAGGGATGATCAATAAGCTTAGAAATGCGAATTCCTCATTTTCTTTCGTCCTTGATTCCAGCCATGCGAATTATTGAAGTATCTGATTGTGAAGGGAACCCGTTCGGTGATCTCACATGACTGAGCACGTGATCACGGCGTGTTTTTTTGGAGGTGTTGAGTTGACAGGCACACAACCAGAGGACCGTTAGCCATGGCCATTTCTTTCGCTATCTTTTCTGGCTCGGTTTGCACAACAAGTAAGGGTTATTGAATCCCAGCGACAAAGCCCAGCCGCGAAACTGAGGACGCGCCAACTATGCCCTTGGTGGTACAAAGCGCGCCATGCCATCACCCTGAAGCTACTCTCCTCGATGCGACCGATACGATGATCACAGCGCTGCCGCTGCAGTTGCGAACTCGGCCGTCATTTACTATGGCACGTCGCAGCTCCGCTCACCTCAAACGAAGTCTTTGACCCAACGTGTCCCTCCCGAACCCGCCAGATCGATGCCGCACCAATCCTCGTTGCCCGACAATGCCGAGTGAGACTATAATGCGATCAATCGAGAAAATATGGAGCGAGCAATAGTCGAAAACTATCACGGCTGTCGTAGAGGAGGCCTGAGCTGTGCCTCCAGCCAGCGCCACTGTTTTTCGCGTTATCATAATGCCTTTCGTCGATGCTCTGCTTCCGAGCACCATCACCAGAAACGCGAATGAGCCGTGCCTAGTTCACCACGTGTTGTATCTACCAGCCCTTGTCCGCCTCTTGGTATCGTGCAATTAGGCGTACTCTTGAGGCGACACAAGCCTTCCATTCAAGTTATGTACGAGCCCGTCAATCCGCACAACCTCCCGAGTCCAAGCCAGCCCGCCAATACCTCATCCGATTGTGATTGCGCTCTGAAGCAGCGCATGCACTGCGACCTCGTCCGCGTGATAGCGCTGGAGATACAGACAGATCGCCGGGCATTCCACCCGCGCTCGAAGCTCGACCCACCATATACTCCGTCCTGCCTTGCGATACCATATATACAGTAGCAATAACGCGACTGGGTCTCTCGCAAGGAGCAACTCCTTGAAGGCGCCTTCGATCCTGTGCGTGAAGAGCTGCGTCTGTCCCGTTGTGACTTGGCTATCCAGTAGATAAAGAATGCGCGACACCGCATGCGCAGCGTAGAAATAAGGACTTTCTGGGGTAGATGTCTCGTTCAGCCGACAGACAGCGGCTAGTTGCTCTGGTATACCGCGTATCCCTATTTCTGGTAATGGCGCTTGCATCTGCGCAATCGTAACAGCCATGACGCGAAATAGGCTGTCATTTCGTAGAGGATCTACCATATTCCACAGCGACATCTTTCCACTGATCATTGACACCCAATCGAGGTCATCGTCGCCAGTTTTTAGAGGCCACGAGTCTTCAGTTCTGTATGCATCTGGCGACGAGAACGTCAAGACAGCGAGAGCAGCTGCTGTACCCCATATCGGGTCCTTGTCCTGCGTCTTGACAGGTTCGCGTAGCTTCCTGTTGAAGAACGCTGTGCTCTGGGACCAATGATAGCATTTTTCAAGAGTCCGGGGAGAGCTTAATGAAGTGTTTAGATAGCGATCGTATGTAAGTGCCACGGCTAGAGAAGCGTGCATCAAGCATGGGTTCTGTGCCAATTAGCCTAGCTGGGCACATTCGGCGTGTCGCTCTTACAGTGAAGGCGAGTTTGAACAGCCTCTGATTGACGTCGATCATGTTCCCATCATCCGGCGTCAAGAGACTTCTCGCATAGTATCTCGTCACAAAGTCTTGACATTTCGCATTGAGCTGAAAGATGGTATACTCATCCGAGGTCCACACAGCGCTCGCGACAGGTCTTTGAGGCGACGGCTTGCATCGAACCACGGCCTTCACGGTGTTGGGAGTAATTGGGTGAAGATCGGGTACGTTCAGTCCAAAGTTGCACAGCACCCCAAATGAGCTGCACTTTTTACAGCGAGGTTTGCTCTCATCGCACTGACAAGGGTTAGTTGAGTCACAATGAATGGCCAGGGTAGATTCACCTTGAGTTTTCTCAGCTTGCAATTCCGGCATCCATATCTTGATCGCCGCGCCGGTTTCTTCGGGCACGTTTGTTCTACGCACTTGGAAGACATTTCCACAAGCCTCTACTATTTGTCAGAAATCGTAGAATGTTGTCATCGTTGAGAGTATTTGTCCCTGAGCTGACAGGATCTGGAGGTGCGATCTATTTGCGCGATGCGCTAACCTCAATTTGGTTGGAGGACTCTCACACGCTAGCTGTTTTGCGGATGCACGGCGATTTAATTGGCGGATTGACGATCCAAGAACTCTGGGTATTATCGCGAAGAGATCAATATGATTTGAGGAAACACTCATGGGAATGCTGAGATGGAGGTATAAAGAAGACACTTCCTTCTGTTATGTTAAGATCTTTTGTCTCTACCATTAATACACCAGAAATCCTCTATTTCAAATCGAAATGTCTACTCATCTCGCTGCTATCTGCCCAGGTAAAGGCCAACCCTTCCAAGTCCAACCCCGATCCACTCCAAAACCGGGACCAGATGAACTTCTCATCGCCGTCAAGTCCGTCGCTCTCAACCCAGCGGATGTCATCATGCGAGACCAAGGTCTTTTTATAACAGAGTATCCTACTGTTGTTGGCTTCGACATGTCCGGTTTGGTGCTACAAGTCGGCGAAAATGTTCCAGCTGGCGATGATGGCTTCCAACCTGGTACTCGAGTTGCTGCATATTCAGCTTCGGCGTGGAGAGGTTGCGCTCCAGATTACGGTCCCTTCCAAGAAAAATGCCTTGTTCCGTGGCAACATGCTGTTCGACTCCCAGATCCAAACATGTCGTTGAATCATGCTGCGACGTTGCCTGTTTCTGTGCAGGTACCTCTTAGCGCATGGGACATGATAGGAATTCCTAGATCATACGATGAACTTTCTTCCCGAGATCTAGGCCAGGTTCAGAAGAAAGAGGTGCTCTTGATCTGGGGCGCATCATCCAGCATCGGCACCATGGGCGTACAGACAGCTCGCTTGAAGTGCTGGGATCCCAAGTCTCCCTTCGCCGCGGTCTATGCTACTGCTGGACCTTCAAACCACGATTATATACGCTCGCTCGGCGCCAATCGCGTGTTTGACTACAAAGATCCAAAGGTTGTTGAATCAATCGTCTCTGCCGCGAAAGAAGACGGGTTGATCATTCGACATTGTTTCCTCGCGACTGGAAACCTGTCCTTGTGTCAATCTGTGCTCAAAGAGTTTGTTGATTTAAACACGGCTGAAGGAACTGCGATAGCTAAGATCGGGTCGGCGCCTTGGATTCCAGCAGACGCTAAGAACGTTGCTGGAGTGGAGGCTATTTTCGTAATGCCGTCGGCGGTTGAAGAAGAAAGGCTTGAACAGTTCAAGTACTGGATAGGAGCTTATTTGAGTGAGAACTTGTCTAATGGTGGTATTAAACCAAGCCCCGAACCCGAAGTTGTAGGAAAAGGTTTGGAGTTCATCAACAACGCTTTGGATAAAATGTCTGAAGGTGTGAGTTGTACAAAGTTAGTGGTGGAAATTGAGTAGTGAGATGGCATCACAGTGGAACCATTACTGGGCAGTGAGAAAATTACCATATAACTAAAAATTGATTAATCGAAACCTCTTCACAAAAAGAGTCGCCCGGAAGTTTCGCCATGAACAGTTTTGCGCCTTGTTGGAATCTTCTGCGTTATCTGTCTCTATCGTTCTGGTGCTATAGGGTAGTCGCCTTCAATTTCCAAGGAGGTTCAATGCCCAGAAGCCTTCACTTACGTTTCGGAACTTCCCGTGTTCAAAAACCCAGTTTTTTGACCCTTGACTCCAATCGAAGATATTTTCGCATGGTCCCGTGGATAATAACGACTCATCCATCGCGAGACCACGCTCCACGCTCCGATCCTCGGGAGACTAATGACCTAAAACGGACATTTCTTCCAGTGGCCACCAACGCCAATTACCAAACAGAAAGCCCCTGTATGACGCTGTCTCCGTTCCCGTTACCGTGTTGTCACTGTTCTAAGCGAATATTACCTTTCACCATACCACGCGATCGGGCGAAAGGGTGGATCAATTGGTTCCGTAGCCTCGATCGCTCGCTTCCTGACACGACCTTGCCATGCACCAATCAAGACGCCGCACCATAAACCAAGTCACGTTTGCCCAATCGATGATGAAATGCCCTCGCCTCGACACCCTCTTCGCTCAATAAACATAAGCATAATACGCCATAAAATAAAGTTAAAAAACTCCGCCAAGCTAAGCTCTCACATCAATGGCGAGACAAGTTCCCTTCACCAGTCAATGATGTCTTGTCCCAAGTCAGGAGATGCAGAATTCTCGGTCTTGTCCGACCACTCTAACTAATACAAGCAAAGATCATCCTCCCTCCTTTAAAGCTCGTGCCCCCCCAGGTCTGCAGTCGAAAATCCGGGGTGAGTTTGTCTTATCGGACCGACAGGACACAAAACTCCACGATCTCATGACCCCGTTTCCCCATACAAAATTCCATTCAAATTCATGGTCTGACGAGAAATCGAAGATCATGTCGGTCCGACATAGCGAATCTCAAGAGATTGAAGCCATCACGAGGCTCAGCTCTTGGCAAAAATGAGCTCAGTCTCGCGTTGAAGACTGTCGGGCCGACATACTCTTGGCTAGACTGGTCTGGGGGGGCCGGGGTGAACCCAACTCCAGAACCTGGAGAGACGGGTTGTTTGTGGAGATTTAGCATAAGAATCCCCAGCTTCCCCAGCTTCTCTCCTGTTTCTTTCCCAGCATCAGCATCACTTCTTCTTTCTCTCCATACAAGGGATCCTTCTACATAACATCTCTTGACACTGACAGTCATGTCTTCACCAAAGGATCTCGCTCAGGTTGAGCACGTCGATCCCGACAAGATGACCTTTGACGAAGTTGAGCGCCCTGCTGCGCGCGAGGCCAATGATCGCGAACACACCCTCACTCTCCGCGATGCACTCCGCCTATATCCCAAAGCCATTGCCTTCTCCCTCCTTTTCTCAACGGCCATTATCATGGAAGGTTATGATTTGAGTTTGTTGGGTAGTTTTTACGGTTATGACGCGTGAGTTGCAGTTAGCCTGGTATCGACATCGTCGACCATGAAACTGACAACCATACTACACAGATTCAAGCAGAAATTCGGTAACGAAGTCGACTCGAACGGCAACCCTATTGTTTCGGCCGATTGGCAGACTTATATCCAAGTTGGTGGCATGTGCGGTCAGATCATCGGTCTTTACATCAACGGTTGGGTCTCTGACGCTTTTGGTTACAAGAAGACCATGTTGGCGAGTCAGGTTCTCATGATCGGACTCATCTTCTTCCCCTTCTTTGCACCAAACCTTGAGGTCCTCTTGGCTGGAAACATCCTCCTCGGTCTGCCCTGGGGTATTTTCCAGACCCTCACTCTTGCATATGCTTCTGATGTTGCACCCGTTGTGCTGCGACCATATCTTACTGCCTACGTCAACCTCTGCTGGGTCATCGGTCAACTCATCGGTGCAGGCGTGCTTCGCGGTTTTAGCACTGTGGGTGGCGATTGGTCTTACAGAATCCCTTTTGCTCTTCAGTGGGCTTGGCCTCCGTTCATCATGCTCGGTACCCTCTTCGCTCCTGAGTCTCCTTGGTGGCTTGTGCGGAAGGAGCGATACGAGGATGCTAAGCGCTCCATCCTCTCGCTCGTCACCCAGTGCGACGTTCCTTTCGATGCTGATGCCCAGGTTGAGCTTCTCAAGGCTACCAACCAGATGGAGATTGAGAACTCTGCTGGAACCAACTACTGGCACTGCTTCATGCGCAGCGATTTGCGACGAACCGAAGTCGCTTCTATCAGTTACACTGCCCAGGCTCTCTGCGGTAGCTCTCTTATGGGTTACGCTGTTCAGTTCTACCTTGAAGCTGGTCTTTCCTCCGAGCGAGCTCTTGACTTCAACGTCATTCAATACTGTGTCGGTGCTGTCGGTGTTGTTCTATCCTGGTTCCTTATGGCTCGCTTCGGTCGTCGACATATCTACATCTGCGGCATGGCATCTCTCTTCTTCATCCTCATCGCCGTTGGAGCCCTCGGCTTCGCCAAGAAGACTGAGCAAACCGGCTGGGCCATCGGTAGCTTGCTGGTCGTATATACCTTTGTCTACGACATGACCATCGGTCCCATCGCTTATACCATCGTCGCCGAGATCTCCTCCACTCGTCTCAAGGCCAAGACCATCGTGTTGGCCCGTAACTTCAGCAACATCGCCGGTCTCGTCACCAACACCCTCATGCCCCGCATGCTCGGTCGCAACTCGTGGAACTGGGGCGCCAAGACTGGTCTTTTCTGGGCCGGATGGTGTCTGTTGATCTTTATCTGGGCTTTCTTCCGCCTTCCTGAGCCCAAGGGTCGAACATATGGTGAGCTCGATCTCCTCTTCGAGCACAAGGTTCCTGCGCGCAAGTTTGCTAGCACCAAGGTTGATCAGTTCCCTACCTCTGGATCAACAGAGAAGGTTCAAGAGGAGTAAAAAGACTTGTATGTAAAGAGCGCGCCAAGATGCTGAAACAAGTCACGATTAGTATTCTATAGCAATTTATCGCAATGCTTGATATCCATTAAAACTGCAAATTATCTTGTCTGTGCAACCGTTTTTCAGCTTCCCATTCATGACACCATTTATTTATCTTAGGATCTTTATCCCAAACAATGAAGAGCCTCGGGCTAGGGCCTAGGCCAGTGTAGTGCACTTTAGTGGGTATTTAGACTAGTGAGGCGGTTATAATCATCTGTTGCAATGTTTATGAAGTGTGCCCACTGCGTTTGTCGCGACGCGGCGTAGAACAAGGCAATTATCTTAGTCAGCAGTCGTGCCATGATCTAATTTCCGTCAACAGACCATTCGCCAATCAACCAATCCTCATCTCCACCACGAATTTCAAGTCCGATAATGTACATTCTGTTACGCACCACGTTTATTGCTCCAAGTCTTGGTCATTAGTCAATCGCCAAGGCTTTGCGAGTTCAGCGACCAATGCCAGCGATTCCGCTTCACTCGTCTTCAGCATGTCAACAACCGGTTACGTCCCTCCGCCCGACCAAACGGCCACTCAACATGAAGGAACATCTTCCTTGGCTATCAATAATACATTTCCTCGTCGCTTCATGACCCTCGTTGCCCTGAAAACATCCGCGCGCTGCTACAAACACGACGGGCCTTGTATCCCAATCTCAAAATCTCTCATCGTTAAGAAGGGGCCATTCGTCCATCTCACTGAAGCAGACACCATGCAATTCGTGGCAGCCAATACATCTATTCCTGTCCCAACCGTTCACTGCTCGTTCGTGCACAAGAACCGAGCACATATAGTCATGCAGCGCATTGAGGGGAAAAGTATCGCAGATGCCTGGAGAGACCTGTCAGACGCTGATCGATCACACATCTTTGGTCAGCTACGGTGTATGTTTCGCGAACTACGGTCACTTACTCCACCTCCCAATGCAGGAATTGAGAGTTGTATAGGCGGTTCACTACGCGACTCTCGTATACCGCGGTCGAGACCAAGATTTGGGCCATTCAAGACTGTTCATGATTTTCATCGATGGCTGCGCGAGGACTTCCAGCCCGAGGATCACCCAAATCGCGTTGATGACCAGGAATGGAAAGATATCAAAGAAATGATCATCAAACAGGATGGCTCGTGGTCACCTCCAGTATTTACGCATGGAGACCTCAACCCTTTCAACATCATAGTCCGGGGTGATCAGGTCGTTGGTATCATTGACTGAGAATTCGCCGGTTGGTATCTGTATTATTGGGAGTATACCTCTGCATGGCTGGGAAATATTATTCGGCAAGAGTGGCAAGGGTTGCTCACAGAGTTCCTGGATGCTGACCCGGCGGAGCTGGAGATGGAGAAGATAAGGGACAGATGGTGGGGAGATCTATGAAGAGTGACAAGTTTAAATGCTTAAAGAATACAGCTAACATACCTATCTATGTTGTTTCAGAGCTTAGATATCTAGATTAAAGCTCCCTCGACAGGCAAAATGGCAAACACCACTAATTGTTGCCATGTTGGTCATTTCATGAAACTGCGTTCCAAAATTAGCCAATGGCCAACGCGAGTGCCTCCATTGGCGCGCGCTTCATCTAGTACAATTAAGCGCCCAGCAGTTTGTAGGTACATGCTTCAATTACCTGTCCTGAGCCACTGATCCAGCTGTTGGTTGGTAGAAGGAGGCATGACCAATGATACCAACTGCATGGAGTACGTGGCGACCTCATATGAAACACGGAACCCTCAAAGCATCTTAGTGTATACCTTTTTACAAGACAAACAGCAAACGTTGCTTTGCACCACAGCCACAGCAGGACCATCACCTATTTCTCCCATATCCCCAACACACAAATCGGTGTAAAATTTTCAACCTTTCACAACCCAGAAGTCTCAAATGAGATTCAATAAGAAACGACTCTACGTCGCCTTATACCCCAGTGGAGTCGTTAACAATGAAGAGCGTCGGTAACTACCCCCAACTTTCATCGTTCTCAAGTCGCGACTCGAGTCTAATACAATAACTAGCTATCATTGGGGGTTTCTCATCGGCCCTAAAAACGAGCCAGACACTGAAGTACCCGGCATGCGCTACCATGTCAAGAATCTCCCAGGTGGCGGCTAGGTTTACGAGGAAATGTCTCTTCCAAATGTCCGAAGCACGACCAGACTCCTCGCCCGCATCATGATCGCCAAGATCGAAGATGAGGACCGGATCGTGGAGATCATTCGCAACACGCCAGTCGTGCAAAACGATCCTAATTGGCAATGTCGCACCTGGGTCGCTGATGTTTTGTCAAGAACTGCTCAGGATGGCGGAGCTGTTGGGACTGCGGAACTGGATTGGGCAAAGATTGAGCCTGTTGCCCGTGAGTATGTCGCGAACAAAACAGCGGCTGGACGATATTTACATGGAGAAGATATGTTGTTGCCCAAGCCGACCTGGGACATGCTGCTGGGAAAAGAGGTTGTACCGTAGTCTCTCGATCATTATTCCTTCAGATAGGAGAGAGAGTGCAGTACGATGTTAGGTCAGAGCCTACAACTCCCAGCGAGATGTTGGTAAATTATTGCTCATAACTTTGATCAAAAGACTGTTTAATATTAGAGGTAGACAAGAACTACACCTAAGGAGTGGCATTCCCATCTGCAATACGAACAAGAACCTTGTGAGTTGGAATAACGATGTGACTTATCGCCAAACTTCTGCTGGATCTTGAAAGCGACCGTTCTTCAGTCAAGACTGTCAAAGAATACATCACATGGACACCCAGCTCTAGCACTTGACGTTCTCATTGCCAGTGCTGCAGCCTGTGTTCAGGTTCTTGCCAGGATCCGAACTGGAACTTGTTAGTCTTTTGCTTCATATGAATCTAGGTTTAACATACCCATCAGTTGGGGCTTTGACGAACCCGGCTTCTTCCCAGTCACCAAGACACTTTTGACCAGAGGCTCCGCATGACTGGCACATTCTCTTCCACATGTGCGCTATTCTAGTTAGTCAATTCTCAAAGGAACCAAGAGCGTATACATACCTTCTCCCAGATATTTCTGGGCCCAGATCTGACCGACTGATCCAGCAGGGATGTTGCAGTCGATCTTACCACCATCAGTCCAGGTGTTCGTAACAGCAAGACCAAGAGACACACCCAAGACATCCTTGATAGGGTTCCAATCTAAGCCACCCGAGACTTCAACAGAGACCGATTTGGACCAGCTTATAGTTCGGGTACCTGATCCCTCACTCAAGCCGGTGTAAAGGCAGCCTGAAGCTGTCTCCCACGGACCCCAGTAGGACTGGGAGTCGCGGGCCTGCCATTGGTCATAGACGTAGCAAGGGCCAGTATACTGACGTTTGGACTTGTCGTCCTTGGCTTCTTTGTCTCCGACTTCCGAGACGCTTGACAATGGCACGAAAGACTGTTTGTCCTTCAGATAGACGACGCTATCAGAGTTGGGGTGCTTCTTGATATAGTCATCGAGATCCCCTGAGTCAATAATGAGGTCTTTGGGGTGATTAGCGAGGGCGCGAGCATGAAGTTCATCAGCGTGGATCTCCCTGGCCTGTAGATCATGGGAAGTGGTAAGAAGACCAGTGGGAGAGGCGCCGGAGAAGCCAGCGAGGGCAACGAGAAGAAAGCTGGGAAGCATGTTGAAAATGGTAAGTGAAGTATGCGAGTTGAAGTGATGAGATGTTATGATCGTGACATCGAGAGCAACGAGGAACCGTCGACAATTTATACTTGAAGAAGCACTATAGTATTCCAGAATAGGTCACATCTTGAAAATTCATTTCGAAAACCTGTTTATTCGAAGGATTTCCCCAATTCCAGCAATTTTTACAATCATCCCATTGAAGCTATCATCAATTACATCAGTGAACAGACCAACACAATCCATCTCGACTCCAAAAGGAAGTGATCTCATTTCCTCAGGCGATCAACAGCGCTTGCACAACTGCCGATATGCATAATTGCATATGTCAGCCTAGAAGGATTTTTAAACTTTCGGACTCTAGGCGCTCGCATTATGTTTAAACTTATTGGAGGAACTAGCGCAGTGCAGTTTACGAACTACCTGAATAGGGAAGGCTGTGCTAGAACGGAATTCCGGCATATTTTGCATGGTTACTAAAGTCCTTTGCGATCCTGATATGCAAGACATGGCATGACTGTTCTGCATACACTGGCAGTAAGCGGGCACTAGAAAGTGGCGATGCTGTTAGATGGGGCGATGGTCAAACCAGTTCAGGGCGAAATCAAGTTCATCCTCCTTCACACCAAAAGGATTCACGTACTGTTTCCAAGTAGCTGATCTTAGCATTTTGGACCTGGAGTGTATGCAGTGCGAGATAGAATTGGTTTTATTCAAGCATTGAACTGCAACGATATCTGCACATACGGCCATATAGACTAAGCCTGTTGACATACCAATTGAACCTACAAATACCATCTCGGTGAGAAGTGAAAATGGTCGATCAGATCAACCTACATACAGCTGCTTCAGATCTGCAACCAAAGTCGCAAACAATTCATCGGGTTATAAGATTCATAAAGTACACACTTATACAAGTCCAGTAGTGATCTGCTCTGGGATTGCCAATGATGTCAACAGCAAGGGACATGGGTGTGCGGTATTTAGAGCTGGACCACTCAGAGATTGGGGAAGCCCGCGGAGGATTGGGGGCCGTCCAAGGACATGAGATTTACATGACCAAAACCGAAGGTAAAGCAAAATAGCTTGTATTAGGGCTGACTGATCTGCATGGGCTATAAGATGAAACAAGAATTTGAAGTAGAGCATTCTAGAAGATCAAACCTCGGTGGTGTTGAGTTCAAGGAATAGCTTTATTGTGGCCGGACGCCATTGACTTCTTGTCTGAAGGATCCACCCCATACCATTGCCGGTAGAGCTCACGAAACAAGAAACCGGAGGGGCACAGCGTACTAGTAGCTTGCGCCGATTCATTCCCTCTGATGCTTCCCATACTGTGTCTCATGTTTGCACAGTTTTGAGCTCCTGGTTTTGGAGAGCGATCTGGCAATTAGGCGAGGCAAAGATCGTCTATTCTAAGTCATGAGAAGACTTGGGTAAATTTAGGATAACTTAGAATGGCCTTAGTGGGTCTTTAGGCTAGTGATACCCTACTTTGTCACCTTGCTGTTAGGTTATTTGTTGTGTCTGGTCGCGGCACAAGACCTAATCCCCAAGTGAAGCGAGCCGAGGAGACACCCCATCGACATCATTCATAAGCACGAATTGGACTTATCTCCGTACGTCAGTCAAGCTTGGCGAAGCGATAGAAGGGAAGGGCAACAGTAACTACAGCGCCTTGATGATTGTTGGCCGCCAACTGATGGGCAGCCCCTCGCTAGAGGAGTAGCAGCTCGTGAGCCCATCACAACAACACGAAACAGAAAGGGGATTCCCGTTGCCAGGCGAACTCCGGTGCTGGCAAGCGCAATGTCGGTTGCAGGGACTAATCACAGAATGCAGCCGTATCCGTATCCGGAGCAGAAGGTTAACGTCTCTAGTAAGGTAATGCGAGAGGCAGATTGGGAGCGAGACAATTCCCACTGGTTTAAGGATCTTACGAAAGGCATGCTGATCCGGAGATCTTGCTGGAATACATCAAGGAAGGTGTTGCTGAAGAGGTAATGCCGATCATCAACGACGAGTGGAGAAATAAGCTCTACTTTTTAATCAAGTCGAATTACTCCGAGTTCAAAATTCAGCTCGAAGTGCCCCGCGAAAGCGAGATCGTTTGTCACAATACTACTCATGTTGAACGGTTCTACGAGGAGACTGACCCAGCCAGAAAGGTCATCCACCGGATCGAGGGAGCTGTCCTTAATTCTAAACCGAATCCTAGGTCTTGTGAGGAGACCAAAAAGACTATGAAAGAGGCAACGGACACTCTCGTCCCCTATCGCGTTTACGAAATGAAAACTGCCACCGAATGCTAGACTCAATGAGCGACCATCAGTCCGCCACTTCAGTCACCCACCATGACCAACTGTATTCCTTTCTTGAGAACGAAACCCTCCGCGAAGAAGAGGACCGCAAGCGACAGGCTGAAAAGGCCAAGAGCATGGGGGTGTTGAGGGTCGATCTCGCGAAGTCGAGGGAAGACCTATGAACCGCGGATCCACGGGGTTAACCTCAAAGACTCCAGAGCAATGGTCCGAGTACCTCGCAACGGAGCGCAACCTCTCCGTCTAAGAGCAGAAGCAATGGTTCAAGCAGCTATCTGTCAAAGCATCAGCTGCGTTCACAAACAGAGAACCCTTCAACAGCCCCATCATAACCATGCCCTAAAATTTGACATAGGCAGACTTCTGAAGCTCGCCGAGTATCCCGAGGGAGGCCTCTCCAGTGAGTCTGACCTAGTCGATTTAAGCTGCGTATTGGAAGAGTGCACCAGGTTATGCTTGATTTGGTGATGCCGTGTAAAAATTGGGCTTGGTGTAATGAACAGAGCATATGGCTAAGGCGAAGGTTACCCAAAGAGAAGCTCTTAACATTGGAGGGGAGAACAGTCACGAATACGTGGCAGGGTATCCAAGCGCGAACAAATGAGAAGATGAAAAAAGCTGACAGAGGAATATGAGTCTCTAGTTATGTATATAAGATAAGGAATAAAGATGGGGCCATGGTCTGACACAAGAAAACGCTATAGATATCAGAAACCAAGATCCTTCTCAAACCTCTTCCACTTCGTACCAATCGGCTGAACAAGTGTAAAGGCAGCACCGGTCTGATTCATCTCCTGCAACCCATTAGTCAAATACAACGGCGTCATCTCCCCATCATTACTAAAAAACAACTTCGGCCTTTCTCGTCTCTTGAACACCTGCCACGATCCATCTGTAAAAGTGACATTAGAGCTGAAAGCCTCTTGGAGCTTGAAATGCCATGGTTCTGTGAGCTTTCTCGAGAATAGATGGGATCCAACGCGGGGCCATTGCTGTTTATCGTTCTCAACATAGTCTATCATCCAGTGGTTTATGGAGTGCCAGTTGCCTCGCTTGTCGCGCCATACGAATGGGTCCTCGGTCCATTCTGGATTCTCTTGCTCTGTGACGTTCCATGTTGCTTGGTATTTGAGCTTATAATCACCATTCCAAGACTTGGCTGTGAAGATTGAATAGTCCTTGATCCCGAGGACTATTTCGCTGGTTGGGTTGTTGCGCATCCAGAGAGGGAACGCGGAGGGATTGGTAGCGTGAATACCTGCTGGACGGTCACTGTCGATGATCATCTTGAATGGCGACCATGGACCATGAATGTCGTCAGCAGCCGAAACAGAAATGTTGTTTGGCCATTTGGTATAGCTGATGCTTTCGCACTTCGTAAAGTTCTTATCATATTCCACGCCAATGCTGTACAAGAGGTACTTCTTATCAGCCTGGCTCCAGACGATATCTGGATTATGCGCGAAGTTCTTCGATACATCTTGAGCATACTTGTATGGTCCTTGAGGCCCGCTATGCGATTCAGCACGGATGATGTAAGAATGAGGACGCCAGCCCTTCAGACCGCATCCGTGACTGAACTGCACTGTGAATAGATGGAATAGTTGCTTGTTGTCACGATCTTGAACAATTCGGCCTCCCCAAGAGGCATTTGGCCAGATGCCGAAATCCTCGCGACTTGGAGGCTCGTATGTATGGTTGTAGCCAGTGTATCGTGTTGCTGGGGCAAGATCAAGACGGCCGCAATCGCTCCCAATCCAGCCTGGATCACAACGGCAGGTCTTTTTCCATCTCGAACATATTCCGTTCAGACTGCAGTCTTCGTCATTTTTACAAGCATTCGAAAAGCTAATGGAAAGGAAGGCCAGCAGGTAGAAGAGACACAAGGTATGCGTCATATCTGAGTATTACCGTCTCAAAGCCTCAACACCACAAGTTGACCTTTCTGAGGAACTGATGGGCATAGCGTTCTTATTCTACTCGTAATCGGAATTTCGTGGCAAATCACTGTTCTGGAATACCCACGCCTGATAGGAGGATTATCTCACGCCTCAACCATGCATACACACGCGGAGGATCATCTTGCTGCTTACTCTTGAGGGCGGCCACCCCACAAATGCTCTGAAGATCAACTGGTTAGCTCGGTATAGATCTCACCGAGATGCCTCATGTGTAAAGGAGATCATGAGGTCGCGCGACCATACCTGGTATTGACTGCTATCCGAGACAAAGTGGGTACCTAGTCTAAAGTCCACTTATCCTACACTAAAGTCTACATGAAGTTATCCCAAACTACCCTAAATTATCCTAAATTTACCTAAGACTTTACTAAATATTTGATAAGAGCGTTACTTTGAGTGGATAGACCCCATAGCTGATGGCTCACATCACGCGCCTCGCTCAAGTGGATAGACCGCCACGCACCTCACATGAGTATAACGTTGATCTTGTAGATGACGCAGTGAAGCCTTATACTTCTCCTGCAATGTCTTCTCGTCCTTGGTGCGGAAGGGCGAAAGAATAAATCCGAGTAGGCCAACCAAGTAGGCACACAGCAAAGCTATAGCCATCAAGGGGAAGTAGACGAAGCACATGACGAGAGAGACGAGGCATATAACGAATTGATAGAGCAGTCGGACGCAGGACGCAACCAGGTTGATAATTTCGAAGAAGAAGGCCACAAAACCCGCCTCTGAATTGACAACTATACCCAAGAAGCAATCCACGAGCCAGAGAAAGAAGTGCAAAAACAACAACCCGGGGGTTGCAGCAAATGGGGATAGGCTGAAACCCGTATCTCTGCTAGAAAGTACGAGTTGGGCTTTCCACATCGATTTCATGGCGGAATCGGGCGGCAAAGCCTCCAGAAAGCCTCCAGAAAGAGTACCGGCAGCGCCGATACGTTCCTGCAAGAGAGAGAAGAGTGAAATGGCGATAATGACTCGCCCAGTGCCGGGAGATGAAGGCGTGATGAACGACCGGAAAACTCGCAAAATCGCAAGCAGCTCGTCAACTTGTTCCTTGAAAGGCTGCACGGGGCTATCTCGTTCGAGTTCGAAGTCGCTGTCATCCGTAAGATAGAGATCTTGTTGAGTACTGGTTCTGCTAGTTGAGGAATCTGGGGACGTCATGCTACCGTAGGCGGAAAGGTCTTCCAACGGGCCAAGCATATACTGAGACATGATACAGTTGGCAATGGCGAACTCGGAGTCCCCACCCGGCGGAGGAGACACTGTCTCCACTGCTCTCACTCCAGAAAAGGGAGACAAAAGAGGCCACAAGGGCGGCGAGCATGAGGAGTGGGCTCTTCATGGCAAAGTGAAGGCCCTCTGCGAATCGAAGGCGTATTCGAAATGAGCGAGATGGATACCTGACAAAGAGATTGGTGAAAACGATCTCTAGTAAATAAGATATAGTTAACGTTTCTTTGCTACTTCAAAAGGCAAGACCTACGGCAAGATGCTAAAGAGTTGAACCGGGCAGAACTGAAAGATCTGTTATTGTGAATTGATCTCCAACCTCTCAACACGAAGCTTCTGCTTACACAATATGTCTATCACAGCATGTAGGCTTTCTTGACCAGAGTCTTATTTACGGATATAATTTCTCGGCCTAGCCTATGTTCACTTTCCCAATTCCTCCAATATCTCACCTACTCGTGACTTGACCTTGTTCAACTCTTGTTCCAGCTGTTCACCTTGAAACTCACCAGGCAACCACCAAGGAGCAATCTTTTCAACCAATTCTTCCAACGACGCCATCCGTTCCCAATCCTCTTTCTTTATTCCCTCCAAGGGTGTTGGTATACCATTGCATTCTAGTCGCTTCAGGTAGACCTCGTACATATCTTTGTGCCAGTCGCCATTGTTGGCAATGCAGTCATTCAGGTATTCATCGAGCGGCGGAAAGAAGCCTGAGAATTCAAAGTCCACGATGCCGGTAATTTGAGGAGGCTGGCCAGATACAAGAATGTTTCGTGGGGATAGGTCGTAGTGGGTGAATACAAACGAGTCTTCTTTGGTATTCAACGCCTTGATAGCAGGGAAACCTTGCCGTAGGAATGCATCCAAAGGCTGTACGAGATCTCTATTTGGTGCGAAAGTCTTGTTTGTCTCCAAAGTCCTCATCTTGTTCTCAACTCTGAGTCTGTAGTATTCCGAAAGGGAAGCGATACCATCTTGAGAATGGAGCTCTTCTCCAAGCATGCCTCTAATAAAAAGCTGCATTTCGCTATCGGGATTCGAGCCTGGGATCCTGATGTCAGGCTGGGAGGCCATTTGCTGAAAGAACATGTTGCCGGCAAAGTTCTGAGGAGGGATGTTTCGCCGCCAATTGGTAACATGATCTGCCAACTGTGTTGCCAACTGAAACCTGTCGTCGTTGCTGAGCGCAGATAATTCGATGGGCGTCCCGGGAACTTTCGTCATCAATATCCAACCGCTCGAGGTCTCATCCAGAGCACTGAGTTTCATCTCGCTGTGCGGCGCGTCCTTGGTGTCGATAGTAAATCCATCCTGAGACCAAGCTATCGCACGAGGCGCCGGAATCTCAGGGCAAAAGTGCTCCAGCAGGCGGAGACAAGAAACCTCATTTTGAACCTTTTCTGACCCAAACCCTCGACCATTGATTTTGAGAACAAGTTCATCGACATGGGCTTCATTGTTACCAATCTGAGCTTCTTTGTGGCATTCAAGATAATAAACTCGGTTATTGAACGACTTCAAAGATGGAAGAGCCTCCACTTCTATGCGGGCAGTGTCGGGCAGCACGTGGCGCACCGAACGCTTGATGCTCTCACTAGACATTCGCACACCAAAGTTTGGGTGATGCGGCGGTGTTACCGGCCGTGATTCGGATGACATGTTGTTTGCTCATAGATACCGAGAGTTGTATGAAAGAACAGGACGTTTATTTGTATGGCGATAGAAGCATAATTGAAGATCGCTGCACCTCATTGTGAGAATGCGGGGTGACTCATTCCCCGGCGCCAAATCTCAACACGATGGTCTGACCATCCATCAGCACCTTGACTCTGAACCTATTTTACATATAAGAGCACTGAAACACAGCCATATCAAAACAGGAAAATCCCCAAATATACTTGCTCAACTTCAGAAGCGTCTCCTCCATTACTCGTTCTGAGATGCGAGAATAGAATCCTAGTCTTCCTCCTCGGCATGACTGAACGCAGCGACGCACGCCATCTCCAAACCCTTGACGCGCTCACCTGTCTGCATCCAGAAGGTACGCATGGTTTGTCGCAATTCCATCATCTCGGTGTAGTTCTCATGTACCGCTCGTGCCTTTTCCATGTGATCCAGCACCCGGATGCGCTTCTTTGCTTTGTCGACCTTGTCGACCGCTTCGGTCTGTCGTGCCTGCAGGTCTTCGATCGTACCTCCATCCAAAGAGCCAGAAGACATCGGGAGGAAAGAATCGAGTAGTCTGTTCACGCCGTTGAAGTACACTTCTCCCATGTTCGCCAGCGCCCCGGCCATGACATCATGATTGGCCTGTTCTCGCAGTCCACTGCTCGTGGTATGGATCAATCGCTTGCTGTGGTCGCGGAATTGTTGGAGTTGGTCTTCTCTCGCTCTCAGGGTTACCAGTGCGTGGTCTGTGGCCGCTTTTTCGGATTCCGCTCGTTCTAGCTTCTCGATTGCTTCCGCTCGAAGCTGAGCAATTCCTTCTGCTTTGAAGGTCGTCATGAGTGTCTTGTACTTGTCATACATCGAGTTCGCTGTGCTGTTCATCTGCTCGAAAGTCCGCTTTCTGGTCACTGGAGGAGCGGATTGCGCTCCGTCGTTTGTGGGCTGGGACTGCGTCTGTGCTACATGGTCGTGAGCGGTAGGCACATCCACGGTTGCTGGAAGATTATCGTTGTCATTTGAGGTAGGATCTTCATGGCTAGGATCTGTTTGAATGGGTGCAGGCTTGTTTGGTTCGCTCATCTCAACCTTGATGTCGTTGGGCTTTTCGCTTCCACTGTCGAGACGAACAGCAGTCGAGGTTTGTCGTCCTTGATGAGAAGCTTCTGAGATTATGCTAGATGCCTCGTTATTGATCTGGTCGATGATGTTCTGCTCCAGTGAGCTGGAGAGACATGGCCGACCGCCATCGCCCACTGCTGTTCTGAGGGCGCCGTCTTCAGCCCAGAGAGAGTCAAGGCCGATCCCTTTGGTCTGTGCAGCCTGCGTGATTGAAACCAAGCTTCTCACGTAAGACGAGGGCACTGGAGTACCAAACGCCTTTTCAAGCTCTGCCCGAATATCCGCAGGAAGCCAGTTTGGACCACCCCAGTTGTTGGTCAACCACTGAGTGTCGGCCGCAACCATCCTGAAATAGCCATCCCAGTAGCCGCTCTGGACCCGTGCTGTTTCCCTCACAGCTTCCTGATAAAGCACTCCGCGGTCCCAGCAGTTCTTGGTCATGTATGAAAGAACAGATGCCATTTCCGCCGTGCTATCTGTTACCATCTGGAGCCCGCGAGTGAACTTTTCCGACGTTTGTTGGGGTGTCCTGCAACCTTGGAGGTAAAAGGCTAGGAACTGAATCTTCTGCGATTTGTTAGCTTCTTAGAAGAAGGAAGGGCATGATAGTCATGGGGAACTGACGATATCGGAGGCGGGCGGTGCAGCTCGTCGCGCAGGTACTTGCTGAGGAGGCGTTTGCTGAATGGGTGCAACTGCAGGCTGAACGATGGACGTGATGAGCTGTCGTCGCGGTCGCTGCTCTTCGGTCGACGGGGAATTCATCGCGGCAGCTCGAGAGGCTCTCGTGATTCTCTTCATATTGCCAGAAGAGAAGTCGTGTTGAAATGAATTGATGAAGATGGCCATCAGAAGGCGAAGGCTGCAAGGTCCAGGTTGTATGCTCCTGCCCTGTGTAGCAGAAAAACAATCAGAAAAGCGGGGCCTCGAGGGAGCGAGAAAGCGGTTGCACAGAAAGAACGACCCAAGACTGCTGCATTAGTGACTGTATAAGAAATTGGAGGCTTATCCTAAGGTACCTAGGTAGTCTCGCAGCAGATACATCGACTCATCGACTCATCTACTCCCCTGAGTTTCCTGATCAAGGAGGTACGCAAAAAAAGAGGTTTACTTGAGAGTATTTAATTTGTTGTTAAAACGCTAGCCATTATGATCGAGGCAGAGATGGCACAGTTTGGTTAACCCAGCCAATAATCTGCGGTGCCCCAAGACTGATCTTGCAACCAGTTGAAGTTGATTCAACTCTGGTCTGCGCGGCCGCAGCACTGCCCGACACTGACCAAGGCCCATACCCAACCACTTCACTACCGCGCTCCCAAAATTCCTCTATAGCCTTTGCTTCACCCTTAAATTCAATCGTTGTATCAGAAGCAATAATAAAAGAGGTCGGATAAGCTGGGAAGGCCCATCCGCCGCTCTTTACGTCTTCTCCGTCCTTGATCATCTCGTGAATGCGGCTTGGGCCAGGGCTGATTTCGACTCCTCTCTGAACGTCGAGATCAATGTCGCTGAAGAGCTCGCCGTGTAACCACGGGCGGCTAATGTCTACGACAAGGGCAGAAAATGAAATGCTAATATCGCAAGATCTCATATCTTGGTGCAGCTCCTGATGCAAGTCTACACCACCCAAGGCCCAGAGACCAAAGCTAGTGGCTCCACTTCCGTGAGACTGAATATCTGATGCAGAGTAGGACAGTGTGATGCTGCTCCATGCAGACCTATCACTGCTGTTCAGTGGCCTTGGTGCATTTTGCTGATGCCACTCCTCGGCCTTGACCTTACAGAATGTGGCCCAAGCTTTAGGTGTGAGACTGACCCCATAAACCTCTCCATCGCCACTGGGATTGTCCATCGCAGAGTTCCTCATCGCCTCCTTACTGCCCTCGACGAGCGCCATAGAATCCAGCTGGAAGATGCCAAACGCAAACTCGACGGAATATTTCTTTCCAGTATCAACCCAATCCATCCATGCAGCTTGAATAGCATCCTTGTAGCTCTTGCCATCGCGCTTGAACCAATTCTCGACATATTTTTGTCGCTTCTCGGCGTAGTCCTTGGTCCCGTCCTCAAAAGCCTCTTGAGCCTCACGAATAGCCTTGAGCTTTTCCCTCTCCCAGATTTCTCGCTGTTTGTTCCACGTCATCTCCTTATCCCGGTAAACCTCCATGATAGTCTTTGAGGTTCCATGGACTTTCTGCTTGAGGAACTCCATCGACTTTGCGTAGTCCATCTTTCCCTGGCTGGGGATGCCTGGGCTGGGAGCGAATGTCGGGCTTGCGGGAATTAAATTGTCAATGGCGCGAGCATAACTACGTGCAACGCTCTTCCTCTCGTTGCCGACCTGTGATTTGTTAGCATTGGAATTTGTTTAACACGGGGCCCGGCATACTGCGCATTTGGCTATCGGCATCATTCCGTCAACTAAGCTGGCCTCAGCTTGTCTAACATTTGCTGGGGGAAGACCATGCTTGGAATCATCGTATAGAAATGACCGGTTGTGGTCCGAGTCCGTCAGATCAATCTTAGTACCAGGGACGGTGATGGTGAGGTATTGCTCGGGACCGATGGAGAGCGATTTAGAGATGGCATCTCTGACTTTTGCACCCACGCTTGCAATGGAGAAGAGAGTCTCTCTAGGGAGTTTGTCAATAGTGGTAATCATAGTTCTCATAGACAGGTAGAAGTTCGAGTGACTGAGAACTTAAATCAGCAGACAGAACTCAGTCCAGAGAACTGGAATTTGACCCGATGCCAGAGGGAACAAGCTGGTAATTTTCGCGCAGTTGTCAGCTCCTGGCTGCTTGTTGTCACCACCCGACAGATTTCAGCAAGCCACAATTTACCCGATTGCAGGCCTTGCATGGAGACAAAGAAAAGCAACCCCCGTGTGACAAAAAGATGAAGATATGTCTGGTGTGAACTCAGCGGTACTTTGGACTAGTATTTCTGGCACCACGATTCGCTGTCGTCAGTTTTCTTACTCCGTGTGCGCAGTTCCATCAATAGTGCGCCGTATCAAGTGGGCTCACAGGCCCGGAATGGTAAAGGCAATTGATAGTTTGCTGCAAGTCTTGGTAAAATAGACCAATTGAACCTCGTCTTCCTATCTGATTGTGGGATGGCCAATTCTCGCACCTAGTGATGGTGGGCAAATGAGCTAAGTCATCCTTTAGGTTTTCATGATATCAACTATACGCTGTAGCAATTGGTCAGGCATTGTGGCAAAATGTCGAAGTTATTAGACAGAATTCAAGATAAGCAAAACAAAAAGACTTGCGGTTTGTGTGGATCGAACACACGACCTTCAGATACCAATGGAGTGAAGTTTGACTTCAGTCTGACGCTCTCCCAACTGAGCTAAACCCGCTGACTAATAATAAATTCACACTTTCTTTGTGAATAGGTGCATCCTAGATCTGGCAAGAGATAGAGGATGTCTCCTCTGCATGTTGAGTCAAACCTGATTAGAATAAGTTAAGAGGATCGTATTAGAATATTGTTCATGCAGCTGGCAGTCTCCTTGCAGTGTATCCCTAGGAATTCTATTTTAAGTTGGTAGACCTACTAGGCGCTGGTAGTATTACCCGCCTTACCCTGCCATGTCTGTCTTTGAGTTCCCTAAATCTTACCTTTTAGCACCCATAGAAATGTACTTTTAAGACAGTTTTAACTTCCTGGTTATAAAGTAAGTAAGTAAGTAAGTAAATATGTCCTGCTCTAATAACAATGTTTAGCCCTTGTCCTGCGTCTTTCTTTGTTTCTCCTACAGATACTTCACTTTCCGATTCAATTACGCCATGTGGCCCACGGCTAATCCGTATCTTAATCTTCTTTTCGTGACATTCATCGCATTATTTATCTTGGTCTTGTTATGGCTGGGGTGTAATACGAGAGCAAGCGTTGTTTAGTAATGTTGTAACTGACAACTATCGTAGTGATATATCACCCAACCAACTGGCGGGGATACACCGACATTGGAAAAAGTACGAAGAACTTATCACAAAACAGTTCAAATTACTGATCAAGATCATCTAGGATATGAAAACGCCATGAGAAAGGCGGACGACGAAGCGAGGGGCAAGGGATCTGCAATTGAGGAAAGTCTCTGGAAGACGCCACCTTCTTCAACGCTTGGCAACGGGCTCCCTCATCGCACAGAGCTTATCCACGATCACATTGGCCCTAGATCTCCCGAGCCTTCTAGACTGCAAAGACTCCCCGATGAATTGTTGCTGATGATAATCTCCTACCTCTCACACGGGGATAGCGAGAGCGGCCTTGCTTTCTTTGCCTTGCAGCAGGTCACTAGAAGGTTCCGGCGCCTGATGCAAGGCGCTGAGTTCCAACAGCACTATTTCTCAACCCACCTCTGCTGCCAGTGGTGCTCTGGAGGTTATGAAGATTATTCGAATTCCTCAAGAGATCCATGGCGGGTACGTCATTGCTTTGAGTACAGCTTACCATTCCCGTGGTTGAAGGCTGAGGTTGGGAAGCTGATTAGAAGGGACTACGCGTGCAAAAGCTGCCGGAAGTGGAGAAACTCGAGGACCAATTCTGTCACTTGCAAATTCCAAGCGCTTGACTCCTACACATGGTCATGGTCGAAGTGCGACCCCTGTGGCGTTGAGCATCCTAACGCGTGTTTTAACAGATGGCAACTCGCAATGCCCAAGGGAGTCTGCATTGGGAGGCAAGGCCATATCCGATTGTGCAGTCACAAGACACTAACCTATGACGATATAAAAGGCCGTATCGACGGCGGACAGCATGGCGAAGACCGGATATTTCTGGGGAGCTGCGATCACGAGGATCACTCTAGACCTTGCGTTGAAGGCCAAGGTCCCCAAGCGTTTGCTACAAAGCTTCCGGGGGGGATGACTGTGATTATCATCTTTTGGAGAGGGCATTCTGGCGGCGACCAATTCGTCTTTCATCCGAGTGGATATTTGTACAAGACAAAGCTAAAGGACGTCATTCAGAACATCCGGCTACAAGGAGGCTGTCATATGACACCACAACGAGGATTAAACGCTATGGCCGAATGGGATTCTATCGTGGAAATCGACGGATCAGAGTCTATCTCACCAGAGTTGATCAAGCTTCGAGGTGGTTGGGCATCCGAGGACCCAGGTCGCCCGCACACCTGCAGCCCATTCCGTACCTTGAAGGTGGCTTGCGGTCATTGTGAGAAGGGGGTCACCGTTCTGATTACGGATAGCCTGTCGCTTAGTGTTGAAGCTTTTGTCAACCAACCCTGGCCCGTGAACATAATAACAGAACATTGGCTTTATTGCATAAATCTGGATGTAGAACCCCACTCTAGTCTGTGAGTTTATTAACGCTGCCTGCAATATTTCTAAACCTTTTTCTCTCATTCTGGAAAATTGTGAACGTCTTTCAAGTGTATTAACAGACCGCTGAAGCAAGATAATAATTACAGTTCAAGAAAGGTTGCTGCCCCAATTTGCAGTATTTCTTCCCCTTGTATTTGTAATACAAAAATAAAATGCTAAGATTGTAGATGGACATGAGCGTACAAGATACGAAGTTGGTGGAGCAACTATTCCTCGATCTCCCAATTAGCGAAGTCCTCCATCCAACCGAGGGAACTCCTGTCTTCGAGCCCTGGGCAAGCTCATATGTGAAATCAATTCGCGAGTCAAGATTTGGCGACGCAATCTGGGCGCGATATCAAATGCTTGGGCAGGTAGTTGATGGGTTGTGCAGAGGGAAGACCATTGTTGAGAGGATCACTGAAGATGCGATGGGTTACAAAAAATACTCATCCGAGTTCTACGCTGAAGCTGTCGCTTTTTACAGGGCTAACAACAGCAGCTCCGATGGCCATCCTGAGGTAATTGAGATTATCTTGCGGGTCGACACCGAAGACCTTACTGGGAAGCATATCCCCGAGGACGGCTGAAATCTGATTTACTCGGTCGCTTCGAGGAACATGACTGTTCGTTCTCTGCCTGGCTCTGAGTCATATCTTCATGATACGGTATCTTTTGGTTTGCACGTTGTGCCCGGCTAAGACGGCTTGCTCGGAATCATCGGCGGTAGATGCAGTAAATAGCGCTCTGGGACTAGATGTCCATTGTTGGGTTAGTAAATATAGAACCAACACAACCAACATGCATAACACGGCAAAGTCGGGAGAGTAACTCACCGCCATCTGGATTACCTGAAATAAGTCACGAAAAAAGTCCTAGAATCGGGCTAGATATTTTCTATAAACGTCAAGTGGCTGATTCCTTGCCATAATCAGAACCATCAGGGTAACAAGTCCAAAACTCAAAATCATCGACTTCGACCTCCAATATGATCATTTTTCCTTCCTCTCAACTTTATTGATCTTCGCAAGCTTTACAAAGGTAACTTCGAGTCCCGGTGAAACAAAACTCCTTGAACAGCTATTCCTTGATTTGCTCATCGACGAGGTTGTCAATCGATTCGACGATCTGACAGTCGACATTGATTGAAGAGTAGTGAAGCCGATATCTAGCACAACGTGATGCTATCAAGGTATCTGGATATATACCAAGAAACCCTCCACATCGATAGATCTGTATTAGCAGTAAAAAGGATGCTTGCGTCTGAGTATTTATATAGAGACCAGTGGTAGAATGTACATTTGAGACTGATCTAGTACTACTTTGACATCTGTTTCAATCTGTGTGCTAACCATTCACCAGCTGTATACACCTTGTCCTCGCCAACCTTACCACCTACAGTGACTACAGGTTCATTTTTGTACTGCTCAACCGGCTGCATCAGAACATCATCGGCTGGTCTGACGAAATACACAAGGCTATAACGATCTACTCTACCTTGCGCGCCCGGCAACGGAACAACACGGTGTTTACCAGACTTGAGCCGCCCATTACTAAATTTGACCATCGCATCGCCGAGATTGATGATATCGTGTCCAGGTAAAGGTTTGACAAAGGCCCACTCACCCTGTTTGGCAGGATCGTGAGATTGTATCTGTAAGCCGCCAACCCAATTAAACAATACGGTGATGCTGCCAAAGTCGGTATGGGAGGCAAGACCAATTCTCATACCATCTACAGAGTCGCAACCCGGCATCCTGGTCATTCTGATATGATCTCCGGACACCGATGAAATCTTGTTCCTTTTCGTAAACTCGTCAGACGGTAGGTCGAGTTGCTGCGCCAAGATGCGAAGGAACATAAGTCCCAAAGAGTGACAATTCTGAGCAAACCTCGCCAAATCCGTCCACTGATCGGTGATCTCTGCAGGATAATTTTGTGACTCAGAGTTTCCCAGTAAGTGATCTTTGCTCACGTTGAAGAACTCTGTTGTATCGGGTCGTGCATCTTTATCAGTCTGCTTCACTGCCCCAGCAGGTTTGTAGCCGAACATTTCCTTGCCCCGCTCTGCGACGCATTCCATCTTTTGGTCGAGGGGAATGTTGAGTGCTTGTTGTGAGATGGCGAGGACATCTTCTGTGTCTTTCAGAAGGGATTGTCCCGCGGAGTTATCGGTGAGATCAAGATAGCAGAATCCGTTTGACTGAGAAGCGTTGAGGACTTTGATCATCTCATTTTCATCTGAGCATTTCAGCTTGGAGTGTGAGATCCGGGCGATCGGCACTATAGGCACATCATCGGGGAATGGAGGAATGGAGTTATCGAGACTGCCCATGTTAGCGATTGGCCTTTCGTGTGATATTTGATGAGAATTGAAGATTCTGAGATGATCGATTGAAGCTGGCTTGTTCAACTGTTAAATATTGAGAGGTTCTTCTTAGTGCACGGGAACATCCACGAAGCAGTGACGCCACCCAGCATGTGACGGCAGTCAAAGCGCCATGATATGGAAAACTCCGTCTCTCAGCAATTTGCTAATTGGAGAAAAGGGCAACGGCAGATATCTGCTACGTCGCATGCCAAGAAAAGAAAATACCACGTTGAAGCGGCTAATTTGTATTGGCGATAAGAAGACCTTGGGGAATAGGAAAATACCAGACCTTAGTGTGAGATGCTAAAATAAACTCATTAAAAGATATCATAAATTTACCTAAGCCTTATTGTCATTTAGGATCAAGGTCCTGATTTCTCTTTCCTCTCCTAAGAAAGCTTCTAAGTCAGGGTCTTTATCCTAAATAACGATGAGACTTAGGTGAGTTTAGTGTACTTTAGTGGACATTGTGACTAGCAAACCTCAGCTGGTGGCAAGGACATCTGTTTAGTCGTTCATTCTCTGCGTGTTTGCATCACATGGACTCGTATCATTTGATGCAAAAGACAGTCGCTGTGTATTTATTCTATGTTCCGTAATGTTTAGCCAAGTCCATCATTCTATCCAACACCAATCATCTATTCATCATCATCGTCCAGATCTCCTCCAATGACATTCAAATACAACTGCTCCTGCTTCTTAACCGCCTCCACAATCTGCTTCGGAACCGGATCCTCATCAACCAAAACAATCAACTCCTTCAATTTCCTACAAGTGTAATGCATATTCTCAAGAGCACTAACAAACAAATCCGTAACTTCTTCATCCGTACCCAAGGGATTGAAAAACTCTAATGTTTCTAGTTCAGGCGGTAGTCCAACAGAGTGTAGGCGTGGTTTCTTTGTTGATTTTCCAAAAAGCTGGTAGTCCCAGTTTAGACGCAAAGTTTTTAGCGCGGTGAACTCGCGGAGGGCGAGGGGACGTGCGCTGGCGAGCATGGGGAAGTCGATTGTGATGGTTTCTAACGAGTGGCATTGTTCTTTGAGGGAGAGAATGTAGTCGCGAATGCTTGCTGAGCTTTCTTCAAGTTCGGGCTCGGGCTCTTCTCTTTGGGTGAGGACGAATTCTTTGAGGGCTTCAGGGAACATGAGCACGTCTGAGAGCGCATCGTCGTTGATGTCACATTCTATCAGATGGAGTTTGCTGAGCGCTGTGTTGTGCGGGCGCTCAATTAACTCGAAGCCTCTGTCGTCTAGCTTTGCTCGCTTGATGACTAGTGTTTCGAGAGTTGGATGTGTGAAGATGTGGATGTTCTCTTGGAGATCCCAGTACTGATCGGCCTCATCCTGGTAGAACAGGGTACAGGATTGCAGACAAGCGAGATCGAAGGGTCCGTTGAAAAGGTTTCCAATACTGTGCAGAAGACCAACAGGTACAGCTATATCGAGAGTTTTGAGATTCGACATTGTTGAGATTGTATGCGATACGGAATTGGTTGGCTCTAGCGTGTCGGAGATGAGACGTGTTAACTCTGAAGCCGGGTATGCCAGCTTTACTCCTTCGATAGCTGATCCGCGCCTTGGCCGTCGGTTGAGCGATTGACTAAAGATAAGATGAAGCTCAGGTTTGAGCCACTGAACCGTATTATACAGCACCGCATCCGCAAGGGCATGATAGCGCTTGTTCAACCGCGACACGCTGCAGAGGTCATGCTTGGGCAGTATTTCGAGTATCGACACGAGAATCTCATCAGTGAGCCGCGCGAGGCTATCGCAGTGAGCGCCATGATGAAGAGGAATGGCGACCATGTCTGAGTCGTTGGGTAAAGATAGTGAGGAGAGACGTGATACGATGTTTAGAGTGGTGTGTTGTGCTCTCGAGGTTGGAGCGACTAGCGCGTCTACTGACGTAGCGGATTGAGCCATTTTATGTGGACCGTATGGGGTAAGCCGGGTTATGTAAGCGAAAATGGGTGAGACTTGGCGAGGTTAGGGCGATCAAGACAGATTTCAGAATGCGGAGAGAGGAGCACAGACGCGGATCATGCCGGGGTAGAAAGTATTTATAGATTCAGGGAGAGGTTTGTCTATTTATATATGGGAAGGGGATTTATTTTGTGTTGAATCTGGTATATAGATGCCTGGAATGACTCAGATATTAGCTTTGTCATTCACCGAGCATAAGATTTGTTGCAAAGTTAGAAAGTCAGCTGTGAAATGTTAAATTAAGCACCGTGAATCTTTGATGCGACTTTGACGCGAGGCCAGGTGACTTTGCATGGCTGCGAGTGGTCTTGACCTCGACGCGCGCTGCTACGCCCCTTATAGAAGTCGTCCTTCGCCCAATATTGAAGACAGGGATAACCAAGACTGCGGAAAAGTCGTTTATTCAAACTCATTCATCTGTTAACAAACTCGAGGTTAGTGTCTGACGTGGATATGTTGTGGCTACCTCGTTCGTTTGAAGGCAAGACCGTGATTCTCGCGCATCATCATGTCTCGTGACCTTGCATCACAAACCATGCTTTCACGATTCTGACAGTTAATATGTCAATAAAATTAATTTTCGCATATAATCTGGTCCATAAAACCTTGCTTAGAGAAATACCTTGGCGACACCATTTTCGCCAATCAATGCATCACGATTAGCACGTGGAAATGATTGCGCCTATCAAATTGCTTGGCGAACCGTCCGCTCAAAAGCTTTAATCAAGGTCCACCCATGGAAGAAAAACGTTTTTCTTTATTATTTATCCTGCAAACTTTGTCATGGACGAACGCGTTCATGCTACAGTACGATGGGTTGAGGCGTCAGTCAAAGCCTCACCCTACATCTGGAGTGCAGCCGGTCTGACCTTTCTACTTGGCGTGCAAGTACTCTTGGCAGTGGCCATTCTTCATGGGGATGAGGCCACTGTGAGAAGACAACTAATCTCTCTGCAACGGATCGATAGCGACAACATCACGGCATCGGATGAGAGCATGGAGCCAAATGATACCGAAGAGAAGAACACCAGTAGCCAATCAGCAGACCAGGTCATTCAACTTTCTCCAATCGCTTCATGCGCTACTATCAAAGTCAACTTAAATCAGCACCCTGATGAAAAACGCAAATACAACAACTTTTACATGTTTGCCGTTGACTCTCACCAAGCAGACGACCAGGGGTTCGCTATCTGGAAATCTCTGGATCAGCAGACCAATCCTGCATTATCCCAAATCAAGACCGAACTATGGCTCCCAAAACCCAACGACGAAAAAAGCGATCCTTTGGTAGAAGCCGGTGGGTGCATAGTCATGTCATTTTCTGATCCTGCGGTACCAAGTTGGCTGGATCAGATCGCTGGAATGATTGGCAAGAATTTGCAGACGCCTCAAGTTACTTGCATTCTGCCACTGAAATTTTCGCTGGAGGAAACCGGACAGAATAATATCATTATGAGGCCATTCAACATTGATGGGGAGGCCGAGAAGGGGCTGGATTTGGAGAAGTTTCCTGCGTTTTCGGATATTCTGCCAAAGCTGAGACTCTTCCTCGGGTATCCTGAGCAGCAAAGAATCACAATCTTTAAGCGAGCATAAGTTAACATAAAGTAGAGAAGGGGAAGCTCACAGTGTATCCTGATAAAACGGCATGACAATATTTTTTTAAGACGTCCTATGACTCCAGCTGCTGGCGATACTTGTAGATATCACGCTGTAACTGCCCCTCCGCTAAGTCCGCAGCAGCACTACTTCCCCAAACGCCATCGGTGAACCGATATTGTCGTAAAACATGTATGGCCTGCTGTCGCAAGTCCCAGTCGTTGCTAGTGACTGCGACAAAGTAGAGTGCCTCGACAAGACCATTCGCTAGATAGAAACCGGCCTGGGCAGGTCGAAGACCGAGGTCATGAATCAGCTGCAAGGCCAGATGGAGAATGGTTTTGCAATCTGTATCGACAATACTTTCTACATCATCAGAGTTGTTGGTTGCCATATTAAGGACAACTTGGACCATTATCCGTCGCATCCTGAGAGCGGTTACATGCTTCACCTCTTCTTGGGAAGTAACGAGAAGTCTCTCGAACCGCTGGTCCCAAAATTTGAGGCAGTGCTCATTGGACACCAATGTGGCTTGGCTATTGTAAGGCTTGAGTAGTTGGCTGTGTATCACATCGAGTTGCCGTAATAATGAGCACACAGAGGGTGTATTAGAAATACCATCCAAGGTTCCTTGGCGAGAGCGACCATCCCAGCAAAGGGACGTACTATCTGTTGTTGAGATGATGCGAGTCTGCTTGTCCAATCTCATGTACAGCCATAGTATGTCCGTCGCTATATGCTGGCCCTGGCCTCTCAGGTCGCCCCATTCCCGAATGAGCGCCAAGCCATTTCTCAAATGAATAAGAGCTTCTTGTCGAAGACCTTGCAAGGAGCAAAGGTACGTGAATAGGAAGTTCGCAACCAAGGCAGCCAGCTTTGCAGATGTGGAGAGCACTTTAGGATCTTGCAGAAAGATTGAAAGAGATCGCATGGCCTTTTGGTACTGAGAAAAGATAAACATGTCGCAGCTTGTGGACTCTATGCCTAGGAGGATGGACTTCTGGTATGCTGACGTGAGTGCTGCGAGGGCGTGTCGGACGGGCGTGAATGTATCTGAATTGTGTAGAACATCATATGTCCAGAATCTGGCGTCGAAAGAAGAGGAAGCCGCGATGAGTGTTGCGATTCTGGTTCGGAATTGGTAGATGGCCTGGCTTTCGGGATCACTGCCTCCAGAAACTATGGGTTGGAGTTGAACTTTACTGCTCTGGGCCAGGGTAGTGAGGTCATAGCCATCGCACTTGCGACCAGTGGAGACACAGCGACGGCAAGTTGGCTTTTCTTCATCACATTTGACTCGACGAATGCTGTCATGACTCATGTTTAGTTTGACTGGCTTTTGTTGCAGTGGTCGTCACTAACCGACATGTTATACAGCCGGTTCTGCCCTTTTTGGCGAATATCTTCTTTCGAGATCTTTTAGTCTTCATTATCCGAGATACCTTGGAGATCTGGGAACCGTGAGTGAATCGTGTTATTCCGAAGCCCAAGAGGTGAACGATTGCGATATGACTACATGATAAGTATTACTTACTAATGAGATAATTGTCGCATTGTGGAGACGCATTTTTACCCTCCATTGGCCATCTCGTTCAATTAAGTACGCTAGTCCCAAAATGGCAAGCTAGTGTCTTGTATCCGATGGATGGATGGATGGATCTTTCTATAACAAGATTGACGATCAAGAAGTGATTGGTAATACCATCAGGGTAATTTTGGCATCAAGAAGTCCAAGAGGACTGATAAGTAGTTAGTTCTGGGTATAAATATCGCCTCTTCCGCCATCACAGGGATCATCTGCCTCAAACCTCACAACCTCAAAAGACACTGAAAAACGCCATCCCAGCCATACCACTTGCCCATCAACATGTCTCTTCAAAAGGCGATTCCTTTGTACCCTAAGGCGGCGCCAACGCCCGGCACACCGCTCATAGAAAACGAAGTCAGCTCGACCCTCTTCTCCCCTCTTCGAGTCCGAGGTCTTACCCTCCAAAACCGCATCGCTGTCTCGCCCATGGGAATGTTCAGTGCCAACGATGGCCATCTGACTGACTTTCATCTTGTACATTACGGGTCCTTCGCTACAAAAGGTGCCGCGCTCGTCATCGTTGAGGCTACAGCTGTAGCCCCCAATGGTCGCGTTTCAACTGGAGACGCAGGCCTTTGGAACGATAGCCAGACTGCACCTTTAAAGCGAGTAGTTGACTACATTCAATTACAAGGGCAGAAGGCGGGAGTCCAACTCTACCATTCTGGTCCCAAGGGTTCCATGGCCACACCGTGGCTTGCCCAAGGCGAGCTGATGGTGCACTCCCCACCAGCAAATGAGGAATCTGGCGAATGGCAAGATGACTTCTGGGCGCCGAGTGAGATTTGCCATGGCCCTGGGTATTCTATACCGAAAGAAATGAGACTGAAAGAAATTGATTTTATGGTTGATCAGTTTCGCAGTGCCGCTAGAAGGGCTGCTGAAGCCGGCGTGGGTATGTTGTTTTGTTCCCAGTAATCGGATTGTAACTAATTGCAGAAGACTTTATCGAAATCCATGGTGCTCACGGATATTTGATCAGCTCCTTCCTATCCCCTCTCACGAATCATAGAACCGACGAATATGGCGGCTCTTTTGAAAACAGAACGCGCTTCTTGTTTCGTGTCATCAAAGCCGTCCGGGATGTCATACCAGACACTGTTGTTCTCTCACTACGCATCTCAGCAGTTGAGTGGATGGAGTGGAGTGGTCACGACTGTTGGACACTTGAGGAGTCCATCAAACTTGCCAAGCTTCTTCCCCAGGCGGGAGTTGACATTCTTGATGTCTCATCTGGTGGTAACCATATCGACCAGAAGATCAATATTCATCCATACTATCAGGTCGACCTTGCATACCAGATACGACAAGCCCTCAAAGCTGATGGTATCGAACTGCTGATTGCGGCTGTGGGGTTGATCGATAACCCTGACATGGCTGAGGGTATAGTTCGTGGTAATGACAGCTTTAGGTCAGCACAGAAGACGAGTGGGGAAAACGGAGGCCTGGAGATAGGGAAGTATGAGGAGCCTCAGGCGGACTTAGTAATGGTTGGGAGACAGTTCCTACGGGATACAGAGTTTGTACTTACAGCTGCCAAGAGTTTGGGCGTTAAAGTCCAGTGGCCCCTCCAGTATTCTAAGGGGAAGTGAGGAGAGTATCCGTGCCTGGAGGCATCTCGATAATCTATTTGTCGTGCCCGGATACTTCTAGGCATATCAGCTTTACCGGAAAGCTTAAGGTGCAATAGGGATAAATTTGATTCACTCGAAAGCTTCCGACAGGTCTTATGAAATTTATTAAAAAGCTTAGAAATTCCTGGAAAACCTGCTGGCCAAGCCACATATAAATGAAAGGCGCAACCTCATCAGATGCCTTCAGGTCTTCCTCTAAAGTCCACAATATCCTCTGGCATCAGGAATTAAGGCGGCAATTGCTTACTGAGGTGCCTCATAAGTAAACCAGATTTCCTGCTCAGGATCTTCCCAAAAGAGGTAAACCAACTTCTCATCCTTGAGTCCACTGGCACACGACATCTTCTTCAGAAGCTGCCGCCAATTTCTCTACCCAAGTTTCTCTGATCAGTCCAAGAGTACGGGTTCTGTGCGAAGTTTGAGGACCATGACCCCTGGTCAGGCCCACCAGAGCCAACCCAGAAAAGTCAAAGGCTATTATCGTCTTGCACAATAGCCGTTGGACTTGAACCTGGATAATAACCCTGTCCTCCACTCTGGACTGCGACAGAGCGCTGCTGGCTCCAGCCACCCTTCTCCCAAGTGAAGTGCGGTTCAATTTCCTCTACGGCCATTCCAGAAAACATGCGCCTTCTTGCTGAAGGTAACCACGCACGGGCTATGTCCAGGCGCATTTCCAATATTGTCCTTATGATGAACAGGACTTTATTTATTGCCATCAAAGCTGGCAAAGAACATACTGGAGTCACCAGCGCCATTCCAGAAAAGAGGGATCTCATTTTCCTTTTCGTCAAAAGCAACATTCGGGTATAATATGGCCGCGACCACGAATTAATTAGTGGCTAGCTGAATGGTCGGAAACCTTGTACTGCCAAAATCCAAGACAAGCTTAGAAAAACGATCTGCGAAGTATGCCTAAAACCAGCCACAGGGAGCTTCACTGGCACAGATCTCTTGATTCCGACAGCGTTGCGTTTCCGTGCTTCGGTGGCGTGACGACCAACCGACCTTTCAAGTTTCGACTGTCACAATAATAGTCTAATTCGGAACCACCGGGCTTAAGGAGTTCTGACTCAGAAATTCTCAAGGCTGATATCCATTGAGGTTTAGCGATCTGTCAATAGTTTCTGTTGGATTCAATAGCGTCTTACAAAAAAGCATGACGCTAGGACGAAAACTCAGGGGCTCACAATTGTAATTATGCAAGGCACAGCAGCTAAACGCCCCCAATGTCTCGATTCAGTTACCTCCGATCCACACTGAGTATTCTATCCAATCTCAGCTAGACGCTAGATAAGGTCAACCAAACTATTGATCCGTCACGAGCTTACTAAAAGCAATTCAGCTGGGAAACAGCCAGCGGTTAATGACCGATTTAGAATCGTATTGGTCGTTTGGGTCTACTAGATCCTCTGGGCACCAAGTGGTGCGACTTGGCGTGATACGGGGTCTTCTCTCCGACTTTCCCGTGGACGTTATATGTTCTGTGGCTGCTCCCCTGTCAAGCCATGTTTCTGGCACTGCAACGCATTGTTCACCCAGCCGTGAACTAGTCACTCGTTTAATAGCCATTCTTTGAAAATGGTGTCGCTCAAGACTCTTGGGGTCGCTTATGCGGCCGCGAACATTCTCGGAGTGAACGCAGGTCTTTGTCGCCCATCGACCAGGACTTCGTTGAGCGCGTCGGCGACCAAAGTCGCGACCTCGGCTCCAGTTGTTTCGACTTCTTCCTCTGGCACTAGCACCATCGCATTGGTATCAACGGACGAGACATCGTCGACCGACGAAACAACCGATGCCAATACGAAGACCTCTGGAACTCAATCTGTGTCTAGCAGTGAAACTGAAATTTCCTCAAGCAACCCGACAACCTCTGATGTCTCAACTATCGAATCCTCGAGCAGTCATACGATCTCTGTCAGCCTCACTACGTCCGGTAGCCCTACCACGTCAAGCGATGCTGCGACCTCTGCTGAGTCCACGACCTCTGGTGCTTCGACCATGTCTACTGAGACATCGGCATCCGTCGACTCCACAACATCAGGCGTCCCGACTACTACTGCTGCTGAAACCTCGGCCTCTACTGACGTGACCTCTACCGAAGCTACTACGTCTGAGGAGTCCACGACATCTGCTGATACTACGACAACTGCCAATCCTACCACTACCGCGGACGCTACGACAACTTCTTCAGAACCTACAACCACGACCTCGGCCTGTGTTGAGCCAACCAACCTGCTCAGACAGCCTGGATTCGAAGCTTCAGATGAGGGTACGGTTTGGGGATTCTACTGGGGCGGTGGCGATGTTGAATACGACCCCGACCAAGCTCGGACTGGCGATTACCTTGGGTAGGTTGACGGTCTCACGTCATGCAATGCTTAAGCTAATCTAAAAAAGTGTTCTACCTGTTCCTGACGGACAGGAACGACGTATGGAGCAGCGCATTCACATAACCCCAGGAACAGAGTATACCATCAGCTTCTGGTATGCTGTCGCAAACCCTCCAACAGTCAACACCCAATGCTCCATCTTTGCTACTTTCGACTACTACACGACATTGAAGCAAGTGTCGCTTCCATCTGACTCCGAATACCACCAGTACACCTCTAGCTTCATTGCGCAGGATAACTTGGACCCAGCTATCGAGATTGGCGTTTCCTGTCCTGGTGTAGGCAATGGGTACACAGCTACAATCAACATCGACGACACCTCTGTTCTGGATTCTACCAACTCGTGCGATGCTACTCCTGTCGACCCAAATGCCCCCCCTAAATCGACGCTCCTCGTCCCTGCACAGCCAGAGGCGCCTCACTGCCCTGTGAATGTCGTTCAAGTCCCAGGGTTCGAAGCAGATGACGAGGACCAAGCATGGGCCTGGTACAACAGGGGAGAGTTTGTGCAAGATGCGTCCAACGCTCGAACCGGAGAGCGGGAAGCGTGAGTTTCCATTTTGAACATTTTAGTGCGAGGTAACTGACAATCGGTAGACTTTTCCCCAGTGGAACTTCTTCGGATGCTGTATTCCTCGAGCAAAACATTGACTCATCAGATCTTGTAGCCGGCGAGAACTACGATTTCCATTTCTTCTGGAAGCCTAAAACCCTGCCAGATAACGGCCAGTGCTGGATGTATGGCGGTTACAACGATCAAGTTGGCTTTCCACTAGCTAATATTGATTTCGGCGCGACTTCGTCGACTGGCTACACGATCTACTCAGCTCGCTTTCAAATGCCTGCCGGCAATCTTTTGCTTCAGATGGTCTTCTATTGCCAGTACAACGATGGTAACACAGTCCTTGGCTCAGTTTACGTTGATGACACTGCACTGATCAGAGTGGGTGGCTGTGAGGCATATCCCGTGACTGGGGCGCTCATTGAGAACCCCAGCTTTGAGATTCAAGCCACTGAGGATAGTACTTATGCTTGGTTCGGCACCAATGGCATGGAAATAAGAGCTGGAAGCACAGCTGACGGCCCATCACCTAACTCGGGCGACAATTTCTTGTGAGTATCTGACACTCGAACCCGTGTGTAACAATATCCTGACTTAGCTAGATACGTTCAGCTTGGATCTTCCAAGAAGTCAGCCACGCTCACTAAGCCACTGGCTAGTTCCTTAGATGCAGGCATAACGTATGCTCTCCAGTTCAACTGGTCAGCTGGATCTGCCTACGTGCCCAGCACATGCTCATTCAAGATTGTCTTTGGTTCAGTGTCCCAGACCCTTGATATCGACACCCAAATCACTGCGTATCAGTATCAATCTTTTGACTACAGTTTCACAGCCGGTGACTCAGCTGAGTCCATGTCCATCACTGTTGAGTGCACGGACGCCAGTGGGTTCCCCGACTTTGTATTCGATGACTTTTCGCTCCAGGGCTCCCAGTAAAGGGGGATTTTAATGTTAGGGCGGTATCATTCATTTCTACGAGTACTACAGATTTTAAATAATTTTATTATCGTGTCTTTTGCGATATTGCCTCTGGATTAGTACATAATATATCTTAAGAGCGCCGCGTCATACTTGCTGCCAATTGATAAGCCGTATGAGTGAGTGAAAATACCGTAGTTCATAGTTATACAAACGATGAAATGACCCATGTAACCCTCTATTGTCTGTATAAACCTGCAGATTGAGCAGTGAACCGCAGCTTCAGCTCTGACTATATATTGTCGCATCCTGGCGAAGCATCAACAGCAAAATTCTCAACATTCACAAGACTGAACCAAAGTATTGGGCCATAATATTTAGCTCCTGCAGAACTGAGAAGAAATACTAAGAGCGACGACTTGAAAGATGTGTTATTACTATACCTTGTCGACTCTTTGTTCGACCTGCCGGCATTCGTACAAGACTAGTTCCACTACTTCCACTTGTGACAACTTACCTGAAATGGCTGTGTGGGGGGAATGCGACGCAGGAGTTATGCAAGTAGAATTGGAGGAGGAGGGAGGAGAATGTAATGAGTGTCGAGAGAAACGTGAGGAAGAAGAGAGAAAGGCAGCACTCGCTACCATCCTGGAGGAGTAGGTAGAATTGGCATAACTTTAGAGAATGGGTTTATGGATACAGCGAATGTAATAACAGGCATAGCTGGGTTGTGATTCAGGAGCGTGGCGGTATCCAAAGAGGAATCAGTAATATAAGAACCTTTTAATCGTGCTTGACGGTGAACAAGCCAGGAGAACAGTCAAATGTGAATGGAGGCTATTTTTGATAAGTTCATCACTGAACACAATGGACTGTTCGTCATAGCACTGCACGATTCAACAACCGAAAACCCATATAAACTGTTGTCTTCGTCCCATCGGCAGCCATTGATAAAAGTCCGCCCGGCTAAATCCACCAACATCGTCTGCGAATCCTCTTCCCTAGACCACATACAGTCTCATATCTTGCACCACCGCCGATGAGTTCATCAGAAAGGAAGGTTATCCTTTTGTTTACAAAAATGT